CCATATATTAAAGAAAGCTTTTGATAATGAAGTTGATGGAATAAATTATTTACTAGATAATAAATATATTAAAAAAAGAGATATATGTGACAAATGTAAAAATAATAACATTAAATTTAATTATAAACGAAAATTATATGTTTGTAATTATTATAAATGTAGAAAAACATATTCACCATTTAAAGATACAATATTTTCAAAAATGAAACTACCAATTCATTACTAATTACATATTTTATATGAATTTTTAAAAAAAAACACCAATAACTAGTATTTTTAAAAGTTTAAGTACAGGATTTTCATCTCCTAGCAGATGTTTGAACTTTTATTTAGGCAGAAGGGATTTAATTTTAGGCAGAGTGGACATGACTGTTAATCTAAGTGGACATGAATAAAAGTTAATCTGGATATGAATAATAAATGATCTGGACATGAATGAAAATCGAGCTGGACATGAATGAAAATTGGGCTGGACATGAATGAAAATCGATCTAGATATGAATGAAAATCAAGCTGGACATGAATAAAAATCGAGCTGGACATGAATAAAGATCAATCTGTACATGAATGAAAATCATTCTGACAAGAATAATAATCAATCTAAACATGAATAATAGACAACCTAGACATAATAACAGTCAACCTGGACATAGTTTTAGTCAACTAAGACATAATAAAAGTTGAAGTAGATAATATATTAAGTGTAGCAGAGCAGAATATATGAGTACTTAAGATTTTTATTTCAAGTCAAGACATAATAGAAGTTAAGCAGTACAAAGCCAATGTCAAGATATAGTAGTATGGCTGTTTCACTCGTGACAAGAAGCTTGTAGGCTAATGTACAGGAAATAGCAAGGGTGCGTCAGAGACTCACCACTGTGCACATAAGGCATAAGCCTACTTTGCTGCTGTGGGAATAGGGCCTGAGCGTTTCCCCTCATTTCACTTTACCTGGGTTGAGTTTGAAACAAATTGGAGGCTGGTGGCAGAGGTAGGTGGAAAGTGTGGGGTTTGTTAGTAGCAGCAGGGAGGAAAAAAACAACAACCAAAGATCCTTTTTCTTTCTCAATACCATTCGCCATGGCAAATCAACAGCTTCGACGCACACTTGTAAATGGCTCCTACTCTCTTCACGATGAATAAAAAACAAAGAAAACAAAACGGCACAATCCACGGATTTATATGAAAAACGAAATGAAGGTAACTGTTTTCTTAAAAAAAGCATGTGCTCAAGATTTATAAGGAGTAGACCGCCGTTACTGCTGCTTAAAAAACGCTGGATAAGTGAACAAGGAAGGAAAAGGTTATCGGTTGTGCTTGAGGTATAGCTTTAGTGGAGATATTATCATTCAGAATTACTGCTTCTTTCTCTTTTTCTATGTATATACTTATGCACCATCTTATACCATTCCAACGTCAAACTTACGTGCGTAATACAACATCGTCCTCTACCTGCACAAACCATTCGTATTCACAACAAGAACGACGTAACAATCTTCTTCTCCATTACTCAAACACAATCATATACAACATGACGCTGATCCGCCATTGACTTGCAAAATATACAGCCTGACGCATTTGCCTTTCACTATCATGTACGCCCATATTACACGATGACGACTATGACGCCGGTCTTTTGTTTTGATACTTGTACGCTCAAGCACATCATCATCGTAATGACGGCCATCTCTTTCTTTGCTGTTGGTATACACATCAATGTGATGATAATTATATTCCTATGATGCATACACACCACCACAACTATAATCCTCCTCTGCAATTCGCTGTACTCGCACACACACGATGGCAACAACGATTACCTTTTTCTTTTTGCATATGCCAACACGAACATTGCCGGTCTTGATGGATAAGGTAGCTATATATGCTGATGGGTGGTATGTAGGGTTTTATTATTGTTACTGTAGATGTTATGGTTGGGATGAAAAAAATAAAAGTAAAAGATCATACATTATGTAGTCATTATGTTTCAGTTGTCTGCATAAACGGGTGTGAAATGGTATTGCATGTTATTACAAGTGCTTCTATAAAAACTATAAATATAGCTCTGAGCGGTGATGATAATATGGCAGGGACAAAGAAGAAAACGCGTTTGTTGTTATGAAGGAGGAAGTTTTTTGCTATTACAACAGCAACTTTATTTGTTTTTAATAAAAACAACTATGAACAACCGACATGTTAGTACCCTTGACGTCATTCGCTACGCTCTCTCTCACTCGACTGTACGTGGAGTTCTTGCACTCATTCCTAATGAATTCGTGTGCGTTCCTGCTGCTCGATGGCAGATCTTCAAGGATCGCATCTCGGAATTGTGTGGCTACAAATAGGTTCACAAACGCGAGACTGTGCATGGCACCAGACGCTCTGCCACGCAATATCAATAATTACAATAACCATCCTTCACCACGAAACAACATCCTTCGCACTTATATAACTCTTGTGGGACCTTCTTCGTTGTCTTTCTTATATAACGGTCAACATACTTTATTTTCATCCAATCCACAGCAACAAAAAAAGAAAGAAACGCGTCAGTTATCCTTCCTGCTATATACAGCTCATTTATCCATAAAGACCGGCGATGTTAACGTTGGTATATGCAAAAGGTAAAAAGTATTCGCGTCAGGCTGTATGTTTTGCAAGCCAATGGCGGATCAGCGTCATGTTGTATATGATTGTGTTTGAGTAATGGAGAAGAAGATTGTTGCGTCGTTCTTGTTGTGAGTACGAATCATTTGTGCAGGTAGAGGACGATGTTGTATTACGCACGTAAGTTTGACGTTGGATTGGTGTAAGATGGTGCATCACGTGTATACAGAGAAAAAGAGAAAGAAGCAGTAATTCTGAATGGGCATATGTCCACTAAAGCTATACCCCAAGCACAACCGATAACCTTTTCCTTCCCTTGTTCACTTACCCAGTGTTTTTTTTAAGCAGCAGTAACGGCGGTCTACTCCTTACAAATCTTGAGCACATGCTTTTTTTAAGAAAACAGTTACCTTCATTTCGTTTTTCAATAAATCCGTGGCTTGTGCCGTTTTGTTTTCCTTGTTTTTTGTTCATCATGAAGAGAGTAGGAGCCATTTACAAGTGTGCGTCGCAGCTGTTGATTTGCCATGGCGAATGGTAATGAGAAAAAAAAGGATCTTTGGTTGTTGTTTTTTTCCTCCCTGCTGCTGCTAACAAACCCCACACTTTCCACCTACCTCAGCCACTAGCCTCCAATCTGTTTCAAACTCAACCTGGGTAAAATGAAATGAGGGGAAACGCTCAGGCCCTGTTCCCACAGCAGCAAAATAGGCTTATGCACACAGTGAGTCTCTGACGCACCCTTGCCATTTCCTGTACATTAGCCTACAAGCTTTTTGTCACGAGTGAAACAGCCATACTACTACATCTTGACATTGGCTTTGTACTGCTTAACTTCTATTATGTCTTGACTTGAAATAAAAATCTTAAGTACTCATATATTCTGCTCTGCTACACTTAATATATTATCTACTTCAACTTTTATTATGTTATAGTTGACTAAAACTATGTCCAGGTTGACTGTTATTATGTCCAGGTTGTCTATTATTCATGTTTAGATTGATTATTATTCTTGTCCAGAATGATTTTTATTCATATACAGATTGATTTTTATTTTGTCCAGATTGATTTTACTCATGTCCAGATCGATTTATATTCATGTCCAGTTCGATTTATATTCATGTCTAGATCGTTTTATATTCATGTCTAGATCGATCTTTATTCATGTCCAGCTCGATTTTTATTCATGTCCAGCTTGATTTTCATTCATGTCTAGATCGATTTTCGTTCATGTCCAGCCCAATTTTCATTCATGTCCAGCTCGATTTTCATTCATGTCCAGATTATTTATTATTCATATCCAGATTAACTTTTATTCATGTCCACTTAGATTAACAGTCATGTCCACTCTGCCTAAAATTAAATCCCTTCTGCCTAAATAAAAGTTCAAACGTCTGCTAGGAGATGAAAATCCTGTACTTAAACTTTTAAAAATACTAGTTATTAGTGTTTTTTTTTAAAAATTCATATAAAATATGTAATTAGTAATGAATTGGTAGTTTCATTTTTGAAAATATTGTATCTTTAAATGGTGAATATGTTTTTCTACATTTATAATAATTACAAACATATAATTTTCGTTTATAATTAAATTTAATGTTATTATTTTTACATTTGTTACATATATCTCTTTTTTTAATATATTTATTATCTAGTAAATAATTTATTCCATCAACTTCATTATCAAAAGCTTTCTTTAATATATGGTAACTTTATATAAACATTTCGTATTTTAAAAATATTTTATGTTTTCAACTATTTTTATTTTTAGATAGAAAATTCAATTTTTTTAAAGATTTTTTATAAGTAAATTGAGTGTGAAATTTATATGAGACCTATAATGGATGTACTCCTAATATCCTTAAACATTGAAAAAGAATTGCAAAAGGTATTTATTTTTTTGTAGAAAGGGCTCATACATGCATATATCACACTCAAGATACTAAAGAAAACTTATTGATAGAAACCAGAAAAATGTATTGCAAAAACATGAAGTTGAAGTGTTGAAGACGCAAGGAGTAGTATTCAGAAAAGTCAATAACGATATTCGAGCTGAAATACAAGACAGTTTGCCAAGCTCACAAGAAACTGTAACAAGTAATTCAACAAATGATTCTGAAACCTCAGAAGAGCCTGAACTCAATGTTTTTACCTATAAATATTGCTTATCTTTTGTATCACATAATTTATGATTTTTTCCTTTTCAGCTATTAACGAGTGTATACACAGTGGAAATTAATCAAATCAATGTGTCAGCCAAGTTGAATGTTTTTCGTAACTCATGTGTTGATAAGTTGAACATTGAAAATGGCACGCTAAGTCGATCAGAACTGTTATCCATCGACTTCATATATTATTTTGATGCAGACGCATATTGTGATGTCCGAAACCATTTGATGCACCTGAATGATGCTACTCTGGCCGAAATTGTGGAAGATCTGGGCCAAAATGAAATGTATGACATGCTCAGCTCTGAAATCAAGGAATTTTGTGATTGCTTTGAAGAGGTATATAATTCTGCATTTATAGGTAATGGAACCCCATTTCTTCAATAAACAGTAAAATGATACATTTTACTTTTTATTTATATATATTTGAAAGATTAAAATCTTTCTAAATATATATTAACCAGAAGGAAAAAAAGAAGAAAGAAATATTTTTAATTATTCTTGGATGATAAAATTATTATATTTTTATCTACTATACTGAGTATTCTATTTATCAACCAGACGCCTGAATGGTTATAACAATTGGGTACTGACTAGTGTAATAGGCAATGCAAGACAAGGATAATCAAGGAATCAAAGAAATGTTGAAACTGAAGTATAGCAAGAACGGTGACGAAAAATTGGTATTAGAGATCATTGAGAATATGTAAGACAGGGACAATTTATAGTTTTGGGGCAGTTTTGGGCAGTTTTGACATTTAACTTTAATGATCTTTATGTATATAGATACAAAGCATATGATGACACTGACATATTAAGGGTTGATGAAGATCGTTTTGGCGACATTGTGTTTAAACCCACATTTAATAGAGTTATGCGTGGCATTCCTTATACAAAACGTGACGGGTAATACTTTTTGATTATATTATACTTTTGTTGTTTATTACATGCATATGCGTTTATTTATTCTTAATATTGACTATGACAATTGATTTAGGCAATTCACAAAACTGAGCAATTCGTAAAAAGTTAGAGTAGATGCAACAATCTCCTTACTGATCAAAGATGAAGATTTACGAACGTTGGTTGTCGAGGTGAAATCTCAGTTGAAAACAAACGAACAAGATTTCTTCAAAGTGGCAGTTGAGATAAAGATCATGCTTGATTCAATGGTGGAGCGGCATGTCCCTGATCTGGTTGTATTTGGAGTTTTGGTAGAAGGTGAATATTTATGTGTATAAGATCTCTATTTGATGCTAATACTATCTGGCCCCAAAAAATATAGGTTTTACTATGCGCACATTCAAGATGGACCTCGAATATGATCGAATTTACAGATTTATCAATATGCGCGCTTGCTACTTACCACGAGGAAGAAACGACATGGGTGTATTGGAAGGAACATTACGAGGACTATTTCAGTTGAAGGTCAGTGCTTTTTTTGTACAAAGTCTCAGTGGATCAATCACATATTTCTAAATATTGTAACATCATATAATAGAATCTTGTTGAACGATCGTTAATAGCAATTAGATCTGAATGGGTGGAAGATGAACATACACTCGCAAGAAAAAAATGTATGAGACCAACGGCACTATTGCCAAAAAGCTCTTCGATCCAGTTTGCAGATGAACAATGATAAAAAGGGAAATCGATGGTTCAGGTGGGAAGAAATTACTGTTGTGTCGCTATGTGTATATATGTATGTTGAAGCCATTTCCTATTTTGTTTTTAAATTTGTAATAAATCCCTAACACGTAATATATTTGAAAAAAAGTTCCCATATTAGGTTTAAATAGATAAAAAAACCACTTGTGTAGTATTGTGGTTCTGATAAGCGGGATGTACAGTACCAAATTGGCTATAAATTTACAATAGTTTTTGATAAATCTAATAAATTGCTTGCTGCCATATTAAATTATATCATCTATTTTGATATTTTATCAATTTTATGACATCATGTGACCAAAATCATGTATTCAATGATTATAAAAATTGAAAATCCATAATATAAACAAAGAATGACCCAATGGATACAACAAACTATACACCACTGATTACAAATGAAGTAAACTCAATTATTGCAGATTATTGGCAATTCCTAGAATGGAATTGGCCTACTGTACATAATAAATATAAACATAGAACTGATTTGAAACATATTAAACTCATAGAAAAAATTAAGGATGAAATGTTACGTAAATTAGGTTATGTTGCTGTATTTTATTTTCTAGTAGTTTTATATACAAACAAGGAATATCCCAGACCTTACTTTGAAATTGAAAAAGGATTGTTTTTATTATATCATTTAGTCTCTGGAGTATGTAGTGAAAAATTTGAAAAATACTTGCTACATAGCACATTTCATACATTTTATAAAAAGTTTTGGATGGATGAGGACAACTACAAACGAATCAACAAAATAGTAAATGATTCAATGAATAACATGTTTTCATCTATCAAATTACGTATCCTATCTGCTAGAAAGCATAATTTCGACTTATTTAAACATGTAACACTTATATTAGATGGTCATGATTCAAGAATTAACTATGTAGATACTGAAATTAACCACTTTCAAAGAATGTATTCTTATAAATTTAAGAAGAATGGAATACGTACCAAATTCGTTAGTGATATGAATGATATGATTATTTATACTTCTAAAAGTGACTTTTGTTCTGATAGCTCAGATGGTAGCATGTTTTTAAACATGAAATTATTTAAATATATGCATGAGAATGACATAATGGCAGTTGATGGTAGATATACTTTGTTTATCACACAATTTACAGAGCTTGCTAATGAAAAAGGATATCACTTTAGCCATGATAATTTTGTATACCCTATACGTAAAAATGTAAATGAGCCCTTTAACGATTACTGAGGATCATTTTAATAAGACATTTGGAAGTTTTAGGACAAAAGTTGAGAATCATCTTTCAGAAATTGGGAATAAATTCTGCCGATTCAATAATAACAAGTCAGTTGTTAAAATGGATAACATAAAATACTATAATCTGCAATTTCGTGTAGCTTGTTTACTAAAAAATATTACAAAATTTGTAGAAATGTTCAATATTCCTATTTTACCACACCATAAACTATGGCAAAGTAATGATGCTAATTTTCCAGTAGAGCATAAACTAATTGATATAGTGGTCAGCAATGATAAACAAAATAAAGATAAACTGGATAAAATGATCACATTGCAAAATGACCTGCTTAATATGGCTATATAAAATGAAGAAATGATTGTTGATAATGAATCTGATAATAATTCAAATCAGAGTAATAGTGATAATTGTCGTAAACTAAGATCCGGTACAGACAGATGTCTTGATAGAAGGTTTCTCTTTACCGCACCGGGATCCAATAAGGGACACGGTTGCGCACATGCACCTAGCTGGATTGAAATGTGAATCCTTCATAAAACTCAGTAAAGAAACCAAGTATGAAACAACCGTCCAAGAACACATCTCAAACCATCATAAAAGTTTTTTATTCGTTCTTACAGCAAAGCACCAGTAAGGTCCTTGCTGACAAAGAAGTTGATAAGCTTTCCACCTTCAGATCTGTTTCTCCGTTAAGACCGAGTTCTCAAACAATGTTTGAAAGTTAGATATAAAAGAAGATAGTTTCTATAGCTGATATTGTACTTTGTTCAATCTTTTGAATATAATCCATTCTCAAACGACTTATTTGTCTTTGTTTATTTCGATTTACCACAATAATGATGATGTTCCAAGATTTAATGAGCGTAGTAAAAAAAGAAAGCGAAATAAAGGGAAACAACAAGCAATGGCATCATATGAAATAGAAGAGATTATTAGGCATAAAACTGAAAATGGTACATATTTATATGAAGTAAAATGGGTTGGATATAGTGCTGATGATAACAGTTGGTTATCAATTGATAAATTTAATCAAAAGGATTTATTGAAGGAATATATCAATAAGCATAATCTTGGTATATTATAAAATTGCATACTCTAGTACTATTTACAATATTTTCTTCAACTGGTATATAACATAATTTGAATTCATACCTGGCATTCCTTTCTTACCAATTATTTCTATATATACACAAAATTCAATTTTTTGTACAATTTAGATTTTTACAGCCAATAGATTTCTTACAGCCAATAGTATTATCTAATATCTAATTGGAGTTGGATGTCCCCCTAAGAGAAAGTACTACTTTTTTGGTCGTGGTTGAATAAGATATAGGATAATAATAGAATTGTAACAGTGTCGGCCCAGATACTTACAATCGGGAATCGGGAACGTGTATGGGTAGACAGTGTGAATCACTAAACAAGGTGAGACTCGGATATATCAAAGGATGAAACGATAGGGATACATATAACCCAGGGTCGCGTCTCTATATATACGCTCAGGAACCCGTCTTTATATATACGTTGAGTAATAGGGAGCTAGCTATCGTCTAAGTATTGATCTACATCATACTACTATCTAAAATATCCGCGCCTATTACTCCTTATCCAACATGCGGTTGACCGCAAGTCATCCTATCGTCTGAACCATGCGTTGTCGATCGTCAACAATGCAGGTTGGATATCGTCGTAACGGTATAGACCGTTACATCCTCCCCCGTCTACCTCAAGAGGTCGACTCAAAGTAGAACGTCAGGTGCTCGACTCGTCCAAAGCATATCTTGATTTGCGTCGTTTCAATCGCCGTCCTTTGTAGCTCGTTATGTCTGTGCGTCGATCTGCGAGTAGTATGCACCGTCCTTGTGCGCGTCCAAGTGGGTTCGTATGCTGGAACTCTTCTACAGCAGTGACGGATCCTTTTATGCGTCGACTGGATAGAAATCGTCCCGCTCTAGGGTTCTTCCCCCGCAAATTAAAACGTCGCGAGAGATCCCAAAATGTGGTCGTCGTGGTGAAATAGACCCAGAGGAACTATAAAAAAAAATTAACACCACAACCCATTGCACATGCAGTTACCTGTTTCGTCTGTGTTTGGGGGGACGACCACGGCGTCGAGGAAGTAAATTCGTATCCGAAGTGTTTGATGGCGTTGCTTCCTTGAATTGTTTGAAGTCTTGTAGAGCCTCGGGCGCATTAGTAAGGTGTTCGGCAGGTTCCCACGTCGCCTCGTGTAAGGGATAACCTTTCCACTTAACCAAATATTGTAGCTTGTTTCGTCGCTTGCGCTCGTCGAGAATAACTTCAACTTCCCATTCGTCTTCGTCGTCAGAAACATTGGTAATCACTGGTGGAGGCCGTTCAGGCTTGCGTCCCACATCGTCAGGTTCCAAATATTTCTTGAGGGCGCTCACATGAAAAACGTTGTGAGCCCTGATCGAAGCCGGCAAATCAAGCTTGTATGCCACGGATCCAATACGTTCAAGAACTTTGTAAGGACCCGCCCACCATGGAAGTAACTTTCTGGCGGGAGCGTTGGAATAAACATCAGGATTCAAGTGGGTCGTCTTGACTAATACGTCGTCATCCACGTCGAATTCCAGATTACGTCGCTTCATATTGGCATACTTGGCTTGGCGATCCGTTGCTTCCTTGATTGCCTCAGTGACTTGAAGACGGATAGACTCCAAACGTGTAGCGAGAACGTCTGCTGAATCAACATCGGAGGAGGCAGATCCCGTGGTCAAAGCGAGTGACACCTGTCGTCCCAAGTCAGCATAAAAGGGTGTTACCGCTGTAGAAGCGTGCTTGGCGTCGTTGTAGGTGTGCTCGAGGACCGGCAGCCATTCGCCCCAATTCCGATTAATTATAGGCAACGTAATGACGAAGCATATCTTCGAGCGTTCGATTAGTGCGTTCCGTCTGTCCGTCCGATTCTGGGTGCAGACTGCTAGACAAATTTCTTTGTACGCCAAGCATCGTCGTCAAGGCTTTCCAGAATCTAGAAGTAAAGCGGACATCTCGATCCGAGACTACGTCTGATGGTAAGCCGTGCTGTCGGTATATCTCACGCAAGAACAGATGAGCAAAATCCTCTGCTGTATCAGTCGTCTTGCATGGAGCAAAATGTGCGCGCTTTGAAAACCGATCCACAAAAACGGCAATTGCATCGAACTTATGTAGCGTCTTCGGCAAGTGTGTGATAAAATCAACCGAAATCGAGGTCCATCGTCCAGTAGCTAGTTGCAATGGCTGCAACAAGCCTGCTTTTTTGGCATTTGGTAACTTGGTACGCTGGCACATGTCACACGTCGCGATATAACGTCGCACTGTTTTGTTCATGTGCGACCAGTAATAAGTCCGTCCAAGTCGTTCGACCGTTGCATCGATGCCGCGATGACCGGCGATTGGTGCGTCGTGTGCGTCATGCAAGAGGGTATTATGAAGCGTTGGCATGCGCGGCACACAGATTTGGCGTCGTCCATCTTTTTTGCGATAGATGATGCCATCGGCTAGTTTGAACTCTTCGTCGTCGTCGTTCGTCCGAAGCCGAGTCAAAACGTCTGCCCAAAAAGAATCGTCCTTGTAGTGCTGGCGCATTCCTTGCCAGGCGTCTCCCCTCTCACTGTGAGGACCACAGCACAAAGTCCCATTGATACGTCGGGTTGTGAAGGAGCGTTGGGCGGTCGTTTTGATAAAGCGTCTGCACCAGTATTCTGTTCTCAAGGAATATGATGCACGTTAAACTGATAGGCCATCAGTTTTTCCAACAAGCGGATCTGACGCTTGGAGAGATTCTTGTTGTTGGCGTGTAACATCGAGATGGCGCGGCTGTCCTTGAACACTGTGAACTTTTGACCGTCCAGATGATGTCGCCATTGTGCTAAACAGTACGACACTGACAAAAGTTCTTGTTCGTGAACCGGGTAATTCATCTCTGCGCCCTTCAACGTCCTCGAAGCATAAGCAACCGGATGCAATAAACCGTCGTCCTGCTCCTGTGAGAGGATACCAGCAATTGACACCGTTGATGAAGCGTCCGTGTGTACGTAAAAATGGCGGTCGGGATCCGGGATTGCAAGCACCGGCGCGGAACATTAACGTCGCTTGAGTTCCTGAAAGGATTTTTCACAAGCATCATCCCACTCCCAAGGAACGTCCTTACGCAGTAAGCGAATGAGAGGGGCAGTGAGGCCAGCATATCCATCACAAAGCGTCGATAGAAATTACACAGGTTAAAAATGCTCTGGAAATGAGCAATTTTCGTTGGTCGTGGCCAGGTGGATATTGCTCGGGTCTAATACCGCTCTATAACACACATGGAAACCACCTATACAAGTACTCCAGGCCAAAGGACATTGAAATCCAACCCCACAAGATCAGATCCTGTATGTCAAGGATGAATATACAATGCAGAAACGTCAGACGCCCCGGCAAAGCTTCAATGCCGACAACCACGCTGCCATGATCGGGTCTAGTACCGCTCTATAACACACATGGAAACCACCTATACAAGTACTCCAGGCCAAATCACCTATAGAACAACACATGCAAAATAATAATCAAGCTGTTTGCAGTTATGCTGTAATTGTGAGCTGCTGCTGGCAAAAAGAATCCCATTGACACAACATGAAGCGCACCCCTGAATACAGCAAGCAAACTTTGCTCTGTAGGCATGGCAGTCCAAGCATATTATACTCCATTACCGCTAGCCATTGCTTCATAGCGTGCATTTATAAGGTTCCGTTACTTGGCTGAAGACTTCCAACATGAGCCAAGTTGACCATGTGTTGCGTCATGGCCACGAAAAACTTCAAACAAGCGGGAAAGGTCACTTGGCTGTGGCACTGGGTTAGACGAGCAGCAGAACTCCGCAATAAGATGGAACAGGTTTGATCAAGGCACGCATAGTGATTCTTCACACTTGTCAGGAACCGATATGTTAGATCAGTAAAGCGATAAATACAGTGAAAAGCATCCTCGTCTGAAGAGCTACGGTACGGAAAGTGAATGGGCCTTTTTGACAGGGTATGTCCTGTGAATGACACTTCATCGATCCATTTAAGATGTAAAAATGAGCAGGCAGTGGAGCCATTATGGAGGATTCAACCAATAATTCTATGTATCGCAGCTATATACTGGAGATACAGTAAACCTTCGGTTACACAGATTGTATTAACGACGACATAAGCAGCCTGCAGGCTGTCATTTTAAAACACCTTAAATCACAGTTGATGGGATCAAAAAACCCATTCTCTATATTTGCTGTTTGAGCTTCATCACGTAATCGTACCAGTTGTTACGATATTCAACCGCAATTGAGGAAGTAGAGAGGTCATTTTAAGAACATGCAAGCTCGGTTAAAAATAACGCCGCTTTCGATATGAATGGGCTTGTCCTTGGGTTACGTGACACAAGCGCATGTTTGGGATCGCCGTCTTCGCAAGATAAAGGTTGACGTTGTTGTTGCGTGGGTAATTGACCCCGGCGCGTCCTCATACGATTTCTTGAAGGAGAATACGCTGTCACTGGTCAAACCTTTATATAGTCAAACATCAAGCATACATTACACCGCAAAACTACTGTTGACTTAGGTACTTCTGCGGCCGCTGATAACTTATTAGTGTGTTTCTCTTTGTGTGCGGCTATGATATCGTATATAGAATAATGTGGTTCTACATGAAGAAAAGGTCCTACTGTAAAGCCATAGCCCTAATAATCAAGGAATTATATAAATGACCATTAGGGATCATAAGGTTGATACACGGCAAAGAAGAAAAACGCCAAGACACAATAGTCTCACTTGCTGTTTCCAAAGGAGCCAATAAAAACAAGGACATATCCGGCGATGCTTTTTGAACAATAGCATGTGCACTTACTCTCCTATGGAAACACAGCAATGCGTTCTGCAAAGCCTCAAATAGCATGTCAATGCTCAGGAATAAACCTTCCAAGAAGAAAAGAAGAGAGGGCGGCCTTGCCGATGTAATAACCCAAAATAGTGCCATTAATGGTAAATAGATGCTAGTATAGCGGGGTTGCCTTTTTTTATTTTTTTGTGGTGAGCATTCATTTCAAATCGTCCACTTTTAATCCTTTCCCTCTTTTATTCTCTCTCCCCTTAAAACAACAAAAGCTTCAAACACTTGCTTCCTTACCGCATTCCCTCTCTCTGCTTTCTCCTACCCCTCCCACCCTTCCACCCCGTCAGGCAATAGAGTCTAACGAGACACATCACTACCTATCTACATATCCACGTAAACGCGCACACATGACGGATTCAAAAGGAGAATATCGTGTCGCCATTAACGATTCAGCAGACGTTGGCAAATCCTCTACTACTGCTCCAGGACCTTCCATCGTCGCCCCTTCTCTATTTACGCTTTCTCCCGGAACACGCGCCGCACTACCCATTGCAAGTTATTGTTGTGCAAGCATCTTGATGACCGTTACCAACAAGTATGTAGTGAGCGGCTATGGATTCAACATGAACTTTCTGTTACTGACAGTTCAAGTAAGTTTGTATCTTTTTTGCTTTTGGTTCAAGGGGTCTCCCTATCTTTTTCTCTGTGTCCCTCTCACACTTGAAACCCAAGTCTGGGAGAGCAGTGGTGGGCATTAGTGATTGTGCTGTGTGTGGAGGAGAGGCGTATCGAAGAAGCAGCAGTAGTTTATACTGTTTTTAAAACAAAACGAAAAGCTAAATGGGGTTTGTCTATGGCTTATAATATGTTATCCTTAGAATGTGGTCACTGTAATGTTACTTCAAACGTTTAAATTCCTCAATCTGATCAAATTCCGAGATTTCGATAAAGATGAGGCACGCAAGTGGTTTCCTATTGCGGGAGCACTTGTAACAATGATCTACACGGGCTCAAAATCGCTGCAATATCTGCGAATCCCGATATACACGATCTTTAAAAATCTGACAATTATTCTAATTGCATATGGAGAAGTCCTTTGGTTTGGTGGAAACGTCACTCGATTAATGCTGATTTCTTTTGTCTTGATGGTAAGGAAGAAAGACACGCGGCTGTGGTGGAGACGATAACGTAGGATGGATGTTATTGAGCAGGATGGAGAGACAAACTAACGTATAACTTTGGAATGGGGGCGATCAGGTCCTTTCTTCTGTCATTGCTGGATGGGCCGATGTATCTGAAACGCTTTCCGAAATCGTCACGATGGACAGCACATTTATCGGCTACTTTTGGATGGCAACAAACTGTTTCTCATCGGCAGCATTCGTCTTGTATATGCGCAAGCGCATCAAGTTGACCAACTTTAAGGATTTCGACACTGTATACTACAACAACCTGTTATCCATTCCACTTTTGATCATCCCATCCCTTATTTTTGAAGATTGGAGCGTTGAAAACTTTGCCAGAACTTTGTAAGTTATAAAGGTTAACATGAGAGGGCCGTTATCTGTCCTTCTTGTTGGTAGCTCTTGTTATCATGCACAATGAAGGCTAATCGATTTTATTAGCCCTGAGGAGATTCGTTCACAGATGATTTACGCCATGGTCTTTTCTGGCGTGTCTGCATTCGCCATGTCCTATGCATCGGCTTGGTGTGTGCGTTCCACCTCTTCTACAACATATTCCATGGTTGGTGCCTTAAACAAATTGCCAATCGCAGTTTCTGGCATCATGTTCTTTGGTGACCCTGCCACATTTGCCAACGTTACTGCCATCTTTATTGGTAAGTAAGACTAGTTCAGTGACAGTGGACAGTACTGTAGATATTCATAAGGTGGGAAAGAGAAAGATGCGCGTGGAGACTAAACTAATCATTCCTATACGCGTTTTCTTTTCTTCCCCCAGGATTCGTTGCCGGTCTTGTCTATTCATACGCCAAAACAATCGGTAGCAAGCCTGCTAATAACCAACCTCAAAGTATTCCCATGTCAGCCTCCAGCCAAAGTGCTGCCGATGCTGCCAAAGCAAACGGGAAATTGTAAATTGTAGACCAACCGAAAACCTATATCGCTTTTCTCTCACTCGCACATATCACCACAACCACCAACACCATCCCCATCAGCCAAAAGATAATAATAAATATTTACAGTAGCAAAGAGAAAAACAACAACTTGCATTCTTCCTTTTGATATAATCAATACATCATCTTTTTAAAGGTATAAACGAAAAACAATGCTGGAGCAGTTGGCGGATCCATTGAACAAATAAGTGGGGATGCTGTAATCCCATAAGTGGCGACAGTTTAACTTGTCGGCCAATACCGGACAATCGGTACCCGTGGATGCCTTGTTCTCTTGGTAACGCATCCAAGATGTCTGATAACGCATGATCAGTGAGCTGTTCGTTCATTCTCCACACCAACACCGGGTCGCTGTCGTCGTCACTGCTCTGTTCTTCTCGTTGGGTATCTTGTATTGCTATGGCAACGCTATCCTCTTGCTGTTGCTGCTTATTAATGTTATTGGACACGAGTTGGAACCCCAAGACGCCTTGCAATAACCGAATGTATTCAACCATGACCTCTGTACCATTCTGTGTCAAGACGTATTCATAGCATTCCCAGTCCGCCAGCTCGTGCTTGAACAACTGGTATCGTAAGAACCCTACAAGGCCACGCATAAAAGGAATGACGCCGACGTCATTGGCGAACCGTCGAGCAAATTCTTTCACGAGTGCTAAGCGTTGTTGGTCATTCACACCGTCGAGAACCTGAATTTGTTTCAAGGCATCGTTCAACTCCAATCGCAACTCGCGCTGTCGTTGCTCGTGCCAGGCTACACGCGCATTTCGTTTTTTCTCGAGAAATGAAGACCATTGTTGCCCTGGTAGGGTATATTCGTTGTTGTTGTTCTGTGGCTGGGCAGCAACAAAACCTAATTGCTCAAGTAATGCGCAATCGGGATTGTTCAGGGACGATGTCGTTACGGTGAATCCGGTCGCCGTTAATTTGCCACATCCTTCCAGGAACAGAATCAGGTGATTGGCAGCTTCGTCGCCATTGAACGCTTTACTACAGAGCACTTCCCAGGCTTCCATGTTGATACATAAAATATAACTATATTTGAAATTTGCGCTGTAAAAACCAAGTGTGTGCAGAGATTATTGGAACGAGGCGAATTTAAAATGTACTATAGTGGTTTTCATATGATAGTTTTTTTTTTGTGTATTACAAAATCATGCACGTCTGATTCTTATTTTTTGCTTGACACGACTCAGCTGGGCATCGACCTTGTCGAGTCTTTCTTCAAGTTGATCCTTTTGCCTTCGTGATTGTCGCGTGGCACCCGATATCGGTATTTTTGAGTATTGCAGTAGAAGCTAATTATGGATTATGGTTGTGTCAGTAGTGTACTATTTGGCCAATTTGTATCGCTGTGGGATGGAAAGCAGGTAGTAGTACCTGCTCCTTTTCCTGTGTCAGATCACGGAGTTCGCGATCCAAAGTGTCATTTTCACCCTTCGCAGATGATGGCTTTTCTGCTGCTGTTGGGGTCTGTGGGTTTCCAGGGACAGCACCACCATCTCTAGCACCACTGCTGATGCTACTGCTGCTGCTGCTATGCTCCGTAAAAGTGCTGCTACATTTACTGCTTAACTCCGGTTAGCGAGAGGACGATGCATGCACTGCATAAAGCACGTTCATATGTTTTCCCTTACCGCGATGCTGCCGGTCGTGGCTCGATCTTTTTCTCTGCATCACTGCTGGCGTGTCCTGATGCTGGGGTAGCTACTGCATTCGTCTGTGCCTTGGCGAGCTGCTCCATGGCATATTTCAGAGCCTGTATCTGCTCTTCTGCTTTTCCCAATTGCGACTATAGAAGAGTTCCTCCGTGGGGTTAATAAAACATGGCGTGTGATTCATTAACAGGCAAAGTGTACAGAAGAGCAGAATTACGTGGAGATGATTGATTTTTTCATCTTTATGACGGATCCGATCCTCGTATGCATGATTATCCCTCTCCACCTGTGACCGCAAATCCTAGAACGAGGGCGTGTTAGTTAGAGAAATGAAGGAAAGCTACTCTATTTCGACATGCATAGAAGACATCTAGTTTCTTTGTGTTCGCAGTAACATGGCACATACATCGAGTTCGCGTTTGTATTTGCTGGCTTCTAACGACTTGTATCTATTATTTAGATTTCACTGTGAGCAAGACTTTTCTTGGTCTGCTCTATGATACAATAAGACGCCGCAAAACAACAAACCTCGCGTCGTCGGCAGAAGTCTTTATCTTTTCCAAAAGTATCGACATATCTTGCTCCTTGTGCTTGACATTTAACTGGAAGATCGAGTGCACAAACTGCAGGGTTAGCAAAAGGTCTTTTTCTCACTCGTCTGTAACATGTGTCTTTCTTTATCCGTGTCTACTAGTACGTTAAACGTCTCATGGTGTACCTTCTCTAGTTCTAGTCGTTGCGACAGCACAGACTTTTCGTCCGCAAGTTTTTCGACAATTCTACCAAAATAGTCCAGATCTTTTGCCGAGGCTATCATTATCACGAAAGTTAGTTCCTTGGTTCTTGGCAATGTTTGGAGGGGAGCCCACAAGAATTTGCCTCTTTTGCATGAAAAGCAAAATATGGGAAGATCAAGCTCATGCCTATACACACCTTCTTTTTGCTTCTGCAATGCAGCTACAACCTTTTTTTCCCTTTCCAGCTCCTCACGCAGGAGGTTTGCCTCATTCTTGTGCTCTACTGCTGCTGCTTCTGATGTTGCTGTGCTTGGAGAAGCAGAAGCAGAAGAAGACGGCGATCCCTTGACGCTGTGATTACACGTTGAATGCGATGAAGTGGACGAGGGTGAAGAAGAGCTGGAAGAGGATGAAAAAGCAGACGATGCTGCTGATGATGATTCGATGGGACGGCCTTTTGTTGTTGAAGAGGGAGTATTGACAATATGCCATGAGCCTTCATCCTTTGGACTACTATCAGTATCTTTCTGTTTATCATCGGACGCTGTTAAACTCGATGATGCTGCTGCTGATGGTGGTAGTGGGGGTACGGGTGGTATTGGAGGATGAGGAACGTGAGACGGATGATGATAATGATCTTCCTGCTGCAGTTGTGGCGGTAAAGAAACAGTATCCGAATTCGGCTGCTCATCGGCTGTGAGAACAAGGTCGTCGTCATCTGCTGTTGTTATCGTCGTCGTGTCACGGTGATGATGATGTGACATGACAACCGCACAACTCTGCCGCTTCAAAAGTTTGTTCTCCTCGTGCTGTTTATCATTAGGGGTCAAGAAGAATGCACTAGTAGTAGTAGTAGCAGCAGCAACAGAAATGATAATGGCATGTCATAAAAAAGAAGAAATGTTAGGATCAAGCCGACAAGACGGATAAGAAAACTCAAGGGGAGGATGGGGCAGAGAAGGAGGTTGTCTTTTTCTTGGAATAGGTAAAAGGTAGTTACTCGTATATGCAGCGATGGGCTCTCTTTTTTTCAGCTGGTTTTCATTTGCCAGGGAGGGGGGAAGAGGAAGAAGAAGAAGACGGAGGGGCAGAGGGTGAATTGTAGGAAGGAAGAGGTGATGGTGATGATGGGCATGATAGTATGAGCCTAAACCCTTCTTACCTTAGTCGTTTGCTACTGCTGCTGTGGTTTGTTGCTCGTTTATTCTTGTACAATCGTCGACGAAATTGATCTTGGTAGTCGGGTGTCGCACTGCTGTTACGGCCTTTCTTTGTCCCTCCTGCTGTCGTGTTTTTGTGTGTATGTCGTTGGAAAGTGAATAAAGAAGACAGAAAACGTCGGTCAACAGTTGCGGCGTACATGATCGAATGAAAGAAAGAAGAGAAAGAGAGGGAATGATGTATCCAATCAAACTCTCGATAGGGATAGTAGTTCTTGTTTGCATACCTAAGTTTAGATTGGTATGCTGATCACTGTTGTTATTGTTGTTGTTATTGGTGTTGCCCTCATTGTTGTTGCTGGAATGGTTGGATGAGCGGGTGGTGCTATTGTTGAAGCTAAACAGCTTCCAAAATTTAGGGATCGTTTTCGACGAGGATAGTTTTGGCTTGGACTCGCTGATATTATTACTACTAGTAGATTGCATTATAACGAAAAGTGTACACACAAGAGAAAGAGAGAGGGAAGAGAAAAGATAATTATGCTTAAATGATGGTAAAATATAAATCCAGGAAAAAAAAATCAGGAAGAAAAAAAAAGCAGGGGGTTTGAAGAAGAGAGGGAAAAAAACAAGAAAGCATCGGGTGGAGTATGTGGTGTCTTAAGTACAAAAATAGACAATGAGTGAGGATACATAATGATTACAACAGCAGCAGCAACAGGAATGATAAATAGTAGCACACAAGGAGAAGAAGGGAAGCAACGTGAACAAGGCACACACGTTTATTGTGAATAAAGTGGTTGTGACTTGACTGGGGCTAATAATGATGATTATAGTAATACGAATAATGGGCGATCTTACAGGCTGTCTGACTTGTTCTAGTGGATTATGTCTGGTTGTTGTTCTATGCAGCAGCGGGTGCGTGTGTGTCCTAACCACTTCCACCACTACTGCCACCACGGCGTTTGTACATCAAAAGGGCAATAAAGGAGAAGAACACCAAATAGAGTAGCATATAAGTCGACCACATACTCCGAACTGACAATCCGTCACCGACACCATATAGCGGCAACCGTTTCTTCATCCAGGGTCGAGTGAACTCGTCTGGCATGGACGGCTTCCATATTGGTATATAGGGTGGTCCTCTGCGAACATAGTCCCATTTCCCTGGCGCCAGACACGACAAATCTGTGCGTACGTACTCCTCCTGGTCATTTGGTGCCGGATAGGAGGGATCGTGACGAGCGCGCCACCAATGAGCCACACCATGGCATACACCACACCAGCTTACCCTTTGAGTATACAGCTCCGAGCTGCTCCAGTTTCCGTAAAACGATGGATTGAGCCGTTCTTTGAGTGGTATATCCTGTTGACGTCGATGCGCAAAGTATTCGAGATAGGCTGTGTTGTTCTTGTCCAGGTAATTGATGTAATCGGCTAGTTCGCGGGGATCCGGGTACGCATCCATCCGTATCGCTGCTCGTGAGGTTGGTATGAATGCCTCGTAGTTTTGTGGACCATCCACAATGGGCACCGTCGATGAGGATATCGTGTCAAACAGCTTTTCCGTAACTAGTGTTCATCGTTGTTGTGATAACACCCCTTAAATGCAATTAGCTCATATGTAATATTTGTTCTCCCCTTTCACACTTAAAAAAAGAGAAAACACCCTTAAGATTCTTACCATAGTCGTCACAGTTGGAATTCTCAATAGCAAGATAGAATTTGTATTGTCGCATTAAATCCGACCGCTGCTTGTCTTCCGGAAACGCCTTGTTATTGAGACACTTGCCATAGCTATCCACTTTAATGTATTTCATTAATTCTTTCACGTAATGGTGTCGTCCGCTCCATGCATCGCAATTCGATGCTATCCATAGTATAGGAGCGTCGTCCGTTTTCGTGCTGATGAAATCCTCAGATACGGGGTTTTCTAAGGGCGTCATGATCCGAGGCGAGAAATACGGGAAAAAGAATCGGCTGTCTAGGTTGTAGGCTCCAAGATAATCGAACGTCGTACGCATCTTTTCCTCGTCTCTTCGAAACGCCGGGCCCATGGGCGATTCCATCGTATATAAAATCCACGGCTGTCCTTGGATGTGCGAAGGTATATCGTCGTCGCTATAGTCTGAGGCATGAAATACAACTGCTGCTACTGCGGTAGTATCGATGCTCTTCTCGTCATTTCTGTCAACAATTTCGCTTCGATCGCCCGTAATGGTGCACCAAGATTGGTCATCTTTCGTCATTTTAACGGGTAGATCTTCAGCCTTTTGACATTTCACCGCCAAGTCGGTACCTGCATATAAAAGATAACGTAGATATCAGATAAGCGGCTGTTTTGACAACAATTTTATGCACACATATACACATATGCATGTCAACATACCCCCATGAAAGTCAGCAGAAAAAACTTTTGTCCAATGGACAATGCGTATAGGCGGAATGGTGGCCATTACTATTCACAATTAGAAAGTCTCAAGGACAAGAAGAAAGGGTCGGGCGGAGGTGGAAAGTCATGATGCGTGTGTAATATTGGAAGAATGGGATGTAAATGTGAAATATATATGAAACGGTATCTCTAGGTAGCAAGCAAAAGGCCTATTCTACTTTCTTGGGAGGCTTCTCAGCAATAGTTGCTAATCCTTTGTCCTTTTCACTTGGCTTGAACGTTTTCTTAAGTCGAGCCGATTCCAGCTTTTTTATATACGCCTCAATGCCAATCGCTATTTTCAAAAAAAGAGAGAGAATTTCCGACTTTAGCCCTTCTGCATGCTTTCCAATCTTTCTGTCTTTCCAATTCTTACCCAGGAACACTAAAGCAACACCGAGCCATTGACCCAACGAGAGCTTATGATTGAACCAAAACACACTCAACAGCATTGTAAACAGCTTTCGTGTCACCGTCACCGTCACCAAACGCAAACTGCCGTATTCTTGGAGAGTATAAAAAATAAAGCATTGGCCCACTGCACCGCAGAGACCAAACAAAAGTACATCGCGGATGACAGCTGGATGGGTTTGGCAGAACCGGATCGCCAAACTGAGTTCGTCGTTGTAAGGATTCAAAACAAGGAATGCCAGCGAGTAAATCGAGCCAATGGCATTCATAAAGAACATCATGTGTTGGCCACTGACATACTGGCCATAGTCATGGAAAATCTGATCCTGAGTCGCGTTGGTCAAGCCATCAATAGCAAGATTGGTGCCAAGCAAAAACAGACCCCACAACGAATTGGCAGCCGCCGCCTTCTTGCTACTGCCTCCCTCAACTTGATGATACAGCATAAACATCGAAACGCCGGCCGTAATCAACATGACACAGACGTACTTGTACAATGGAAATTTCCTCCGGTAGACAACCAAGTTCATAAACATGACCGGGATCAGTTTACACGATTTGCCCAGAATCATGGTCGGGTAGTCGATATGTTTGAGTGCTGCATAGCCAAAGGGCGATCCAGTACAGTTGGTAAATGCAACTTGTGCGTATTTAACGTAGAGTGCACGAGGAGAAGTTGTCAGGTTGAGGTGTCGTCCGCTGACCTTGACGTAGATGAATGACACAATGGCGGCGATCACGGACTGGATCAGATTGAGAAAGATAAAGTAACGGAATTTCTCTGGTGCATCGTTGTCACCGTACGGTGTGGTGCTCACTCTTTCTTGGATGACGCCCCATGTGAGGAAGCATGCGTAGATTCCTGCAACGCAAAACGTGAAGACGAGCATACAAGAACACACACAAAGGAGGGGAAAGGTACTGACAGGCCCGAAAAGGGAGCTATTTTATTTTGAAAGGTTGGTGGCATGACATTATTGGCTCGGTATGGGATGGAAAAACCTCATTTCCGCTGCATTCGAAATATTGTTGGCATGAACTTTTTAGGAGTACTACTTTTATATCAGTAGAGTGGATTTAACTTATGACTGTAACTGCATACCTTTATTGAACGATTAGTTGTGTCCGCCAAGTCCATTTTATGACCATCGTTTCATGTTAAAGAAAAGAGAGTCAAACTAATCTGAAGAGATGTCTTACTGTATTAGAAACTTCGAATCATAATCAAGGTAATACCAGCTCCAACGCTTGACCAGTATTTTAAAGACCACATCGATGACTTCAACATCATAGAGCTTCAAAGCGTGTTTTACTTGAAGTTGAAGTACGAAAAAGTGGCGATAGCCTGAGGATTTTTAGTCATTGGGAATAGATTACTCGATAACCCATATGGAATCGCTCTTTTCTGTGCAATAGATAACCAAGTTGATCGAATGTCTATGAGCTAATATTGGCAGACCACATCTTAGGCTCGTTGATGGATACCAGGCTTAGGTATTGCTGTCCTTTTGGTCCAAGTTATAAGATTTTCTACCGATCGTTATTTCTTGCGCATGAAAATGTCTGCGTATTATTAGTAGAAGGCAGGGTGTCAAGCAAGACATCAGAATCAATGTTCAGAAAGTACTTTCATTCTCAAAGGTTGCTCGGAGAGATTCCAGGGACGAAAACAAAGAGGGATAGTTACACCGTTGAGCAGAATAGAGCCTAAGAGCGGGGAGCATCAACGCCATCATCTCGCCTTCTTCGAAATAGGTACCTTAACGGTCGGAAGCCCCATTGGATCCCACGATATCGAGATTTATTTTTCGTTTTCGTAGCACAACTAATTAGTAGCTGAAATATTTCACATCACCTTGCTTGGGAGTTCGTATAACTCGCGTTCAGAACGTCGCAACATTTCCTTCGTACTACCAACAGACCCGGATGACCACGTTTGTCTCCAAAGTATTTTTGCCTCCTTCTTTTGACGCGCCTCTGTGGAGACTTCCGGAACTGTTTCTTTTTTCCTTTTTTTATCACCTTTGCTACTACACTTGCGTTGCTCTTTCAAGATCTTTAATTTCGTTTTTTATTTTCGATACGTGAACAAAACGACACACGACGCATCACATGCAAAGTTCAAAGGTGACTGCTATCATGATCATGTAGTTGTAAGTGTTCCAAATACTGAGATATCACAAGCAGGTAAGTATAGAAAGAGAGAGATAAATTGAGGCAACATATTTATAGCAGTAATCGAATGCTTTGGCAAAAGCTTACTTTATTTGGATAAACACAGTCAATATGATAAAAGTCTTCCATAGCACAGCGTGAAGAAGAAAGTAGTAGTAAAATAAAGAAGGGCTTTTGCCCGTTAGAATAGACCTTCAAGCGAGCTGGTTTGCGGGCCACATCCTTCGTTATTTGCCAAATCAAAGTATCTTTAGGGTTTTAAAAAAGTTGTCAGTCATCGCTCTTAATGATAGTATCATTATGCACGATTAAGTGACTCTATCTCAATAAACTACTTACTGGAGATGGTCATCGATATTTTTGATCCCAAAGCCAGAGTCGTAGCAGCCATTTGTCTCAGGGCCGTTGGGACATACCTCTGTGTGCATTGTCATTTCATGTAGTTTAGCTTGGTGAATAAGGACATCACTTTCACTTTCATAAATTTTCGTAAACACTGTCGTACTTACCGATTTCATCTCGAGAATTGATCCAATACTCGGTGCCTCCGTGAACATAGCCCAGCAAGCGCGAAGGAAAGTCAACAAACACTGTTGTATATATATAGCAAGAGATTTATAAGTAAACATATGCTCCTTATGCGATTGCAACGGTGGTAATAGACATTCACTATGAAAAGGGTACACTACTTACAGTCTCTTTTGTTAGTAAGACGATAATATGGAATTCCCGTACTAGCAGCATATTCAACAAATGCCCGGTTACCAATACGGGGAGCGGCTACATACATAATGAATGGTACGTAAGCATTAAAGTAATAAATTCATGAGTAGCAGGCTCGTGTCAATATAATACTGCCCTAGGCAGTGTTGCTTAATATTACCATGGGAGTAAAGAGTGACATTGTAGCCTCGCTGGTGAAGATCCAGAGCATGAAGCGTTGAGGTGCATCCACCCAAAGAATGTCTAAGTTGGTTATTTTTACAGTTAGTTAGATGGAAATGCGTACAGATGAATCGTATGGGATCCGCTTTATTGACTTACCCAGTGGATGTCAAAGAGTAATCGGGATACTCTTGTACCTGTTGCTCAACAACAGAAACAATTTGCTCGGCCACCTCCTCATAGCTTTGATAAAATCCTTTGAATTGGTACGTACCCAGATAATTGTTATTAGTTAACTCAGACCATTGTATGTTACTGTTGTTGCTTGTCGTGCTAATTGTTACCTCTGTGAACTCGTGTAGTCAGAGAGCCGCCTGGATACCTGATCAAGACGACATCTACATCCTGAAGGTTGTTGAAGACAGTGTCAGTGCTCAGCGTGAATAGATCATATTGTGGATCTTATATAAATATGAGTAATACTTGCAGCTTCAAAGTTTGGTTGAGACACGGAACCTAAGTAGCAAAGAAAGTTATGGTTGCTCTTAGCGAAATGAAACATCATTACCAATTGGCAATAAGAATAATGTTCGGTTATAGTTTACCACGGAAGACGGAAATAATACGTTTGCGTTCGTCGTCACGAACAACCATTGCATTCGTGTCGTGCTCTGGTGTAGTAAACACTTCAACGATTTCCATGTTTGCAGTACGGTCACAATTGCCGCAATCCCATTGGCCCCCGGGGATGACCGTTGGACAGTACGCGTTGCCAGCAAGCGTCATGTAGTACTTTAGGTTTTCAACTTCTTCGGATGTCGCCATGCGATTCTCATCGCTTTGACGTTTTAAAAAGACGGGGCCGGCACTCACAAAAGGAAGAACCAGGCACGAAGCAACAGCCAATGTAGTAAAGAGTTTCATTTTCTTTGAGCTTGGTATAATGAAAATGATATAATGGGGTGCAGATTAGATGCGAAAAAGTTGGATCGATTAAGGTGATATGAACAGATTCTTTGTCTCAAGATGTATTTATACCCTTTGTCTCGATATTTCATTTTCCCTTTGCATATGAAAAGTGGAGTTTTTTCTTTCTCCCAATGCCGCGGCTAAGTTATCATATTTCGTCTCGAGGAAGAACGCTCTCCGTATTGGAAAGCATATGGCAGCAGTAGAACAAATATGCGCTTTCGTCTCTTGCTGTCAAGCGACGCAGGAAATGGTAAAAAAAGCTGCAGACTACACCATATCAGGAATAGCCGTGGTAAAGTTTTCAGGTGCATTGCGTAAAACAAATTCCAAGAACATGGTATATCACCCACGACAAGCAAATTATAATTTTCAAACATTCAGGTACAATATCGTCTGCCCCTGGCATTGACAAAGAAATTTTCCCATAGAGACGTACAACATTTCCGAGAGGGTAATGACTTGGTGATACCAGCAATGTCGATTAATTAAAATGTAACGTTGATCGATCTGCCTTCTTCCCCGCACAAAAAGCCAATGCGAAAAATCAAGCATTTTGTCATTTATGATGACTGAAATTAGCGAAATTTTTCCTTGTATCTTTTCTTCAAAGAAAGATACCATTGCATTTTGTGCCATTACTGCATTACACCAACAGACATCTACACATGAACTGTACATACTGTGTGATTTAAATTGAAATTCCTTTTATTACAAATTCTCACATAAAGACATACATACTACATAGGAGCGATTACTAACAATATTATGTACCAAAGGAGGTCTGTTTTGTAGGACGTTAGTTAGCAGCAGTATGTACGACAACGATACATCTTGTGATTGCACTGAACTAAAGCGGAAGCGTTCTGTAATTGCTTGGAGCTCATATACGTGAGCGTAAAACGAATATAATATTTACAACACTATACATCATTCAATAATGGAAATATATCTTTGCCATTGACGATATGTCCATTTTGCTCATTTTCTAATTAGCGTTTAGCAACCACATCAGCAGCACCAATTTCATTCTCTCCATTGATATGTCTACCTCACGACGACCAAAATCAAATAGAGGAATATGCCAATCGTGGATATATTTTTTGTGAAACCCACTTAAAGTTTACAAGCATTAATCTTGGCATACGAAACTTGTGTTCGGCTACATACAAATTATACACCAGTTTTATACTTCGTTGCTGTTTCCCCTTCCAAAATTCATAGTGAAAGGGTTGCTTGTTTCTTCCATGCAGTCCTCAATAGTATCAGAGAGATGTTATGCTATATATGCAAAGTGAACAGGTAAATCAATTGCCTTCATAAAACGATTACACGCGGGGCTATTGGCTCCGTGTTATTGACTAGTAGTGGGCTTCGTGTGAAGGTGATTATCCGTCCATCTCAATATGTTGTGGTAACGGCGTACAGTATCAGCAGCTAGGAAGTCAGTACATATGCTGAGTTCTAGGATCAACAGTGAATGAAGGAGTTTGGCGTCGTTTGATGCTAAAGTGGAAAAAATAACATATCGTTGAGGTTAGAAAAAGAGAAGCATCAGATACCACGGCTAGATTATAACCAGGCAAAGTCGCAGTAACAAAAAGGCCAAGCAAAGCGCCGAGAGAATGAGTTCAGACCCAGAACATTTAACCCACAGATATCTCTTCTTTTAAGGCGACTACAAAAAGGTTCTGTACGACGAAACCTTCTTTTAAATACTTTGGGGCCGTCGAGTTTTTATCAACATGAGCGCAGCCATATACTCGTTCATCAACTCCATAACCAACAGCATAACGTCTCGATACGATATTAAATCGCAAATATCTACAGCGGGACTATGGAAGATTTATCTCGGTTTACGAAAGACGACGGGAAAACATTACGCTATTTTTGTACGTAACGGAACAACACTGCATCATCACATCACACCACCATCGTCACGTATATAAAACTGATGAACAACCCAACAAAAACGACACCATTTACTTTTAGATTTTTGAGAAACGATCGCTTGATGTCTCCTTTAAACGCGAACGAGGTGCCTCGAAAAATGATACGGAAAAAGTCTACGAACTATTAAAAAAAGAAGCAAGTTTCCTTTGAACAATTCCGATAATACTTGGCTACCAGATTGCTAACAATCAGGGAAACATTCTCATTACCACGCTATAGGCTAGCAATTTGGCACGTTTACGGCATCCATCCATCTTGGAAGTGGTAGAGCCGGTTTCGGAATCAAGGTCTTCGATCGCCTTTGTTACGGAACCGTTGTTGGGCACCTTATCTCATTTGCTGAAAATGGACAGTAATTATTCGTCGCCAGGAAGCGATACGGCATATGAAATTGATGAACTAGAGGTAATGACAATACTTTGATGGGCAAAAAGGAAAGGCAACAAAAAGCAAGGGAGTGTGTGTGCGCATGCATGTGGAGTTTTGAGGTGCAATGATATCCTGAACAAAAAACGATATATCCAAATGATTCTATAGATTCAAAAAGGATTGTCTCAAGTAGGCAAAGGAATGCAGTTTCTGAACGATGCCAAAGTGGTACATCACAATTTGACTCCCGATTCTATATTTGTTAATGCAAAGGTATTGGATAGAGAGCAATTGGTTATTTCATTTCATAACTCAGAAGAAAATGTATTTGGGAAGTTGACACGCGATCTTTCAATAAATTGTAGGGCGACTGGAAAATTGGAGGGTAAATTGAGAAAGACAAGAAGGAAAACACGGATAGCTGTGACGGATTTAGAGGGGAAAGAAAGAATTAACTTCTCTCGTTAATTATGTGGAAACAAAAAGGTTGGGCTTTGGCGTTTTTCTCAACAATCCGAGCGAGCATGATACCAGCAGCATCTATGACTTCAACGATTATCTGCCTGAACAGTGTCAAATCAACCTGGATTATGCTGGTAAGCAGTTCTGACAATGTCTATCGAGAACTTGGAGAAGAGTGGTCACAATGTGCATAGAACTAAATCAATCATCTACTACTAGCTCCGGAATTCATTCTCGATAACGAAGTAACGCTAGCCAATGACATGTTCTCGTTGGGCTGTTTAGCATATTCCATCCACAACAAGGGTGTGCCTTTATTGCATACGTTCAATAATCTGCGCACCTATGAACGAAAAGTTCAATCTTTAAATTCGACAGACTACAGAAACATGCCCCCTCATTTCCAAGGTACGTAAAGGCATAGTAACCAAGGGTTGGAGAATTGCCAGCAAGAAGCAATCAGATAGAGTGTTCCGTGACAACTAAATACAAAACAGATGTGATCCGCAGTTTGCTGGCACGATACCCTTCGCAACGTATTACAGCGGAAGAGTTCCAAAAGTCAAAATACTTTGACAACATTCTCGTTTCTACGATGAAGTTTTTGGAGAGTTTCCCGGAAAAGACGCGCGAAGAAAAGAGTCAGTTTATGAAAGGGTTGGCGCGTGTATTGAATCAATTTCCGGAACGTGTACTGAAGCGAAAGGTGAGTGGACAATTCTGGCCATGACCGTAAAAATGTGTGGCTTTACTGATTTTATTTTCTCAAAAGATCCTTCCACAACTCTTGGAAGAACTGAAGAATCATCAGCTGTTACCTTATACCATACCCAATGTTTTTGCAATCGTCGAGCAACTGAATCAACGCGAATTCTGCGAGCTCGTGTTACCGTCCTTAAAACCCGTATTCAACGTCCGTGACCCGCCACAAAACATGATCGTTCTGTTGGAAAAGCTGGATATTCTGCAGCAGAAAACGCCACGGGAAACGTTCAGGGACGATGTGATGCCACTCGTTTATGCAGCACTTGAGGCCCCGACGCCTTTGGTGCAAGAAAAGGCAATGCGTATTGTTCCGGCGTTGGCTGAGTCGCTGGATTATACGACAGTAAAGAATGCCGTGTTTCCAAGAGTACAAGCATTGTTTGTCCAAACAACTGTCTTGTCCGTCAAAGTGAGCACCCTGATTTGTTTCCATTCCATGATCAAAGTAATTGACAAGGTAAATACGATTCATCTCCTTTTAAACTTGTCTCCAGCCTAGAATCAAATGAAAAAAAGCTTGTCTTGATGCTGATTTATTGTGCGTTTAGTATACTATGCAAGAAAAGCTTGTGCCGTTGTTGAAAAATATCAAGACAAAAGAGCCTGCAGTAATGGTAATTACACACCTACATATCCACGCTACATGTAGAGTGCCTTCTAACAGAACCTCTTATATGATTAGTTATCCACATTGGCCGTCTATGATGAACTTGGCAAGCACTTGGATAAGGAAATTATTGCAACTGAAATCTTACCCCAATTGTGGCGAATGAGCTTTGGACCATTATTAAACTTGGAACAGGTAATTATGCGGGAAGGGTTGATTCTACAATGAATGTTGTTTTGCTGATACTATACCCAAACAGTTCCGCAAATTCATGAAAACAATTCGAGAGCTGACGAACCGTGTTGAGGAGGCGCACACCCGGCATTTACAGGAAGTTAAATCTCTTGAAGATCAGACCAAGAGCGTGAGTGCTAAATCTTCACCAATGAATGGCAACGCAACATTGGGTGGAGGAGACGAAGATGTGTCGTTCGAAGCATTGGTTCAGGGTCGTGCAGCAGCAGCAGCTGCTGAAACACCAACAGCAACCACTGATATGTTCTCAGCCATGGATTTACCTTCTACAATGGGTATTTCACCTATCACAGCATCAGCAACAACGACAGCAGCAACGACAACCAATAATCTCATGAGTGGATTGGCGCCAAGCAGTGGCTGGCCCTCAAGTAGTACCTCTGGCCGACAAAGCCCTATGATGGCGCCGCTATCACCTTCATCTGGATCATCAAGTCCAGTTCGACGACCTGCCGCTGGTCCAATGAATCTCAACTCGTCTTCTTATTCATCGACTTCTCATGCCCCATCAACAACATCAAATACCATAGATTGGTCATCATCCATGAATAGAAGTAAGCCGCTTCACAGCTTTGGCAATAACAACAGCATCAACAATAACAGCACCACTACTATCCCGACACTTGCCGGTCCATCCACATATCAGCAACCATCATCATCACCCTTTTCATCCATACCTAGCTTGCCTCCTCCACAACAACATCAACAATCGCAACAACTATCAATGGCCACGCTATCACTATCTTCATCATCTGCATCTGCAGCAAGCGGTTCTAACTATGCTGCATTACACGGATTATCCTCGACAAGCATAATGCCAACCACACCCACAAACACATCTCGATCTTCAAGCATGGAACTACTACAACCGTTATCGAGCAATCGCTCATCAGCACAATCTCGCACATCTATGCAAGGCCAAACTGGACACAAGCTCAACAACTTGACGGCATTTGATCCACTTGGTTAATTGCTCACTTTTTTTATTATCTGTAATTTGTAATAGTAATAGCACACATCATATGACCCATGTCTCTTTCCGCTTTGTAATTGTACCTCACCTATAAGAATGTGGTGCAATAAGGTCGTCTTTAAAACTGCATTATGTACTTTCGTCTCTGAGCAGTTGCTCATACTATTTTAGAACATACTGTTCTACCTAACTTCAGGATACACTGTATATATGCCCGATCGATTGAAGCTATCAACCCAAGTATGAAGTATGTGTTTATAATTCCTTGTGTGATACAATACAAGTGTACATAGTAAGAGATGTCGTGCTTTTGTTTGCAACACGCTCAATCGATGATTATACATACTCTGACATACGCATGCCATGCAGATCACTTAGAATAAGTAGCCGATCATTAGCTCTGACGATATCACAACGACAAAAATAAAAGTAAAAAGGTATCAGTTTTAGTAAACCTCCCTAATTTCCTCTTACTTTATTCGCATTTTCTGCGAGTTGCAGTCGTCATATGTATGTGCTTTAAACCTTTATCGGCAAGAATATCACCCATACCTTTTCCAAGCAAGGTAACTTTACTAATATTGATAGAATTTATTCGAGCTTTAAGTGCCTAAGCTCAATGATATGATATGCTTTTAAAATCCAGGCGCTCCCCGGTTGGTATCATAAGTTTGATTTCGTTAAATATGTTATCAAGACCGGTATTCCTTACACACGCCTAACAAACATACGCGATTGTATGAAGTGCTTATACACTATATAACACCTATAGCATGTAAATGTGTTGCTAGAAATATATGAGCCTTTAGTATTTGTGGGTCTTCCGCCTCGTCTTATGAGCTATTGGGCATGGTGGGAGCGAATACCAAATTCGAGAAAACGGAAAAATTCGTAGGTCATCTGTTACTTTATTAAATAACAATTCTACATCATATTATGTACTGACATGCTCTCATTATTGTTTCTTAAAGGTGCCTCCCAATGGTTTGGAAACGTCAGACTGTTTAAATTCAGTCTTAAACAAAGATTTCAATGATCATTTAGAGTAAGCACAATACTATAAAGGTCTATGAACACACTCTGTCGTATTGTAAGCGTCACTTACTGAAGTTCTGTTTCTAATAACTTTACTAATTTGTACAGCAGCGGTTCATGACTAAGGAAGTCCATTGCCCATAAACGCAAAAATAAAATAGAATTCATACCACGACACAGCTTTATGGTGATACGTAGCAAAACTGGCTGATAGAACTAATAAGGCGACTATTCAAAAAAGTGGGACAGTGTGAATACCTTGACAGCAAAAAACAGTAGATACCGTGTTGAGTGTGATGTATAAGAGTGAATAAATATTTTCCAGACATTCAGGCTCATAGGCTGGTGTTCGAGTTCGGTGAGTACTCAAGTCGGGTTCTTCCCCTTCTTTTCTTTTTTTTTTTTTGGCTATGAGCTTCATCTTTTCAAACCAGTGCCATCCCAATGTAGTCGTTTATTCCTAGCACATGACGATTACGCATAAACTTTAAGTAAATTTATGGTATTCCAAGGATCAATATTGAGATTAACATTGATGCATAGCATATATATATAAAGTAGGTTCATCAATATTAGAAGCTTTTTCCTAAATCAGTTTTTGTAGTGGACACAAAAATCAAAGATCAAGTGTAGTGGCACGGGTCAGGAACCGATCCGTTGAAGTGCCGCTAGAGTAGAGCTCAGGAGCAGGAAGAGAACAATATATATGTACCATCATACCATTTCTCCCTTATAGCCTGCTTACCGGATATGTACTTCGAATCCCCGGAAATGTATGGCTTTGACGTACCTGTAAACAACAAGCAAAAGGTGCTGCATAATCACAAAAATAATGGTTGGTGGATTTTACATAAGCTTTGAGAAAAGAAGGGAAAAAGGAAAAGCTTAATGCGAAAAAAGGTGGATGCAGTACAATGATTCATGGAACGTGCTGTTGCACTCACTACGCTATTTAAGGGAAAAGAAAATAGATGATGCGCCTCTCAAATTTCTGTAGCACAGAAAAAAAATACTGTAATGGAGGAACCAGTGCATACTGCACCGCTTATAGCTCACAGTACAGTATCAATGAATGGATCGTGTGTAGAAAGTTAAAACAACAACAATGGCACAACGTCGGTGTACGTGAATTTGACAATCATGTTTGGATACAGTAGTGTAATGTCCTTATCTTCAAGCCAAGACCCTGGGATAAACGGATCACTGCCATGTAATAGAGTGTGAAAATAGAGAACAATAAACGTAATGCTTAGGTATATAAATTCTTACATCGATAGGAAAGTAATTTCCAATCTAACATGTGTATAGTAGTGATTGAGTCAAAGAATGTGTGAGAGCCACATTCTAATAGTTTCATGTGGTTGCCATAGCAGCACTTTCAAAAAATTTATTCACCCGTCACCATAGTGATACTTGATTTATCTGCCATGAGAACTAGTAATTATGGCAGGATCAGATCACAATTCACGTTAGCGCTTACAACATATCTTGCTTCTATATTCCCAGACGACATGATGAGTAGAAAAAAATAAACCCTTTTTGGGTTGATCCGGATGAATAAAACGTCAATGCTAATTTGCCTTTTTCTCTACGACTCCCTTCTGGACCCACTTACAGGTGACTTATCACTACCCTTTTATTGTTTTCAGTATAATCACTTCAACACATGACTGTTTACGGATCAGCGAGCGCAAGTCAGACGATAATTGTTGAGTAGTAGTCATGTCAAAGCTGGCCCAAATGCGCTCATATCAAGGTGGAAAATGATGATTGGGGCTTTATTTACCACATCCAATCAGATCAGACAATTGTTTCATCTGCAAGTCTAAACTTTTCCACCACTGTCTATGATAGAGATCGTTCTGATATAAATCAGACAGCAACCTATGTAGCGACAGTACAGTAAAAGTGCTAATGGCTTTCAGCCTAAATATTCAAATTTGCCTTTACAAAATCCAAAGCCTTTGATAATCCAATACGTCATTATCTCGTCACTTTCGACGGCTGCGATGACTTTCAAAAAGGCACCGAGTTACGTCCGTTTAAGATATGCTCTACTTACTTGATCTACTATATGGGTAAACGGGAATGCAGTATGTATATAAGCTGAGCAACAAGTCAGATGATGATGGTTTTTGCTTTATTTGGTACAGTTTAAGTGCAGGAGAAAGGAGGGAAAGAAGAAGAAAACTATTAACAGTAGGTATACTCCACAATTGGCCCGCCTATTTCTGAGATTTCTGGAATGGTGCATTTCAGATCGAACGCCTTTGCGAGAACGATTTTGTATATCTTTTGTACATTGATCGAGTGCGCCGTTGAGCAGAAAATTAAGGGTGCTTTCATGGCCCGTGCATATTTTCTTGCCTACGCATACGCATAAGAACCCCCAGAAATATCAGCTATCAACCTTTTATAACAACCAGTATGTAGACCTTACCTGTCTGGTTACTTCCTCGTGATCATTGTCGGAAAGATGGACAAACTCGTCATATTTAGTTCCGACCAACAATGGAATAGCGCACTGAAATGAAGGAAAATCAGGATAATCAGGGGGGGAAAGAACAAAGTAAACAATCGAATAATGAAAAGGCTACTTCTTCGTACCTTGTTCATGCCACGTGCCTGTCGATACCATTCTTTGATGCTGTTGAGTGTTGATTTACGAGTCAGATCAAACGTGAACAGGATGGCAACTGCGTCATTGCATACCAGAGGGAGCATGCTCACGAATTCTTTCTGGCCTAGTGTCATCATCATATCAATGAAGTGCAAGCTTCTTCACAGACAGTTCCAATATTAACAGCAAAAAGAAGAACAATCAACGGCACCCGTTGTAGCTTACCACCTAGGTCCCAGATACTGAACGTAATCTCTGTGTGTTTGATCACGATCGACTTTTCCATGAAATTAACGCCTGTGATCATGAATATATCAGTTTCTGGAGCAATCATCTTTCATTCCTTCCACTCGCTTAAACTCTCATACACACCGCACACTTTTCTTTATACAAACCTAGCGTCTGTACATATTCCTCATCAAAGGCGCCTTCAGCGTACTTGACCATAAGACTTGTCTTTCCGATGTTTGTATCACCAACTATACCGGTTTTGAGCACGATACTACATCATCACAGGGGTTAGGTTTTCCCTCGAGGAAGGTTCACAGCCACTAGGCTTGTTTTGTAATTCAAGTAGGCGGTAGATCATACCTCTTTCGTGGAGGTTCGGAGACTTCAGCTGGAGAATTTCTCGTGGTGCTCGTAGTAGAAGTGTTGGTAGTAGTCGTCGCAGCAGTTTCATGTGGTGAAGGTGGTATGGCTGACGATGACGAAGTGGTCATGACTGTTTGGTGTATTACACAAGAACTAGAAACCAGAAAGAAAAAGAAAGAAAAAAAAAGACAAGACGCTTTGTTCAAATAAACCAAGAGGTGATATTATTTCTTCATATCCTATTCAGCAGCCACAACAACAACAAAGAAGAACAAGAAGTCGTCACAGATCACAGATCAGAGCAATCCAGAGTGCAGCAGGACAAAGGACAATGAGCGCCCCTTCGTGTCCAATGAGAACAATGCAAGACACAAGGATGTGACGGGGGATCGCCTTGGACTGTGGTGGGGGGGCGTTTTCCGAATTGGGATAAAATTGCGGACCTCTCTGGCCTCGCACTCTGTGGTTGCTCTGCGGGATGTGTCTGCCTCCACGTCCGTTGATCGGTTTCACCGGATGTTCAAATGGGGGGTTGGGGAGAGCTGGTACCTTAAAAAAAACAATTTTTTCTTTTCTCCACCTTTTTTTTCCGTTTCTTTTTTTCACACACCCCACCTGCTTTTGTAAATATAAATGGTGGATGTAAATAGCAGCACAACCGCTACTACTGCTACTACTACTACTACAATTACAGCAGAAACAGCAGCAGCAGCAGCAGCAGCAGCAGCAGCAACAGCAGGGCTGAGCAACAGTAATTCCATCATGATGATGAGGCGCCATTCGCTGTATCACAATCAGCCTGCTGTTTGTAACAAGAGTAACAGCACCAACACCCACACCGCAATCACCACAGCAACCACCTGCCTAACAACACCACGCACACGCTGCCGTTCTCATTCCACCTCTTCTCTTCCCTCTTCTCCCACCATCATGCCCGAACTCGCTACGTTTTCATCCTCCTCCGACGACTCCTCCACGATCAACATTCATGACGACGGCGACGACGACGAATCCGCCGGATTCTTACAGTACATGGACGATCAGGTCCACGAGACCTGGGACAGTGCAAAAGCCCTGGTGGTCGGTGCTGAACGTCTTTTACGATACCACGAACTGCCAAAAGAATGGCAGGAGAACGAATACGTGTTGTCAGGGTGAGACTTCTTTTTAAATTCCCCCCCCCCTTCTTTTTGGGCACTCCCCCCCCTCCTCGGTTGGAACTTTGCAGTGTTTAACACCCCCTTATTACTTTTGTTTAGATACCGGTTCTATGCATCTTCCCGAGACTGCGTCAGATCAATCTTTATGCTTCACAACGAAACCCTCAACATCTGGAGCCATTTGATCGGCTTCATTTTCTTTTCCTTCCTCAGCGTCTCCGTCTTCAACGTAAGGGTTTGAATCTGTTTAAAAGCATAAAGCGAAAGAGAGAGAGAGAGAGAAGTCTTAGTTAAATTTGTTGCTTGGTTACCGTAGCACCATTTCCCGGAAGCACCCGTGAGCGACCGAGCCATCTTTGCTACCTTCTGCATAGCCGCATTGAAATGTCTCTTTTGCTCATCGATATACCACACCTTCATCTGCCACCACAAAATCAAGGGCTTTGCCGCAACACTCGACTACATTGGCATTGCCTTGCTGATTGCAGCCTCTGTTCTTGTCACCGAGTACTATGGATACTACTGCCGGCCAGTAGCTCGTTCACGGTACATGGTCTTTACAGGCTTCGTCAGCAGCTTCGGTGTTGTCTTGCCATTCTTTAAATGCTGGGACACCAAAGAGTTCCGACCCATTCGCATCGCTGTATTCCTGTCCCTTGCGTTCTCGTCCATCGTGCCCGTGCTTCATTTGGTGGCCCTCTACGGATTCTGGTCCACGTGGGCATTTTTAGAACCAGCCATGATCAGCGTGTCCATGTACCTGCTTGGCGTCCTCTTTTGTAAGTTTGTTTGGAACAACAATCAGCCAGCCCCCGCAGCTATATTCAATACTGATCTGCTGTTGCTTCTATCATTAGATGTGAATCGGTGGCCAGAAAAGAAATTCCCTGGACGGTTCGATTATGCTGGCATGACAAGTCATGCTATTTGGCATGTGTTTGTTTGCTTTGGCATTTATGTAAGTTTAATGTCTGTTTATCTAGTGTTTGTGTTTATACACGTCTTGGAGGAGACAAACATGCTAACACGTGACATGATGAAATGCCATAGTTCCATTACATGGCGTCGCTTCATTTCTACAAGAATCGATTCACTTTCGGTTGCGCCGTCTAGATCACCGTCATTACCACCACCACCACCATCATCGTCATCATCATCATCATCGTCATCATCAACCCATAGCCAGTTTATTTATGTAACTTCCATCCACTTTCGCCCCACCTTTATCAGCAACAACAACTACAACCATCGTCTATCCTCCGATTCATCGGATAGAATTGTGTATACCGCGTCGGGTGTGGGACATCTCTGCTGGGGCACGCACACTCTGACCTCCCATACTAATGCACGGCAACAAGCCTTATTCTTTCTCGCGTGCCACATATAAAAATGTCGACTCCATACTGTTGTGCTATATATCTCCAACTACAACAACAATGCCCAAATATTCTTATATGCGTATATATAAAATAAAAAGTATTCCTGTTTGATTTTCCTATATTATCTCTGACAATTAAGCAACATGACGACGATCCCCGTTAGATGACCGACGCAGTCGAGATGTTCATCCGAAACAACCCAGTTTCACAGCCCGGTTGTAGTTGTTGTTACTTCTCGCTCCTTATAGGAGATGCAGTAGCGATGGTAAACGGTATCGTAAATTCTTCTCAATATACTAAAGAGACATAAAGCCCCGGTAACCTTTCTTTCGGTCAGAAAACAATCGAGTGAACTTGGATGATTAACAAACATCACTGCCAACTACACAGCAGATCAGAGATCGGCTAAATGTTGAAATGTATCACTGCTGAATTCAGAACAGACAAGCGGTGACACAAAAAAGAAGCTTTCGGATAAAATATAAAGGCCATGGTATTCTCAGCGTGCTGACCAGACCTGCCAACATGGTTCAATTGTTCCAGTAAGAATGAAGTCGACCGTGTTGGCGCTTCTAATGATGGTTTTGCCCAAGGCATAATATTTATATTATTTTGTGTAGTTTCTGATGCTGTAACTGACCAGATTCGTACCAGAACGTCTCAACCTGTATGTATATATATTATGTATGCGAGTGTGATTGATAAGCATAATAACGTTTATTTGATAGAATATGACGTTGAACGGGTGGTGGATTGGATAGATAAAGAGATAATGTAGGAAAGGAAGCCTTAGTATGCGTTTAATACGAAAATCTAAATTAGGCATAATGTTTGCAGTGAACGGGGGATAAGTGATAAGCGTATTTGCTTGACAAAAAGTGAGAAAGAGGGAGACTAGTGGTGGCGTACGAATGCAGGACCGGTTTCAATAAGATCATCCACATGGTCTAAAAATGCTTGGATACCTTTGAAGTATTCAGGACCCAGTATTTCAGCGTCTTGCACATTATCCATCAAAGGCGCCTCCTTGCTAGTGTTGTTCCCAACCGTCGTTAAACCATGCAGAGACTGTTGTCGGTCTTCTTCGGGCAAGGGCATTTCCTTGAGGACGACGTGCGCACTATTTGGATCAATCCCAACCTGAGCCAACCATTGACGGGCTAATGCTGTACGATCTTGCTCAGGCCAGTGTTCAGAAGACGGAAAAAAGACACACAATTCGTTACCGTTCAACAACACAGCACGGAAATTCTTGCCATAACGTTGGATTTGGTTCAAAAGCATGACCACCTGGGCCAAGTACATCTGATACGTCTCTGCAATCGAATGCACGGATTGGATCAGCGAAATATCCAACAACTGTGAACTTGAGCAAGTGCGCAGCTCGCTTGAATGCCACAAGGGTGCGCCGTCCAATTGGAATGATAAACAAACGACCGTGGGCTGAACTGTTTTGTCAGGCGGTGCTTTCACTCGACTCGAGTGCCAATGATGATGATGTCGTCCGGATGTTGTGGATGCCGTCGTGCCTCCTTTGCAATGTTGTGGCGTGTATCTGAACGACAGATCATCGTGACGGATGATATAATCGTATTGTGGACCACCAGTCATCTTGTTCTTGTTGCTGTTGTTGCGAGCATTACGAGATGCAGTGCGACGTCGACCGTCATTGCCGGCGGCGGCGGCAACAGAGCCACGACGAACCAACCCAGGTTGATGACGCTTGTTGGGATAGGCTTGTCCTTCTTCTTCTTCCTCCTGGATCAAGTCCGACATGCCCTTGCATTGCTGCTGGCGGGAAAACAAGTTGTTGGGCTTGCAAGAAGCAGGATCCTTATTCTCGTCATCATTGTTTGCGGTCGACAGGGGCGAAGGACGAGCGTGGGCTTCGTTCCCATTGGAGAACGGCGACGACATTTTCGAACCGGCAGGCGAAAAGAAGCGAGACGAGATGTGTGAGAACCCACCAGCACCAGTGGTATTGGCGCACGAACTATTTGCTGTCTGCTGGAACAGGGTCACACACGGTGATTTGGCGGTCGAAAATTGACGAGCGGCAAAGGGTGTACGAGCATACCCTACCACTGTACGAGGGAAGAGTCCTCCGCCACTGTTATAGAACCCGTTGGCAGCAGCAAAGAACCCATCCGTTTGACCAGTTAGAAAGCTTACTGAAGACGAAGACGAAGTCGTTGTTGTAGTGGAGGACACAATCGTACGAAATTGCTGCGGGTTCGCAAACGATAGTTGGAATGCGTAAGGTTTGGCAATGGTGGGTGCCGAGAATACCTTGACAATGGGAAACTGTTGCTGTAAAACTTTCAGTAATCGCTGCTGTTGTTGCTCGGCGACATGATAGAGCGCTGGTGCTTTGGGATGGAATTGTGCTGTGGCAGTCGAAATGGCTTGTTGCGTTGTAGAAGCATGGTAGAATCGAGCTTTTGCGTTGTGGACAGCGGACGAAACTGTGGGTTGTTGCTGCTGCACCAACTCGGTAACCTTGGCTTCAAGGAAATGCCGTAGCTGATGCAGCGGTGAGAATATCTTGGCAGGACGTAAGAGCATAGTAGTCAGGTTAATGACTCATTGCTTTTATGTTTGAAATGGATATGCCCGTGTACAGTCTGTGTGTGTCCGATTAATTTAAAAGAGGAGAAAAAAGAAAAAAGAGGAGGAAAAAAAGGAAAGTCAGAATAAATGCCCAGTGCACACACGCATACACAAGCGAGCCAGATGACGCGGACATTTTTTCACTTTTTGGGAGAGGATTGTTATTTTATTTCTATGATACAGGTGCACGAGACAGCTGCTGGATGGCTTGCACATCAAAGATGCCCTTGAGCCCCCTTTGCGCAATGCCTGCAACCACTGCACTGGCAACGGTGTCGATGTGCAACGGCGGCGTGGTCAAGCTGGTACCGTAGGGCAGCGTATCGAGTTCCTTGGCCACCGGCTTGGTTATCATGTTGGCGACTTGGATAGCCGCGGCCAGCGGTGTGGCAGCTGGTCGTTCATGGCTATACATAAAACCTTAATGGTGCTATACATGAGTCAAATGTCTCCTAACAGTTGCATCCGCGCATGACTCATAGTCTTATGTTACCTGGTCGAAGCACAATCGACCGGAATTCAGGTCTTGAGAAAAGGAACTGCTCGGCTTGGCGTTTTGTGCTAATGTAGCGTGGATCCACCATGGGAAAGATGTCCGATGCTGATACGAATACAAACGCATCCACCGACGGTTGTTTCGCAGCTTCCTTGGCCAGGGTCACAGCTTGTTTCTTTGTATATCAGCCATCAAAGATCACCATCGTTCATGCCATAGTTTTTATTTTGTACTACTACTACTACTTCCGATACCCACACATTAATAAGCCTTCCCTACTTACTGGTATCCCGATTCACCATTTCGAACGTCGGTCGCGGTGTTTCCCGAAGCGGATTACCACGATCCCGCATACCTACAAGTTCGCCTGCCAGTCGTGCTACACCATTCGCTGCATCGCATAGATTCTTTGCTCCTACCACTTGCTTGTAATCCATTTCGGAAATCATGCCAACAGTATGTACAACATCGGTCACGTTTTCGAGCAAGTGCTGATATGTGGCTGGCTCTAAACTGTCGCCTGCTTCCCATAGTACCTTTATAATACGTTTCCCCCCGCGTGAGGTCAGCTTTTTTCCAATATGTACACGGAGGTGGGATCGGTCACACGTTTCTCTGATTTAAATATAATACCTTTTCTGCCCAAGCAGGTCGCGGCCCGTGTTGTAGAATCTCAGGTGTACCTCGTCGACTATTACAATAAAGTCATTCGTCATAATGGATTCTACAACGATCGTTCTTCAAACGATCAAAACAAATGCAGACACACACCTTAAACTAATTGTTTCCCAACCCTGTCGAATGGCATGCTTGCAAACGCTCAAACCTTTTGGAACAACGCCATATTAAAACTTCAGATTCTGTTTGTAAAGGAGAAGACAGAGCGTACCTAAGAACCCTGAACCGCCTACGACCAGAAGTTTTTTTGCAGCAGGTTGTGCCATGTCGCGTTTGTGCAAAGTGTATTATGTTTTGATGGGCGGGATGAATGAATTGTTGTCAGGTGCAAACTCCATCATTTTCTTGTGCAACCACACTCATTCTGTCACATACGCGACTTTTTTTTATGACGAAAGAGAAATATGACTCGAAAGCTCATAAACTAGAAAGGGGCGGGTCGCACTATAGTTTTTTCCCTCTTCCCAAGCTGGTAGCTACATACTTGTTGTGTACAATGGCGGATAATTCTGGTGTCTGCTACCCAAGTATTCTTCTCGAGCATCATACGAAGAGCTAGGACTATATGCGTCTGTTTAAAGATAGACAAAGACGAGCCTTTAACAAACTCGCATCACGTCCAGTATGATAGTAAGCTCTTCCGCTTCGCTTTGTCTTGTATATCTGTGGTTGACACTATCGTGCAACGATTGATGACGATAGAAGACGATAAAGACGAAGTCGTATGTGAGCTTAATTGTCGTTTTTAAAAAAGATTCCTAATCCATTCTAACCATTTTTCAAACACTACATACCAATTTCTGAGACAATGAAACAGTACTGTAGGTATGCACAGACCAACGTAAACTTTTCTAATCAACTACTACGAGGTTTACCTGGCAACGCAGTTCGACCCACAAGAACTTGTATCAGCTAATGAGCTAAATTAAGTGGAAAATGTAAACTACATAGCTGCACAGTACCACCTGAACCAGGAACTGCAATCATCGAAAAAGGGCGATACGCCAGAGCCGCATTTCATGCATGCATGTGCGTGTGCGGCTTTTATATTACTTCCTGTATCATACATAGCTGTAACTTTAACTATGGTATAGTATTTATCCCTTGTATATATTAAGTCTTCTTTGTCTCTTTCACTACGCCTAACCACAATCATGCATCACCATGCTGTCGCTGGTGTATCGCACCAATGGTGTCGTACTTTGTACGTTTTGCCGTGGTCCGATCACATTTCTCAGGGGAAGTTTGTATAGCACGCCGCCTTTGGCTACCTTGCAGGAATAGACACATGGCGCCATGAATTGATCATACAGTATAATAGAGTAAAGGAAAGTCCGAATTCTTATTTGATATTTTGTCACCAAGGTTATTGCAAAAACAAGAAAACAAACTCGAGCGGGTATCTTGGTTGAGAGGAGGAGGGAAGATAATACAACAGGAACAACAAAGAATGAAAGTTTTTTTTTTCTCGCAGGGGTAAAATACAACACTGTTTGAACTGAATGGGTGGAAGATCGTTTAAGCAAAGGACCAAGAGATCTTGATACGACCAGCAGCCGTATCACCAATCTTCTCGAACGCACCTATACTGAAATCCACATCGTTCTTGGCGCAACCAGGACACGTATCGACGACAGTGGCAGTAACGTCTCCCTTGTCGGTCTCTACTTTGATCTTTTTGTTGCAGTAATTTTTACCCGAGCTCATCAATTTCGAGCTCAAAGCAACGACCAAGTCGCTGTCTTTGTTGGTTTTGCCACAAGATCCTAATCCAACCGTGTAAAAGGTACCGTCGCCCGAGAACGAACCGCCACCACCTCGGCGCTCAATTGGAAGGCTGTTCACGGATGAGGAGCAGACCAAGACGAGTAGTGCTGCTACGAGAGTCACGAGAAAGAATTTCATTGTTTGCTGTTGCTGCTGTTGTCTGTCGGTTTATCGGAACAAGTGGAAACGAAGAAGGAATGGGAATGGGATATGTTTGAAGGGAATGGAAAGGGCTTCTCTTTTTTTGCTTTTGTTTGGAATAGTACAACAACAGAAAGGAAGAACAAGGCGAGTGCCTGTGGGGTTGAGATGGAAGGTGGCTCGCTAAGATCGGGAAGGAGATGGGGTGCGTTGGGCAGGAACTACGCCTTTTTATAATATCCAGCCCATGCAACAAGAGGGTGGAAATTTTAGCCATATTACCAGTTAAAGGAGAGCGGCAGAAGCAGTAGTGCGGTTGAGTTGGGATGGAACCTTCCCCCGTTTGCCAAACCGGCCTTGTTCTGCATTTCCCTTCATGGCAACCCACGAGCCACTATGCTGCGCGGACTTGATTCTTTAGCGCGTTAGCTTCTGTTTAGGCTGTCAAACTACACTTGCAGACTCTCATCATGTACTTTATTAAACCCCTCCCTATCTTCCCCACCGTCCCACACACACACTCTCTCTCTCCTCAGATCTTTTTGCATCTTATCTACACTACTCGCACTGACACACACTCTTTCCTGTCCTGCATGGGCAGAGTGGTGAGGAGAAACGAACCTTAAAATATACAAGAATGAAAGCCAGGGTAAAATAAGCCGGAACCATTTAGATCGGCTTGATTATGCAGTTGCGCCATGTACGTGCCATAGCGTAAGAATGGGGAGCGTATGCTTACCAATTTATTGATAGGGGAATAAGAGATGGTATCACTGTCATACTGAGAAGGCATCAGCAAAAGGAGAATCATCATGTCAGACTGTGAGTGATACCAAAGCGGTAAAATGAAAGCTATTCGATCATTAATGCGTATTTTCTACGTAGACGTAGACAAGTTACAGTAAGCAGATACTCAAGTAAATGTGAGCGAGAAGTGTTAGCTACTCGTATATAACATACTTACGACAATAAAATCCATGTAAGAACTTCAGTACAGACATGATGCTTTTCCTTTCTATGTATACAAGTGTCTATTGGCAATAATAGTTGTAATATGTCACTTGGCTATGGTACAACGATTACATAGGTCTTATGTACTTTGAGCAAGAAATATAGTATAGCCACCTGCTTCGGTCGGTATGTTGACGGTGATTCGTGCCCTTGCTCGGATGCGGGTGGTGATGAGAACGAGAAAGTGAATGTCTGTGCTCGTGATGAGGAGGTAGAAGGAGACAGAGCAGAAACTTCTGGAGTATAATGCGCCAAAACTTGGGGCATTGTAAAGTGCACTTCGTCGCCTCGGACGAAAAGTGTGCAGCCTGGGGTTATGTTGATATTTCCACACCGTGTAATAGGGTCTTGAAAGAGGCACTTGATGTTGATATAGTTTCAGTAACGCTGGCTTATCACAGTGACAGTAAATCGCGCTTTGTCAAGGCTTATATCTTTCCGCAAGATGATAGAGCACGTCAAAACAGAATTACCGCAGTTTCCTAGGTCTTCATTGGCCTCTAAATTATCTTCTTCTTGACCATCATTGCCGTGAAGTTGCTTGCGATGACGCTCCCAAGGGTTCTAAATGAAAGTGAAACACGCAGATCTGTGATCATGCCCACCCATGTCGTCGATGTTTGTTCCGAGGAGCATGATAGTGACAGCTTTCAAAAGTGATGCCATGGTTCAACGTAGCTCTAACACAAGCGTTATAATTGCAAAACCGTTGAGGCTGAGATGGCAAATTGTGATTGACAAACATATGGATGATTCGAGTCTCTTTTACGACGATATTAGAAAGAAACGCAACGATCAGATCCATCACCTCCTCCATCCTTCGACAAAGCGGTAAATGTTTTGTGCACTTGGTCTTTATGTAATATTACAGTATACGAGAGTTGTTGTCGCTGTTGTTGAGCACTACGACTACTACTATTATACTGCCGGTATCTTGCTGACCATGTTCGTCGATCCTACTTCAAACCGAGTCTTTTCCCTCGAGAATCATTTGATAAAACACGCTGTCAATCCGTTTTTATGGAGAAGAGTAGAATAAGAAGTATAGTAATAAACACACATTCAAACCAGTGTTATTAAATATATAATAGGACATGCTAATAGCGACGACATTACCACTTGACAACATCTCATTATGTTGCAGTAAATTTTCTCAATCCTAATTAATCTTCAGAAGAATGTGCACACGAAAAACCCCAGAAGGTAATGGAAACGATGCCAGTATTCTTCTGATATAGATCCCGGTAGAAGTTGCCAGGCATGGTTTCAAATAACAAGATTCGAAAGGATATTCAATGATAAGATGCAGAAGAGCTTCATTTTGTTGTTAAACAAGATATGCACGTTGGAGAATTGATATATCTTACTTGCTGATTCATACTCTAAGTAGTGGGTCGTCAGCATCAATAGTGGTGTTAAATAGTGTATCGGGAAAGGATGACTAGTGAGATACATACTCCGTGGCGGATGTGCACCAAAGAAGTAAGCCATTGCAACTGTGGTATTCTGTCGCAAAATGTTGATATGGTAATTAGGGTTAATGTGCTTTCGTGGTGTTGTCGATAATGCAAATTTGCTCTGGTGCTTGTGTTGCAAGTGGTGGCGGCTCGAATTATAAACGAAAGCCAGAACCAGCCTGGAGCATATGAGACACGTTGTAGACGAAGGAAGAAAAATCATGGATGTAGAAGCAAAGTTTGCTGTCAATATCGACGCAACGCAAACCAATAAGGTATATGTTCTGATCTGCTTGGTTATCTAGTAAAGCACGAAAAACATACATGGCTTGTTTATACAAAATCCAGTGCTGGTAGCTCGCTGAATGTTCAGCATGAATACAACGCATAAGGCTGTTCTTTGATAATGGCTGATATTATGTATGTATATCGTGAGGTAGGATTCTGATGGCTTTGTGCGAGTCACTGATTTGTAACACATTGTGATTGAAATGGCTCCATGTGCCTCAGCGATAACTAAATACCGTAGACGTATTGGAGTTAATCTTTGTTTCATCCGATTATGTCCTCTTATTATTGTTCAATCTTTTTATTATCTTGAAATTTATCTACATCAGCAGCAACATTACAATAGAAAGAGATATCGTTTGGCTCTTTTAGGGCATCATGGGAGGCTTGCCAACGCCACCAGCTTCGTTGTAAACAAGAAGCGATACCTTGTATGCCAATTCATCACATTCCGATCGAGTCGCTGCCTCAGCATAGACACGAACAGCATCCTCGGTACCAGAAGCACTGTAGCGAAACAAAACAAATCAGTTGATCACAGTAAATTTGGCCTTGAAGGTCGTCGTTAATAGGAAGCATGTGCTCTTACCGAACAAAGGAACGGCCTTGCGAGTACTTGGCAACGTGTTCATTAATCTTTTCTTGGAGACCTTCGGGTTCAACCAGCTCGCGCTCTGCATTTGTGGTCTTGAAAATGGTTCGGTCAGCGACAACGACCTTCACCAGTCGGTTGGGAAGATCAGTGTATGCCTGGTCCCATTCCTCTGGGCTCCATTCACGGTTGGTAAGGATGGTTTCAACGAGTAACATGTCTGAAATAGCATCACCGACGGTCTGGTTAATAACATCAGTGACGGCCTGTAACTGCTGGATGGATTGTTGCTGTGCAGGCGTCTTACTGCATATTTTCGAGTTAAAGTATTTAGTTAACATGTTTTCCTGTTAATGTATTTGTAGTACGAACGATGCACTTACGCTTCAGCGGTTTTGATTGTGTTGAGCGCTTCGGGGCTAAAGAGAACAGTGCCGTGTCCATTGGCTTCAAAATAAACACCAATATCGTACTTTTCGGCTTCATGATGAAGATGCTTTACACCGGTGGGCACACATGACACGGGCACTTTCTAAACTCGTACACATAACCCAAAGGTTAATGTTTTTGTCACGTCCAAAACATGGATTCCTCTAGAATTACTTACTAGAACGTTGGTAAGATAGTTGGTGGAGCTGCCATTGGCATATGCGGTCTGGACGACGCCAACCTTCAGGGTATCGATGCCTGCATCCTGCACGAGTTCCATAATAAACATTGCAGCCAATCCAGCAATCTTATCGCCATCCAACAGCTTGAAGACGTTATCTATAAATCCTTGTATTAGATCGGTTTTTTCACTCTTTATCTTTTCGGGTGAAGGATCTCTAGGGAGTTAGGAAAAAGTACATACTGCTATCGACATAGTAAAAGACAATACGGTCGGCATCACCATCGTACGAGCAGTATCTGTCGCCAGGAGCAATTTCAGAGCCCAAAGGAGCTTGCTGGCGTGTCTTTACAAAGTCAGCACCACACTGGTTATGTAGATACCGTTAGCATTATATGAGCATGTTGAGTTATTTGTATCGCTTTCCCGCCAATGTACTGAGAGTGACTTACATCCTTGTTGAGTTTGCCCTGGGTATGGGTGTCATCATTGATGATCTTGAGAGAAAGAACATCTTCTGGAAGATGCTTTGCAAACTCCGCTAATTTAGGTGCACCGACGCCGTTGGCACAATCAACGTGGAGAGTTGACAGGCGAGGTTTTCCGCTCTGTAGGTTATTTTAGGTGTTACAAAAATAGCGCTTGTTAACGACGACGCGACATAGTTGTACATGAGCTGATTTATCCTTAAATTAGATTCAGACCACTTACCACTGCAACCTTGAAGGCCTCCGAAAGCTTCTTGTAATAGCCTTCTTCTGTAGGCTCACCATACGCGTCGCTGGTACCAGCTGAGTTGATGCAACGAACAAGGTAGTGCAGCATGGGCGTTGTCTTTAATCCAAATCCGGTAGCTTCGGCGCCAGACACAGTCAAGCCCTGTTCCAGACACTTTACCAACTCGGGGCAGCTCGGTCTATGCTCCACCACAAAAATACACATGGCACGTATCGTTTATTCAGTTTTTGACACTCTCTATCGCTGATTTTCAGGGACTCTCATCGATCTCTCTTTTCTCTTCTTACCTGGTATCATATGCATAGATGACAGCTGCACGTGCTTCTACGTTGATTTCATGAGCAGTAACGATCTGGTCAATTGCTTCGGCCAAGCTATCCCCATCGTTAGCATTTGCAAGCTTAGTAGCATAGCTTTCCCATGACTGTTCCAGCATTTCACCACGAGGATCAACAAGCTTGACACCGTTATCCTTTATATATCGATCCAGTAAAGTAAAAAATATGAGTATATCAATTCCAGTTGCGAGAGTACGTATAATACGATGAGACATATAACAACTGATAAATATTGGGATCATTGCAGTTTACCTCTTCAGGGTTGTGAGACGCGGTAATCATGACACCGATAGTGGCACCATTTAACTTCTTGGAGCGCAAGGTAGCCAAGATGCCTACTTTGTACATTACAGAGTCGAGCAACTCGGCCCTGTTTCACGAAGGTTATTTAAAAAACAGTAAAGCTGTCAGATTGACAAAGGGGTAAAAAGCGATGACAACAGGCTAAAAAAAGCCCCAAAAGTTCGCAAAGCAACATACTTGGTGCGGAAACCGGCAGTACCGTAGGCGTACTTGGTGCCTTCAACCTTGTGAGGAATGATGTTGGATTTGATGGCGTTGTAATCAAGAGTCATGGTCATCAGTGGAAAAGCGTGGAAAAAGTAATAGAGCGCGAAAAAGCAATGTGTGGGCTGCTTTTAACTACGATGCATGATCGATTCAAAGTCAGTTCTCTCTCGGTATCTCGAAACATCGTGACGAGAGGAGAACGTAAGACACACATACGCGAACTTTGCTATTTCGTCATGACCACCTTCGTGAACGAGCACATTAATCAGCTCAACAACTCGCTCTCGACTGCATTTCAGCTGCAGGAATATGCTCAAACAGAAAACGTGTCTAATCCCGAGGCAGCACTTAGCCAGCACAATGATCCCAACCTGTTCCTAACACTCGCAAGCCAAGACATAGACTTGTCGCGACCAACGCTGCCCATAGTCGAAACAGTAAAGAAATATCTCGATTTGTATACCTCGACAAAGGACACAGCAGGAGAAGGCTCAACACTCGAGTGGGCATTCATTGCCAAATGCTCGGTCGCTTTGTATGGCGATTTGCTCAACCGTGTGCTCAACTCGACACTTCCACTTTCCGAATCAGTCAGCTATTGGAATAGCGTCTATGGCAGCTCGCTTAATGAAACCTATTATGCACTTCAAAGTAAGTAATTTAATCCAGACTTGGCTTGAGACTTGCTAAGGACAAGAGTAATGTATCAAACCTAATATGTACTATGTATCCACGTCTTTTAGCTGCCCCTGTACGCGTTGTTTCGTTGGCATTTCATACAGTCAACACAATGCGTACGACTCAACTCGGTCTAGGATCGGTTTTAAGATCATCAGACCACGTTATTAGTAGCCTTTTCCCGAATCGGACGCGTACAAAGAAAGCGATCCGTCATTCGCTCGAGTTATTCTCACCTCATCGACCGCTATTAGCGCAACTGATCCACGAAGAAATAGGCCACAAAAAGCAAATGCTCGAATCACTACGAACGCAACAGGCTACGCGACTTGGATTGTTAATGAAAATGGCACCACAATTCACACCTGAGCGCATATCACAAGATATCGAAAGCTGTGTGAACTTGATGGAGTATATCATGGAGCCATTTATTACTGCTAGCATTCCGAATAGCAGTGCTGCCAGCACTTCATCGTCAATGACAGGACAAGATGATACGACTATTACGCCTGTGAATGTTCAATATGCTATTGGTAACGATCCTCATTATCGATTATTCTTTCAATAATGGCGTGCTAATCAACTGTTACGATCGATAGATTCCATGAACAGCGTTCTTGAGCGCAGTACCCCTCATGCAATTGCCAAAAGACTCAGCCGAATGATCGGTGAACTACCAACCTGCCACGAGAATTTGAACTCTGTCCACGAGCTTTACCAACCTCCCTCAGCGCTTGTTCGTTATTGGATTCCAGGCCTGGTACTATACATAGTTGGTAACACAGCCACGACCTATGTATATAATCGGAGAGATGCGTTCCTGACATGGTTTCACGAGCTCGGTAAAACCGCCTGCGATTTTGCCGTTAATTGGATTTGGGAGCCTGTCCTGAAGGTGTGGGAGACGATTCGTTTAAAGGATCAACGGCTGGGTGTATTGAGCAAAGAAGGTCTGCGTAGTGACTTGGATGTAAGTTGCTTTTCATCAACAATTCCTCTAACCACCAAAATTAAGAACGTTAGAGTAATTTTTGTTCTTGTGATCTAGTCATTAGAAAGAATGGTCATCCAATTTGCAAGCGATCATTATCATCTATCGGAAAGCGACGCTCAGCAGCTAGTTACTGAAGTCCGTGATGGTGATTTGTCCGTGGTCCTAAGAGCGTATGAAAATGAGATAAAGGTACATATATGCCTAGTAGAGACGTGGAGAATCTAAACTTATATAAAGTGATTTGCTGATCTTACTCCTGGTATTTAGCATCCTTTAAAAAACGCAATCACTGGTAAGATATTCTGCTAATGCATGTATGCTTATAATCATATGTCTCTCCTGCTTCTAATCCGTTACTGTCATCTATCATATAGGCGACCTTATCCAAACCTTGTTGATCCAAGTTCAAAAGACCAAAGTTGATGTGGATCTGGCCATGGCGGCTCTTGACAAGCTCTTGAAGTCGAACGAGTTGAACTTTGCCTTCCTCGGTAAGGCAATATCGACACGCAGTATAGTTTTCCTCAAACAAAACGAACAATACGCTGACTAAAGATCAATATACTAGCTGTCGCGCCATCTATGCTGTTGACCTATGCCTCGTTCTCATGGCTCAAAAATTTGTACTCAAAACGTTCAGGATACCAAGTAGGAAAGATAGCTATGCCTATTCGTGAAGTCATGCGGTAAAGATTAAAAGTAAATTCACATGTATCAGCATGGAGAAAATCACTAACTTGTTGTGTGTCTCTCGATTAGACGCGTTGAGCGCCTGTTTAACTTGGCATCTGCAGATATTAAACCGGAAGAGGAACAGCTGGGTTGCGAAAGCCATGGTATCTTGCTATGTGAAATTCACTTATTACGCATCTACGCGCTTCAGCTGCCACGGAAAAGTTCGATCAGGGATCATTTTATGGAAGATTTACGCGATTTAGAGAATCCAAAACTAACTGTTGCTCAAAAACTCAATGTGGTTACGCGCATGAACCGATCCTGGGACTTTTTACAGCCGCAAGGATCGTTAAAGGGTAGCCGGTAATAATTGTCGATGGTGATGTGGCCTCGCTCTTCACACCTCCTCTTTTCTCCTTTTCAAATAGCATGTAATATTAGAAACAATGCAATGTGTAAAAAGGACAACAGAAGTTTCATATTAATTTCATTTCCTGCTGATGAAACTGGTCACTTTTATATTCTTTGCACCTCATGATGATGAACGTCATGCAGCTGCAACCACCAACAGCGCAACACAAGCTCCGTCAATAATATGTGATACGCTTCATCCATTCTTTTCTTTTTCCCTCTCTCGTATGTGCATCAATGGAGACCAGCAAAGCACAACAGCCACCACCACAATCAAAACGAAGACAGAGCTCCACATGCAGTGAAGAGCTTTTTGAGTTTGTCGATTATACGTCCGTTTCTAATTTCGAACGGCTCAGCACGGCGATCGAAGAGATTTTGCACTCCTGGGGTTCCAAGGATGGAGAATACGGTATCTTTTCCGACGAGAGTCTCAACACGACCAACGACGCCGTTGGTTTTAGCAGCACCAGCAACATAAGCAACAAAAGCAATAGTCATGGTTCGCTTGCAGAGTATTATTTACGTCGCGAGTACTTGTCGATTGGTGAAGAGACGTACCAGTTAACTTACCATTGCCATCCGTTTGCAATCCAACGACAACAACGGCAACAACACCAGGATCACCAGCATCCTCTCGCTTTTGCCGATTTCTATCTACTTGGATCAGGCGATCAGCAACAACAACAACAGCAGGGTAGTGACAGCAATGGCACCACTCCCCACCACATACTGCATCGATGGACGGGATTCGATCGACTATTCATTATTACACCCGTGTTGGATTCTTTAAAGGCAAAGTTGTTCTCGTCAGGAAAACTAACGGTCGATTTACATCAAGCGAAAACGCTTATATCCGCCTGTGCGATCGCTTTCCAAAACGCCAAATGCTCTGTGCCTGTTTTCGTGCCCGTCGGTTCGGGACGCCGCAACATGTATATTGGGTATCTTATGCAAGCGGACGAAGGCAACGGTGTACGCGACATCGAGCTTCGATTCAACACAGCCATCACACATCCGGTTTCTTCCCAGTATACTCGACTGGATGGTGTTCGCAATCTCTTCCTTGCCAAACAGGAGGCATTCTACGAAGATTGCGGTATGGCAGAATAGCGGAAGAGATTGCAAGCATGAATATCATGTCCGCTTATTGATGACAGTTCATTATCTTATTAGGTGCATTGCCCCCAAATGAACAAGATACCGAAAACGACTCTATGGTTGCTGCTGTGTTCGCATATACTCTCAAAAACTGGTTTGACGAAAATTGGAAAACCCTGGATGGCTGGATCAATGACGACGATCTTCCCGCCCTGCCCTTCGGCTCGTATAATGACCCACTCCGCACACTGGCATTAAATGCCGTGTTTCCTTTGATGCCATCCGAAGCATACGAGGACAATCCAATTGATACCAACATGACGCTTGATTCGGCTAAACAACTCTATTTGTCGCGTGAAATTGCACCATTATCGCAACAGCGCGCGTACCTTTCGACTTTACTCGACCAGGTTATTGGATCATGGATCCGTGACCCTACCAATCGCGATTACCTTTCACCTTACGACTCGAGTAACGAAAATGGCAACAGTAGTAACAACGGACGCATGGAAAGGGAGAACAACGGATTGGTACGGAATTTGTTTCATGCCATGGGACCCAATCGACGCGGTGGTTCAAGTGCAGGCGTCGCATCCAACAACCAGACCGGTGGAGCAGCCGCACAGGCGGAACACATTGACAACATTATTCAAACACTGTTCGATGGCCAACAACAGCACCTGAAATTACAAAAATCGCGTGACGATTATGTTATAACCATGCACAACAACAAAGACCATCCAAAAGTATATACAGCCAGCTCACTCGGTCATCGGATTAAGCGCGGAACACCGGTACCTTACAGGTCCTTTTTCTGGAATATGATGTTACTTTCATTACATTTACTATCCGACCCGTCCAAACTGGAAAAGGGAAAAACATGTATCGCCTTCCTGAGGACTCTGTGGATGGAAGTTGTCCGTCAAATACGATGGCATTGGGAACATCTCAAGCGAATTCCAAATGTCGATATCTCTCTTTATGATCAGTGCAGCGATGATGATAAGACGGAGAAACTTGATAACAACACAAATGATTATCCGGATGTACATGGTATAGATTTGCGATACAATATAGTAAGTTATCTGCCTTTGAGCGACAAATATTACATATTGTAAAAGCAGGAGACAGATGAAAGGAAATATTTTCGCTTTCTTTATGTACTCATATATATCGCTATTCACATGTTCGGTAGCTTCATCAAAAGCTGGCTATGGTCAACTGTTGTATCCAACGTCGACTAGACAGCGGTGATGAAAGCCAAGCAACAAATGGAACCGATAGTAGTTTACAGCGTCCGTTTATTTCAAACCTATTTGATGACTTGGTAGCAGTTCAAAAACCGGATGCTCGCTCCAAGGATAGTAAATTTGATAAATTCAACTCACTTTTGGAAAAGCTGGTGGATGGAGACGAACATCAAGAAAATAGCCCAGTCTCAATCGAATCCGAACAGGGCGAGGTAACGAGAATAATTCATGAATTACCCAGCGCTTGTTTTATTAACTGCCTTTAATTTCTGACGCGGGTATTCTAATTTATTTATAGAAAATTGATAATGAAAAAAGAAAAGATGAAGACGATGAAGACGATGATGATCAATCGGATATCAGCGACAGTGACATGTTTTTCGATCCATTGGAAGATTTCGATGGCTCTGCAGACACCCCGAAGCGACCGAAATCGGGCTCGCGCAAGTCTAGTGCTACTGCGACTGATAAGACGGCAAAATTATCTTCATCATCAAGATCGTCTTCATTATCAGATGTATCAGAACTGGCACACCCACATTCTATGACAGAATCCTTTGTGGGCTTGAACTATCCATCAAGCGCAGAATCCTACAACACTCGACAATCCAACAGCAAACCGGTTGACCCAGATCAGTATGAAATTAGGGATCCAGATGCTTTTGACGGTCGCAAGTATCAGCACCCTACTTTGAAAATTTTAAAATCAAGCGAACCGATGTGGGTACCTATTACTCAGGTTGGTATATGTATACACGGTTATCAACGTATTACATTCGACTCACTGTTATCTTGCACTCTCCAAATCAATTTCCATGTGCCATATATGGTTCTGTTAGGATGCAGGATTTATGACAGAAGATATGATCAAACAGCAAGCGGACGTCTTCGAAAACCTGGGAACATCAGAAAATTCAACGCGTATAAGAGCGAAGTTACAATCTGCACAACTTTATTCTGGTACGTTGAAAGCAGCCGATTCGGATGCACAAAACCGGCAACTGCAATACTAAAGACACACGATTACAACAACCAAAAACCTATCCTCATATTAGATATGCAAGCATTTAAAGCCGCGAACCCACATGCCACACTTGAAGATTTTGTTCGGTGGCATTCACCTAGAGACTGGATTCAGCCCAAAGAGGAACAGGAAGATGGACACGGAGGACGGCTTAGTGCTCGCATGGCAGATTCAAGTAATATATGGCAAGATCTATGGAAGGTAAAATTTCATGTAGAGTTATCATAGTTTATGCCATTCCCCCCCCCCCCGTAAGTACTTAATTCAACATCAATGGTAATGACAAAATATTATCACTTAGTGCTCTACACGAACACCGGCAAATCGCCAAAAACCATTATTTGACGTAACTGCAGAAGGAGAAAAAGTGAGTTATTTGCATGAATATGATCCAGCAATTTGTAGAGAGCAGATAGAGTTAATATAGCTGACCAATATCATCAAGGCGTTACATTACTTAGAAACATTATCCATCCATGAAGTGTTTGCAATGTACGTATATTAGAAAAATGGATCTTGATATCGTCAAAATACTTTCGAAGGATCTCACTGACCTAATTACTCTTCAAGGTTACTTCCTACCGTTGCCCTAGTAGCATATGATACTCTGATATCTCATCCTGCGGTTCGCTGTACGCTAGCAGTGGCAAAAGGCATGTCTTTGCTTGGAGAAGATATTACCAGTTTTCCTTGGGATTACTTGAGGTACATTAACAATCATAGTGGCAGCACCAGCATTAAGAGCTCGAATTCTTAATTCTTATAAATGTATATTGAATAGGAATGGTAAATGCACAGTGAACCCATTGATTACCAGCATTCGCGAACAAGAGTCCAATATGTGCAACGCTATATCGTTATTGCGAAAGTTTCCTGGCCAGTATGATCTGGTAAATCGACTATTGACTTCCACAGATACTGAAATATGTCAAGGTGAAGAGCGAGAAGCGGTACTTGGTGTGTTCCGTTCTGAACGTAGGTGTTTTATCATTTTACTATATCCCTACTATATAGTATACTGATCGGTACTTATCTTTTAGAACCAGCATGTCGAGAATATGTTTTACATAGCAACTGCCCTAATGCCGCGGCCGATGGTCGAGCACTTCCACTGCGTTTATACGCAATGATCAAAGACAACGAACTGCGGATAGTGGATATGCAATCCACTGATGCATTATACCAATAAGAGCCGCAACACATATAATAACTAGGGCTGTACTAGCATCATCCATGAATTAACCTTATATACTATCAATCTGAAAAGAGACATTTATTGAGCGCATGAATGTAATCATTCTGCTTGACGTAGATATACTGTATTAAACAACAATATTTTCCCAAACTTTTGCTTATTTTTCTATTGGGATAAAAAGTTGCTTATACAAATCTGATCTTTACACTGATACGATCAACAATGAATTGCTATACCTGAAATTAAACAGTAGCATATTCGCATTAGCATCATCTACTGTAGTGTAAGAAAAATAGCAATTGTACTGTACATAGGCTGCTAGTGCTTGTGATATATTGATAAAGCTGTACTTTTCCAAGAGTCACAAGGCGCCGCCAAATTGGATGGATTGTATGTATTCAGGAAGAGTCATTGCATGCATGGCATCGAGATTACACCCAAATTTGCAAACTCATAACAAAGTATCTATGGACTATTGACTATTAGCCATGCAACAACACTCGAAGTTCGATGATATTACAAGCTTTGCTTGATGCCACGCAAATTTCGGTAAAGTGCTATTCCGCGACGACTGCATTGATATAGTACTGTGTGTGGTCATGCTTCATAATGTTTCTTATTTCTGCAAACGACGTCCTCGTAAAAACGAAAGTGCTTACCAGCGAGCAAATCCGTCTCCATCGATAATAACTATTTAGAGGACGCAGAAATCCCAAAAATGAAACATACTTCTTGAAACTTTACGAGCTTATTAAAGCTCGGTAAGGTAGCAAAAAGCTTAGATATGTGATAAAATGTAACGAAATGCTTAAATAAAAAACAAAAGGTATTGTAATATATAGGATGTATGTCAAGCAGTTATCCCGTATCATCCAACATACCGTCTGCACAAGGAACGTGGACGTTGAGTAGGGAGCTACATTTCAAGGCATGAGAAACGCGGTGGCAAAAAACAATCGAGTAGCCGCAATTGCCCGGTATTGATGACCGGCGAAAAAAATACAAGTTAGACTTGCTGCACTTGTTTGTTTCTAATAATTAGGCAAAAAGGTGCATATCATAGATAAATTGCGGATCTCAACGTTTGGTCTGGTCGACAAGTAGATGCAGCTTGACACAGGCGGAGGATCTCCGGAGCGCACGCATAACCTACTCGGCTGCTTGTCTGTACCGGGTGATACGAGCAAATGTTTGTTTATCGCCATCACGATCCACCGCCGTGCTTTGTTTGGGCATACTCACAATACTTCCCTTCAAATCCTTGGTGCATGGAAATGCCGTGTCTACCAAAATATAATAAGGCGCTGGCATGCTGTAAAGCTTATAGATATCATAGGCTGTAACACGCGCGGCAGAGACGCACAAGCAGCAGTCGATATTGGTATATCTGGGGCAGCGGCAACACAATATGGACACCACTTTGGTGATTCCACTAGATGCCTTCCAAGAATATACTTTAACTACCAAACAGAAGTCAATAACATTACTAGCAGCACCACCAGCATCTTCAACAGTAGCTTAACAGATTGAGATATCATAGCTTTCTCTTAAAGTTAAATACGTTCTCTTCGCTATCATTATTCTTTATCGTATAGTAATGATAACAGTGTTAACAAGCTCATTAGTTTATCAAGCATCTGATTTGGAGTTTTCAAGAAACTTCCTTGTCGTAAAGCATCTTTTTGTAAAAACATTTTCCAGCTGTCAGTTGAATTAATCATCATTTATCCCGTGCGATTTTCGTCACCACTCTAGGTAGTAGAACAAAGGTGCTACTGTGGATTATATCTTCAAGCCTGTGGTTTTCTTTGTTCGCTATCTTTGCAAGTAGCCACCTTGTGAGGTAGTCCATCTGGTTTGGTAAATATCTATCCATTCGCCTCGACCGAGGGCGCCTTTGCTTTGTCCGGGACCTGAGGAAGTCGTCAAAATTTTACTTCTTCTTTCCGCCTCTTCTTTTACCGTCCTCCTTCGTTGCTTATTCTCTCCCTTGCTTTGTACATTTTTATTCCCTTCCCATCCTTTGTTTTCTTCTCGCGTTCCAAGTAGCCTCTCTCTAGACCCATCTTAGGATGTTTCATCGATTCACGCGAAAGACCGTTTCTTTGCGCACGCATCCCTAATGTGTTGTAATTCCTGCCTTCAGCGGCCGAGGCCCTCTAGAATTAGTAGATTGCTTTGCGTTAAGTATTAGCGACTCGTGATATACCAGATACCATCAATTGCATACATTTTCGAGAAAACTAAATAAAATGACGAAAAAAGCCTTTTTGTTTCATTGTACTACCATACATGCCATAATATTGTGAAGCATAATTGGGTAGTCCGATCCTACATATTTAGTCAAAGTGGTAATTTGATGGCACGCATCATTTTTCAGTTTCAGCAGCCCGCCCCTTCAAAAAGGCTGTGTGTTATGGAGACAGACAACCACGCTATACTTACTGTTGACGACGCGTCTCACCATCCGTCAGGCACAATGACCGTAAACAAATACTCTGTCCTTTTACCAACATATAACGAACGTGAAAATCTGCCCATCATCACCTGGCTGTTGGCCAGAACTTTCACACAAGAGAATGTCGATTGGGAAGTCGTCATTGTTGATGACGGTAGTCCTGACGGCACGCAAGACGTCGCCAAGGAATTGCAAAAAGTTTACGGTGAAGAGCACATTGTAAGTATTACTTTAAGTCCTCTCTTCCCCTTCATTAGTGGCTTCACTATTGTTCTAAATCAGAGTACTTGTTCGCTTTGTTTGTCTTTGGTTATATAGCAACTGCGACCACGAGCCGGCAAGCTGGGTCTAGGTATATCACCATAAGAAAATAAAGGGTTGCTCGTGAAGCGGCATTGAAAACACTAACATCATAGCATAATAATATATAGGCACAGCATATGTTCACGGTTTGCAGTTTGCAACAGGCAACTATATTATCATCATGGATGCCGACTTTTCACATCATGTAATGTTACTCTCTGTCTATATTGCCTTGCAAGAAAACTCTTTCTCTTTGAGCTGTATTTGAAGCTGACATTGAGTCTTCTGGTTATTAGCCTAAATTCATCCCCCAAATGATTCGGTAATGCATACAATAAGACTCCCGCGTTTTAGCATTTTTATATCAAACCTCGCTAACATAAATCGCGTGCTTATAGACTCCAAGCACAGCACAACTACGATATTGTAAGCGGCACACGATACTTACCAGGTGGCGGTGTATACGGCTGGGATCTCAAGCGCAAACTTGTCAGGTACGTCAAACATCAACATAACTTTTTATGCTTCAAAGAATGTAGGATATTCATGAATTCCAATTATAGCCGAGGGGCAAACTATCTTGCCACCATCATGCTGCGTCCAAAGTCGTCTGATCTGACAGGCAGCTTCAGGTAATGTTTGTTTTACTTTTCTATACGTACGTTCAACGTACCTGTGGACACATAGGAAGACTGAAACAAGTGTCAAATTGTAGACTTTACAAAAAGGATGTGCTGTATCAGCTTATCAATGCCACCATCTCGAAGGGTTATGTGTTCCAGATGGAAATGATCGTTCGAGCACGACAATTCAACTACACTGTTGGTGAAGTTCCGATCACTTTTGTGGATCGAGTGTATGGTGAGAGTAAGATGGGAATGTCCGAAATCGCTCAATACGCGCAAGGCGTCTGGCGTCTTTTTGTTTCCATATAAAACCCTTTTCCTTCGCTTCCCTCCCTTTTCCATACTCTTTCGTTTTTGGAAAATAAAATCACCTTTATTATATATCATGATCATTCCTCTATTTTATTTTACACTAACACGCTGAGAATTTTGACAGGTGATTTGTTTAATTAATACGATGTTTGGAGGAAGCGGCCATCAGTTCGGAAAATGCGAGGTACATGGGCATGGTGACCGATACAGAAAAGATGGGTGTAAGAGCAATTAAAGTCCAAACGGATAAAGAGACAGTTCCAGTCTTCATCAGGCGATCGACAAGCATCCATGCCACACATAAGAATTGAACCCATACAACATCTGAACTGATACTGGATTGGGCTGGATGGGCAAAGAAGACATCGACCATGGATATGAGCGTTTCATAGAGGCTACCCGATTCAACAAGGCACGTAATCCACTGGTGTACATAGATGGAAAGACTGGCGCCGGCACTCAGCATGTAAACAGCTGCGACATAGACTGTCTGTTCAGTATAGCTGTAGATGGCCGGTTTACTTGGAAGTAATGGGAACACAAGGAGGACGTGCATGACGAGCAGGTTAGGGAGGAACCATTCGGATGCTGCCACAAACGGAGACAAAACGACGGTGACCATGCCGCTGAAAATGCAAATCAGAAGGGTTGTGTTCAGGCACCGTGAAGGTCCAGCAAGGTCGGTTCGTGGGTATGCGAGGACGACGGCGAAAAACAGGGCGCTTGCGGTTGATATGGCAACTACTTGGCCTAGCAACATATATGCCCATAGGTACGGGATTTTGCGACGTGCACCTACGGTAAATTTTTAAGCATGCAGTTTACTTTGATGCCATGGTAACAAGAGATGACACATACCTTCAACGGCTAAAAACGGTGTCCATACACCCACTGTAAAAAGACATAGTTGATGACTCCACAACCATTGAAGATTTCCGAGGCTCACAGTACGCCAAGCATCGTCGAACAAAGACACGTTATGCAACCAGTGTGAAATGGTGTTGAGCGAGACTGGAGTGTTCGAGGTGTCGTGCTCCTTGTAACTGTGGACAAAGTAGCTAATCATATAGAACCAGGTACACAGAAATGATCCGAGGGCACCAACGAAAAACACAGTTGCGCCGAATTGCTTGCTTTGAATGCATTGTTGTAATGGAGAACGAATGCGCCATAATAGACCTCCAATCAGTACAAAATAGGATACCAATATCCCAACGTCCACAGGATAGTCTACCATTAACGTAGTAAGTAAGCTAACAAGTCCGTAGTTGGAACCGTTACTGCGAGTCTTGAACAGAAAGTCAGAGCGTGCGTATTGTGAAACATGGTCCACGTAGCTACGCGTCCGAAACGGCTTTTCATTTCTCCTTTCTAGAATTTATGCAACGCTTCGATGGTCTAACCAAACAACAGGCCAAGCTTTTGGAAGCGTCATATTACATGCTTTAAAGTACTATGAAATGGAAGTGATAGATCATTAATCGTCACGTATATTGGGATGAAGGCCTTGAAAGCCTCAGGATATGCCAGTATGGCAGAGCTAGGATCTCGAGCCCTTCAGAATGTTTTGATACTCTCCCTTGTGTGCCGCATTGATATAAGTATTGATCATGTCATATGTATTATAAGTTGGGGTCTCAACAGGCGATTGATAAATCCCTCCAACGAATTTTATATTTCTTATTGAACGCAAAACACTGTACAGAAAAGAGAAAAGAAGTTGCTCCAAATCAATATAATAATAACATGTGGTAGTGGGAGAAAAGGGGTAAGAAAAAGTTGCGTGCAGCAACCGAACTTGAGAGCAAGAGATGGAAACTTTCAAATTTCAATCAGCACTATGGTACAATCATCGTAATCCTGTAACGTGGATGAGAAAAACCCGTGTACACTCTCGCGATTTGCAAAATACCGTGCTGCCATGACAAGTGTCCGTTCTCTGATTTTGCGTTGTCTGGCCGTCTCATCGTCAAGTTCGCGGAATAACCTTGGTTTTGGTGCTTGCTGTTGCTGTTCCTCTTCCTTCTCACCATCCTCCTTCATTGTCCCCTCGCCTCCTGCCTTTTCGTCTGGCTTTTTGGTATCCTCAGTCTCCATATTTGTTTCTTTGGGTTCATCATCTTCCTTCTTGACTTGGTCTTCCTTGTTGGATATATCAGCTGTAGCAGCGGTTGAATCACCCTTGGTCTCGTCGGGAGTGGATGCGGATTGTTCAGATGGAGGTTTATCGGGTGTGGAAGCAGTTTTGTCGTTATTAGTCGTAGTAGGGGTTGGTTGATCAACAGCCATGGGTGTTGCGGTATTGCTGTTGTTTTCTTTGTTTTCCGAGTTGTGCTCGATAGTCTGACCACCCGAATTTTCTTCGTCGTCCAGCATCAAAGCACCGACCTTTTCACCGTCTTCAATCATAGGCCCAAGCACCTTTGCAACCGCACGATTTTGTCGTTCCGGTGTTTCCTCGTACATGTAGTCGAACATACCATCTGTGCCCATGAATAAGAAGTGTCGTCGTTTTGCTTTATGAATGCCGGATGTGGTGAGTGTTCGTGGTGGTGTTGATGGCGGTTCATCATTTGAATCGGCATCGTCGGATATGCGAAAGAATGCCACATCAGGTTCACACGAGATGATCTTCCTTTCTGGATTCATTTTAAAATCCAAATCACCACAGGATCGGGCCACATTCAAAGATGGAATTCGATCTTCGCGTGAGCGAGGCTTGCTACTAAAGTGGTTTGCTGTTGTACGTACGGCACTTTGTGCCGCATATCCACCTTGACCACTAGCAGCATTATCTTCGCTTGGCGATTCTCTGTTGTTGCTGTTTCCGCCGTGGTTGCCATTGTTGTGGTTTGCATGGTATCCTTTAGGACGAATTCTGGCGTTCTTCAATGCTACTCGCTTGGCCTGTCGATTTCCGTCCTCCCGCAATTTGTCCAAGTCAACCTTGATCACTCGGTCTTGCACAGAGTCAATGAATTCGCCACCGTTTTCCAGAATCTCTCGTGCAAGATGCTCCAGATATGGTTTGTGATCTTGTGATGCAAAGACTACGTCCATTTTATAGTCGTTGTCTAGGCCGCACATAAGTGGATAGTTATTGAGCTCCTCAGCTGTCCGCTGTGGTTGTGTCGCTGGATTTGGTGCTGATATTAATACGGACCGAGAGTCACCCACGTTAATGTTGATAAGCCAGTTGCCAAAGAATATGTTTATAATAAGTGTGCAGCCATCGTTATCCATTTCTTCGTGATTGATTGGTTCAGTAGCTGCTGTCGTACTACTACTCCTGCTGCTGCTGCTGCCATTATCGTTTGTTGTTGTGGCACTGGTAGAATTCTTTTCCGCTTCCTTGCTGTCATCACCGTTCTTTTGTGAATTTAATTGTTGTTGTTGCAGTTGTTGCAGCTGCAGCTGTCGTTGTCTACCTCTTCCTAACTGTATCCGCTTCAAATCGAGGTATTCCGAATCCAGCGTTTCTACCATCTTTTTGATATCGGTTTCAAAACTCTTATGAACTTGTTTGTCTTCGAACTTTTGTGGATCGTAGTTGGCACAAAGCTTTTGTACCGCAGCTGGTGTGTGTCGAACGAAGTATTCAGAGCAACCACGGCCACCATGGCCATCGGCTAAGATGAACATGCGGCCGACGACGTGTTTCGTGGATTCGTTAACAATATCTGCTACCCGAAATTTGTCTTCGCAGTTGATTTTCGGAATCTTGACTTTTTCATGCGATCGGAATCGTGGATACGAGTATCCCTTTTGTTGTGCAATAGCAAAATAGGCGGCAATCGGATAATCTTCAAAGTTGATAGGGTCAATGTAGTCGGTATTGTCGGTGGTTGGTGGTGCATAAACGAGCGAATGACCACTGATGGTATCTTCTTCAATTACTGCACTTGCTCGATCGTCGTCATCGTCGGATGATCCCATAGACATGAAGCTGCTATCGTCAGCCGTTAGCACTCTTGATGTTTGGTGAACTTCGTACTCTTTGGCCTCATAAAATGAGCGATACTCCAATCCCTCCTTCTCCTTTTCAACCTGTACTCTCCTCCTTGACCACATAATCAAGAAAATATCAGTGCAACGTACTCTTCATCCAAATCCACGTCAATATCAGATGCACTGTCGGAATCACCGCCGTAACCAGCGTTTCGTTTGCGTTGCAGTTTTGCTCGTGCACTGCGACTTTTTACTTTGCGGAGCCCATCTGGTGTATAGAACTTGGGTGTCTTGCGCTGGCGTTTACCAAGTTGGCCAGAATACGACGAAGCATACGCTGTAGAGTGTTCCACAGGTTTTAATATGATCGGTTCATCGGGTATTTCTTGTACTGCTGGCACCGTTGCACCGTTCAGTACCACTTCGGCAATAGAGTATTTGGCTTGTCGTCCAGAATTGTCTTTGTCAATTTGGAACGGATCTGGCTGTCGTAAATCCCTAGCAGCTTTACGCGACGTAGAGATAATGCCTTGGATTGTGCTCTTGGGTGTTTCGCCTCTGCAAATGTACATGTGGACAAGTAGGATTTTCAAGGTTAACGAAAATATATACATTTATAGTAGAAATTAAAAGAATCGTCGAAAATAAAGATCACCGATCCGTAACAGGATTGTATCAGAATCGGTACATGCAATCTTGGATGAACCATGGAAGCGTTAAATTTACCGTAGTGGGAGTAGATTAAGTGCCCTGACAGCGATCACCAACTGTGCGGCATTCATCGACTGATTTCCATAGTGAAATAGGGTCGCGAGAACCTTCATAAAAGAAGAATTCGCCCGTAGCTGGTCACAAATGTTCAAATGTTTGAGTTCAGTATCGACATTGGATTCCATGATGCCTTGACAATGTGTAGAGGTTGGGTGTGTAGGAGGAGGGGGGGGTAATGAGTGGTTCCTAAAACGAACTGCTTTGAAACTGGCCGACAGAAAAAAGTGCCTTGTTTTCGCTTGCTGCTGTTAAAGTGGTAATAAGCCGTCACAGAGAGCGAACAAGAGCGGCGCATATACACCATCCATCATCATTCACGCCTAAGCTATCTGGTTGCTGATGGACTCGGCGTTTTTTTTTTCAGCTTTGTCCCCCTTGGTTAAGTAGAGTTACATTGGACTGTGTAGGTTACTAGACAATGTATAGGATTCGCTATAGAGATAATAAGTTGAGATGGCTTCATTTAAGGTTCCAGATAGAACTCTGCTCTTTCCTGAGATTAGAAAAGCCGTTTGAAATAATATCCTATGCAATTGGTTTATTATTGTTACGGGTAAAATGAATAGAGAGATATGAGATGGACAAATACAAATACGTTTCCTTTTAAAAGATGGCACGAGCAGCTTCACTACCCACTATTAAGGAAGAAATAAAAGATTTTGATATTACAGTTAGCATTCCATGACTTAAGGGCAACATATCCATTGAAAGAAGTACTTACGAGTAGCGCCAAAGCCGAATACTGCTGCTTCACCGACCTTTCCGCCAAACTTTTTAGCCATGTTATTCACTTTGCCACCTCCTTCTTCATGATGCTCGTCTTGTTGTACGACTACAGGTTGACCCGTGGGAGGAGGAGGAGCATAATAAGCTTGCGCTGGCGGATGTTGAGGTGGAGCATAATACATTGTTGTTGGAGGAGGCGGGTAACTATATGGTAGTGCAGTTGTTGAAGAAGATGGTGTTTGTTGTTGTTGTTGTTGTTGTTGTTGTTGCTGATAGTGCTGCTGGGCGGCAGGAGGAGGTGATGGTGCAGCAGCAGGTTTTGGAGGGACAGCACGCTTGGCGGGTTCAGGTGCGCTGTGGAGGAAGTTTGCTGCTTCTTTTAATATACATTCAAAGAAGATAGTGGTGAAGAATTCAACAATAACTCAAGCAACTTACGTTGTTTTTTTGACATGGTTTTGAGGGAAGATGCCGGACTTGCCATGAAGTTCACCGCGCCACCAGTCGTCGTTGACTATTGTTAAAACATCGGTTAATCGACCATACCGTTGTTACAATCAATCACCTACTAACCATTAACACGCAAAAATGCCTAGTCTAGCCCTTCCTTCCCTCGTCATCCATCCAATCTAAATCATCCTCCTGAACCGCGTGAGCACTTGCCATATTCAGTGATTTGAATCACATCACCACAACGGAAGCTAAGATCTGTCTTTGGATCATCGCCTACATAATCATAGATAGCTTCTACGGTAGCCAAAGGAGAAGTGCTAGAGTATGCAGGTGGTGGTAAAGCTGGCGATGGTTCGGCCGCTGCTGGTGCTGCTGGTGCTGGAGCTGGTGCTGGAGCAGGGGAATGTCGTACAACGGGTTCTGGAGCCGGAGCTGGTGCTGGAGCCGGAGCTGGCATTGGCATAACGTTTACTGCGTTCAACCGAGGTGAAGGACGAGGTGAAGGTCGTGGTGCAGGCGTAGGTAAATGCTGTTGCTGTGTTTGTGGTTGTTGTTCTGCTGCCGAGCGACGAGCTGGTAGTTTTGGCATATCACGAGGGACAGGTACAGGCGCTTGACCTGGTGTCAAACCTGCCGACTTGCGTGTTGGAAGGGGAGGCTTTTTATAAGTGTTAGCAGCAGCGGCATTGTTGCTGTTGTTGCGGCTGTTGTCATTGACAGAAAGTGTAGAAGGAAGAAGTGCACATATTTCACTGTAGGTCTGGGCGTTCAAGTAATGGTTGTCTTTGAGGAAGCCAAGGTCCTTTTGAATAGATGCCAACATGTAATTGGCCAAAACAAGATCTCTTTCGCTCATGTCGGAAAATGAAGCAAATGGAAGCAAATAAGTATGCTAGAAAAAAGGAGTGGGTTGGGCAGGCTTGGGTCGCCGAGAAGCAAAACGCTCTTGGCAAGTGCGGAAAGAGAGAGGATGAGTCTGTATAGTAGCGACTGATTGCAGCAATGTTGTTTGGTATATATTTAGCACACTTTTCACGCAACAACAGTAACTCAGATTTTAGCTCGGAGCAGTTTTGCCGCAGCATCCAATCAGAAGATTCAACTTTTAACTGAATTGGAGCACTGCTTTTCGCAGACGTACTATATGTGGACCAAGCTCATCATATATGCTGTATAACAATACCATAAAAACATGTAGACTTGAGAGGCCAATGTGGAATGTTAAAGCACAATAATACGTAGCCCACACTATCCATATGCTTTCGAGATTTTCTGCCGAGGAATAAGGTGATTGAGAAAAAAATGTTTGCAATTCACCCTCACATAATTAATCAATATTTAATACTTAATTAATACGGTAAAAACACTTGGTCTTGTAAACTAGCCTTTTTTTCATTGTTACATCGCAAATTTAAAAAGAACGGTGATTAAAGTAGACCGAATCTGTACAGAGTACTCGGCGGTCTCAGCAGCTGTCACGTTCTTACTTTTTTAACAAAAAAAAGACATGCTGATATCATAATGGATGCATACCAGTGAACAGAGATACATAATGATAGTTCCTACAGCGAAAGCCATAATTTCCGCCGAGTCACTCTCAAGAAGGGTGATCAATGACTAGTATACTAACATACATCTGTTGGCACATACGCTGGATCGATTGTCATCGTTTGTAAAATCCACTACCTCTGTATGTTAGCGTCAACATCGATTATATAGCGGATAGGGATCAATGAGCAAGTGGCAGCCGGTTCTTCTGATGGATTGTCGTCAACACTCAGTGTCACCCAAAAAGAGATGTTGATAAGGCTGCTGTCAAAATACATAAATAATATTGAATAGTCACTACAAAGTCTGCGAGAAGTTGGAAAAAGAGGAGTAGAAGAGCAATCTTAAAGAGTACAGAGTAGCTCCTGAAAATCTAAACGGTAAATTGAAGTGTTAATTTCTTCTTGATACGTTTCCATGACAAAAGCTTACACCCTAAAGTTTTTGGCGAAAAAAAAAAGCTTCGCGGTAAGCAATTTCCTCAGCATTCTTCCGCACAGCTTCCCAAGCTCATGAAATACAATGCCGATTTGAACGTAAAACCGAGTAATATAATTGTTCCGCTTTTTGTGTTGTTCTATAATTATTATGGGTATCCTTACAAAGACAATGTATACATAAAGCTGCTACCGATAATGTCACTATTACGGACGATACAAAAACTCTAGGTTTTGTCTATCTGTGAGATCTACTAGCTCTCCACTTTCTATTGGTGATGGTAGCTTCTCTGTTGCTTTCAAATGCCTTCGGTAACGATTATCGCTGACATAGGTCCATCGTCCATATAGGAAAAGAACAGCAGAAGCTAGTGCTGCTGTCATAAAACCGCTCATGCCGCCCAAATAGCGTGGAGCCTGCTCTGGTCGCATCATCAACGGTCCGGTAAAGTTACCGAGACAATAGGCAACAAGGTACGCTGCATTATAAAACACTTTTTTTGTATAGCCATTGACATTGTTGGAAATGACTGACAAAACAATCGCTGATGCTGGATTCGTGGTCACTAAAAAGATCCCGGCAAGCATAGCTCCGCCTCTAGGAAGGACCGTCAACAACAGAACTCCGGTGAAAGAGACGACACACGCTAGAGCTCCAACGTAGTTGTTTTCATTAAATCGACGGCTGCAGTAAACTGTGATCAAAACAAGTATCATGGCCGAGAATCCAGAAGGGATATTGAGCAATATAGATTCCATATTCTGTTTTATGAACAGAAATTGGAAGAGGTTATGAAAATTATCACTTCGACAAGCTCAAGAACACTTTTAGACTTACTGAAAATCCCATATCTTTGATAATACTTGTGCTGAAAATGCTTGTACAGCCATTAATGATGTGTACCAAGTAACATATCAGAACGTAGCAATAGAACCTTGATTCTCGTAAAGCTTCCCATATGTGATCGAACTTGATTACTTTATTCTGTACAACCTTGTTATCGCGCATTCGATCTTGCACAATGCTGACCTCTTTTGGAGTCAATCGGTACCATCGCGACTTTGCAGTGTCAGGAAGGAAAATAAACGTCAGGATACCGACGATCCCAGTAGCGGAACCTAAAATGATCATACACCTACCCGCAGTGGTAGTATGAATAATTGCCCGGAACAGTTTGTGAGTGCTCTCTCTTTTTAACACCTAATTGGCGTATCGTCTTTTACATATTCAAAGATATTTAATTGTAGCTTACCATCTCCAGCCACTCAAACCATGTACACCGTCAAGGTTCAGAAATCCGAATCCGATCAAACCACCAATAGATATTCCAAAATTGTTGGACATCATCAATATACCGAACAAGATAACTTGTTCAGACCGACGGTAAATAGTGCTTATAAGTAATTGTATACCTAAATAAGTGTAGTAGTAAAATCTGTTATTTGGAAAATCATAAAAGCCAGAGCTATCACTTTTACAAGTTTCATATGTACTACGAACATGGATACGCCGAAGCCTCAAAAAAACCTTGCAAAAACCGTAGGACCATTAGTTGAGAAAAGTTGGTTGCAAGCGCTGTGCAAGCAAGTACAGCACCCCAGAGTACTAGGCACGTGCCCAGATATTTTGACATTGGAAATCGCTGGATAAAATATTGGCCCGGCACCTATATGATTGCGTTTGTTTGTTAAGGGAGGAAAAGCTAATGGCGTTCTGCGCAAAGAGCATTTACCTGAAAAAGTAGATATCCTAAATAGAAAACGGACCCTAACCAACTAAATTCGGCGCCATTCAAATTTGTGTCTTCATAGAGGCCCATGACTGCAGAGAAATTTAGGGCGACTTTGTCGAGGTACTACAGAGATGCAATGATACATGGCTCAAAATTAAGGAGAAGTTCGCGCCTAAAAATGCCCTTCAACCATAAAAAAACGTCCTAGCGCTTTGATCAGTCGAATGCTCAATTACCTGAAGAAATACGATGGCACATATAAAGGGCACAGTAGCAAAATTGATTTTTCGAAGCAATCTCTTTTCATCTGGAGTGTAAACGAACTTTCGAGTTTTTCCAGAACCTTTGATGCTATTTGCGTCGTGATCATCAATGTCGGCGGATGTCGTCGAGATTTTATAGTGACCCTCTTCGATTTGGTTTTCGACAGCGTTGTCTTTCATGACTGTTAGCAAGATAGACAACCCGTGTTTAAAAAATGATGATTGTTGTGTATTTAATATCTAGAGCGGCATAAGAAGGACGATGATAACGGATGAGTTATTTATCTTTAACTTATCGGTAAGCGACTATAAGCGATCTACCCCACAGACCTGCGCTATACTATATCCTAAGATAATGCGTCTATTATGGACGAATCACTGACTTGCTGTTTCCTCAAAGTAGTAGTATGGATTGGATAGATGCGCTTTGTGTTTGTATGTAGAGATAGGTGTGTGTGTGTGTGTGCAAAATTTGGATTACAAGCAACAGAAGCGGAAGAAATTTAAAAGTCTTAAAGCCGACAAAAGGGAGAAACGGAAAATCAGAAACAGTACGCAGCAGACGAGTAATGAGCGATTCTTGGTTGGATTGCCCGGATGTGCTGATTGCCCAGCACAACGGCGTTATAGTTCAAAAAATACTACACTACTGCTGCAGGTAGTCACACCATGCATGAGGATCATCTGCATATGCTGCGCTGCTGGTGTTGTTTTCCAAAAGAACAAGAGCCCCTCTACTTTTTCGATCACTACTGTAAAACTCGCTGGCCATTTGCACGCCCAACTCAGGGTCTTAAAATTGCCTTGTGATCATCTGTATTAGCCAGTAACGGTTGTGTTGGGTTTTTGAGACTCACTTTGTATTTATTCGTCTGTATAGATCTGCTATCAAGCCACGTTGTCTTAACGTGAAACTAAATGCTTTTCGTCATATGAACAAAGATGGCCAGAGGAAGGCGGGAAATCAAGGGGCGTAGTGCATGTAGTAATGGAATAAGCTCCTAAAGGTTTTTTCTCTGCATACGTAACGTATAGGTCATCAAGCAATTCATGCCTTATATACAAAAGCATGAGTATATCATTCGCTTATAATGGTCTAAAAAACGAACTGTCATTTATATAAAGGGAAGATCACTTGTACTGTAGCATGTATCGTTATCCTGTTTATCTGTGAGATCGACTTGCTATGTATCTCGGACTAGTGGCGGAAGTTGGTTATTCTCTTTCTATGTGACTACGCCTTCGGTTTTCCCGTACATACGTCCAACGTGTGTGAAGAAACAGGAGACCTGAAATAATCATCCCCGCCATGTAAACAATCATGCCACTACGGTATCGAGGAGCTTCTTCTTGTCGCATCAGTAACGGTTTAATAAAGCTATTCAGGCAATAGGCTGGAAAGTATGCTCCCTTGTAAACACATTTTTCGTGTAGCCGCTTGTGTTGTTGGAAATCGCTACAGAGCTCATCATTGCTACGGGGCTTATGCTGGTTAATAAGGTGCCTGCGAGCTGTGCACTGCCTACTGGAAGCACAATAAGCAAAACGACACCGGTAAAAAACGTTAAGCTTCCCAAGACACCAATGTAGCTGTTTTCATTGAACCGATGACTAAAACAAACTGTTGCGATATCCCAAAAAACTGCTGACAAGCCAAAGTATGCAGGCATATCATATTAAAGTAAGCATTGCGAGATGAAGCAGTATACTATTTCCATCGTTACTGAAAACCCGAAATTGATGATAACTGCTGTGCTGAATATGGACACACAACCGTTCACCAAATCAATTAGGAAGCAAGTGAGGGTAAGACAGTAAAATCGAGGCTCTTTCAAACTTTCCAGTATCTGGTTTAACTTGCTCGTTTTATTTTGCGGCACTGCATTGTCACGTACTCGTTCTTCAACAATATTATGCTCTCTGAGTGTCAGCCGATACCATCGGGGCTTTTCCGTGTCGGGTAGAAGTAAAAATGCAATTATGCCGATTACGATTGTTGTACAGCCTAAAATCAACATTCATCTAAACGTTGTATAATTACCTACGTATTAATTCCGCTCAGATGGAATGTTACTTCACTTATAATAGGATGAAGGGAAAGAAGCATGTAATGCCTCCATGCTCTTAGTCCGTGGACACCATCCAGGTTCCAAAAGCCGTATCTGAGCAGGCTTCCAATTGCAATGCCAAAGTCGTTAAATACTGCAATTGCGCCAGGCCATATGATTTGTGCAGGGCGTCGATACACTGTGCTCATGACTAGAGTAAAAATAGGCCTGTTACGCATCTTTGTGTTTTAGTTGTTATATAGAAATCAGCAGTATACAGGCGTAATCAAGTAAATAAGGACAAGCAGCAGCTTCTAGAAAACTCTTGTTAAATTTGTATAGCAACATGAAATTGATGAAATTTTGTGCTATTGCGGTACTGCCAAGTATAGAACCCCACAGGACTGTACATGTACCCAAGTATTTTGATATCAGAAATTATTGTAAAAGATACTGCTTTGTGATCTATTTCACACGTGGTAATTGTTGGTATTGTTATCGATAATCAAAACGGAACGAGAGAAGATACTGTTTATGCTTATATGTGACAGATGTACTGTAGCACCAGGCTTATCTGGAAAGTCAAATACCCTACGCAAAGCATTGACGCTAACCAACTAAACTCGGCGCCCGTAGTCGTTGTGTTTTCGTACAGGCTCATCACAGCTGCAGAGTTGAGGACAACCATGTCCAGACACTTTTATGTTTGCGGATAACATCTATACGGTATACGTAAAAGAGAAGAAATACAGCGGCACATGGCTGCATAATGATGCAAAGGTGTATGCATACAGCAATCTTTCTCCTTCTTTTTGGACACGAAGTCAGCTGATGCGCTACCTGGAGAAAGGCAATACTACATATAAATGGTGCCGTGATCAAGTTGATTTTGAACAGCAAGTTCTTTTCTTCCTTAGTGTAAACAAGCCTTGTAATTTTATCGCCTTCATGATTATTCTCGTCTTTTGTAACCTTTTCGTTAATCGTGGTATCAAAGTTTGATTCTTGCTTCCTCGCATTTTTCCCGTGTCGTCGAGCAATATTAGATGTTGTTTTCTGTATAATCTACGATTTATATGTACGTTATACGACTCAGTTCAAATACTTGAAGAAGAAAAGTATCAGCTTTTACCTGATGATTCACTTGATTGTCGATCATATGCAAGGTTCATTCTGGTACACTTACATAACAAAGCACGTATTATCGTTATAGTTTATGTTGTACGTTGCTGTTAGTGCGGGTTTGAATGCACAGCCATAAAACATAAAAAAAGAAGAAGAATGCATAGTACAAGAGATCAGAGATCAGCTAATTAGTAAGTGTTCTATATAGCAATGCTTCTTAAAGTAAGCTAGGATCAGCATAGTACTGATAACCAAGAATTCCAATACGTAATGCAAGCAAATATACGACGTTACAATCTGAGCCTTCAATGATGTACGTAATTTTACTGCGCTGCATTAGACATGTAATCCGCAAAAATAGACAGGAGTGTGCAGCACTCGTCAATTATTTTATAGTAATACGACATGTACATAACAAATACAAATGCTTAAAAAGTAGGGATCAGCTATTATTTGCAGGTACGAGGCGAGATAATGTAATCGTATACTAGTTTCATAGTGTAATCGCTCGTTAAATGCGTAGAATATACTGGAACGAATCAAGGGCGGTATAAGAAATGTAAATCTTGTCGATCTGTCATATCAATTTGTTCTCGTTCTTCGACTTGTGGTAGTAGCTTGTTCTCCTCCTTCAAATGCTTTCGATATCTGTTATCGCAAGCGTATGTATAGCGCACGTACAAAAACAAGATGATGGATGTAGCCAATGCAACCAAGTAAGTAATCATCCCAGCAAGATATCGTGGCGCTTGTTCTTGTCGCATCAGCAAAGGGCCCACGAAGTTACCAAGACAAAATGCAGCAACATTGGCACTATTGGTAAAAACTTTTTTTGTATAACCTGTGCAGTTGCTGGAGATTAATGCGAGAAGAAATAGATACGACATTCCAGTACTCGTTAAAAAGAGACCGAGGAGCATCACGCCACTAATCGGAAGAGTGACCAGTAAAAGTATTCCGCAAAAATTTACACCGGTCATCACGGCGCCAACGTAGCATATCTCGTTAAACCGATAACTGAAGTATATCGCTGCAGTCATGAGAAGGATAGAAACAATTCCGGATGGGATGTTCAGTAGAATGGATTGTGTATTCTTATTGTAGTTAAACATATTAAACGTTAAGTATGATTAGTGGACGAAAACAACTATACAGCAATACCCTATGCCGAGAACTTTATAAATAATGATGGCAAAGCGTCCTTACCGAAAATCCCATGCTTTTGATAATCATCGTACTGAAGAAGGTAGAGCAACCATTCACCAGCTGATTTAAAAAACTGATGAGGATATAGCAATAGAATCGCGTTTCTTTTAGGCTCTCTACTATTTGTTCAAATTTGATTGTCTTGCTTTGTACGACTGCATTATCTCGTATGCGTTCATCAACTATATCTATCTCCCCTGGAGAAAGGCGATACCATGGAGATTTTGCAGTGTCGGGTAGAAAAAGGAATGTGATACACCCAACACCGACGGTAAGGCAACCTAAAATGATCATGCACCTTTTGGGTATTTTAATTCAGGACAAAACCGTCAGTATGAGCACAAAAGAACCCCCACGACAAACTATTATGTAGTTATAGTATATATCAAAGTCATTATATCACATACCATCTCCATGCTCGCAAACCATGAGCACCGTCCAAACGCAAGAATCCCAATCCGATTAAGCCTCCAAATGCAACACCTAACCCGTTACATGCAGGAATTGCTCCAAGCCATATAACTTGTTCCGTGCGTCGATATAGAATACTGATAAGTAGATATAACGCTATATAAAGATATCAAGCAGTTGATGTTAGTCTTAATCCATACTATCTATATCAATATAAACTAGTATTATCAAAACAGTAAAGCGATAATCTTGCTATTGTTGCCTTACATGGGTAACTTACGGACTCAATAAGCCCTAACAGAAAACGCAAAGCTGCCAACTCAGAAAAGTTGTGTGCAAGTGCAGTACAGCCAACGGTGATGCCCCACAATATAAGTGATGCACCAAGATATTTTGAAATAGGAATCTTCTGTAGAAAGTACTGGTTCGGGAACTAATAATATGTAAAGTGAACAGCCATTTCAGCATGCTATCGCATCACTTTTGCAGAGAGGACAAACAAGGCTTTTGCCTCTACAAGTAGAATTGTTGCACCAAATATAATATACTGCATAAACATACTGTACCTGAAATGCAAGATATCCCAAATAATATATGGACCCTAGCCAACTGTACTGATTGCCGGTAATTTTAGTATCTTCGAAAATGCCCATGGCTGCAGAAAAGTTGAGAGTATATTTATCCAGGAACTTGGTGATTAAATGCAAAGGTAGAGACATTGTTATTTATCGAAAAAATAAGCTGACAGATTGATTTTTTTCCTCCTGTGTTTCTGCTACCAGAGGGTACGTGAAATGTACCTGAATGAATGATATAACACATATGAATGGTACAGTGACGAGATTGATTTTGCGCAGGAGTTTCTTCTCTTCGGGTGAATAAACAAATTCTGTCTTTTTCTCATTTTCTTCTCTGCCGGTAATATTATAAGCAGTGCGCTTGAGAAAAGCATCATCGACGTCGTTTCTCGTTGATGCTGTCATAAAAAATAAATGGTGATAGAGTCAGAAAAAAAGCGAAGAAAAGGGGAAAGTGTTGTAGCAGAACTGAACTTGATTATGCATATGCATGCATAAAAATATTGCCCCTTCTTCTGTCTTTTTTTCCCGCTGTATTAGTGCAAATGCAAGTCAACCTGCTCGTTTCGAGACAAGAAAGTGATCAATTGTTTCATCTTTTGCAAGCATGACATCGCATCCTTAAAATTCACTACCTGCTTCCTTTTCTATAAAGATTGGTTGATGTCATAATAAAACGCTTCCAGGGTTGGCATAGCGGAGGAAGAACAAAGGTGCGAATGGATGTTACACAGAGCAAGGCGAGCGATAATATTGGTCACGTTACAAAAACAGATATGATAGACATATGTATTAATCTATATCTTGCTCAATGAGGATACTGACGGAATGTGTAAGCTGTCATTACTTCTCTTCTTTAACTGAATACTTTTTGTCACTGTGCACCTAATTCTTTCGTGTAGCTGAAGCATTTATAGTTTCTCTAATTATAGCTGCTTTAGCAAAATACAGTACATACTATATTCCTGGCTCCTAGTTTTATGAGAGTTCCCATATAATCATGCAATATGTTGTTTCGCGTATAGTATAGATTTTTCTATCGCTGGAAACGATTTGTCAAGATAGAAAACGCTATCATTATCTGGTAGACAAGCTTAAACGTCCTATACCTTTCATATCTTTATAAAGTGGATGGAAGCGGAATGAGAAACCAATGCTTCTTTATGATCCTCTCGAGAAGTCGTAGTCGCAAACAATAAACTCAGTGTAAGGCTGTCTATTCACCTTGCCGGAAAAGAAAAGTGTATGTGCAGAGTCGTTTGTTATTGTTGGCACTTTCGACGTTTCGTTATTACCAATTTGGTTTTGTTCAGAGATTGTCAATGGTAAGTGATTCTCACATTAAACTGTAACATAAGTTATGTTTTGAGAATTGAAGTAAAGATACGTGATGCCTTTCAGACATGAATTACTGTAGGCTGACACATCAGAAACATGTAAGTAAGTATTCTATTCATCCACCATCTTTTACAAAAGTACAATAACTGCATTCAAAAGGCATTTTAGTCTAAATAAGGTTGACGCTACAATAGACAGATATACTAGTAGACCTGCGTACCGCTTTCCCTCATTATTGCTACTTTTTGGCGAACACTATATGAAACGAAATCAAAATTGTTATAATGTAAATGGTTCTCGACAAACTTGCAAAAGCTTGCGATGTGCGTCCAGAGACTTTCAGCAACGGCGAGTCGACTGGAAGAGGGTACAGCTGCAGACTCAATCCTCGTTCAAGATCGACATCGATAAGGTTCAAGCTATTACTCAAATTTTGAGGATCAAAGGATTTTCCGTAGTTGTAAATATGATTCGTACAAACCATCAGTTACGTATTCTCGTCACGCAGAAGAGGTTCGATTTGAGTCAGAAAAAACTTGGCGTAACGCAAAGTTGTTTCCACATCGGAAGCATACCAAGCCATGATGCAAGTAGCTTTGGAAAGTCGAAAACTTGGGCGGCTCCAGTAGATGTATGTGTCGATATTGAAGCTTGCTTGGATCATCTAGGTTGACCATTTGATGTTGTTGGTCTTGAAATCGGAGCCTTATCAACAGATAGAGAAAAATATCTTTGCAAAGAGAGCTATCAGAGTCATCTTTTTTGCTGCTTTCGTTGCTGTTGATGTCATTATCAACATGTAACTTTTCGACTCGTCGAGCAAGAGCCGCATAATATTGCCTATGGTGCTGACACTGTAGGAAAAAAAACCTTAATATACCTTAAAAAACCTGAATAAACCTGAATTTAGTTCAACCAGGACCACCGTTGTTGTACCAAATGAAACTTCCGACACACCTGACCACATTTTTTTTTCATCTCATCAATATGTCAACACCTTCTCTATCACGGAAGAAAAATTTTATGCCGCCTGCGGTTGACCATTAACACCAACAGCTGGCATGGTAACAATCGCGTTCAGCAGTCCAGGCTTATACGTATTGGTGAAGTTATGGTGTACTTTCAGCATTATGATGTAGACGCTGCCAGATTATTTGCCTTGGTGAAAGTATATGACGCTGAAAAGTCTAATGACAGTGGCACGTGGCTGTATCGCACGATAAAGTTGTTAATGTAAAGCATATCAAACAGCTGGTGTGCAGTATTGAAAGTACATCGAAGCGTCACTACGTTTGCAGGTCACAAACGAGACAACGAACTTCTTGGTGAACTGCGGTATCTATGGTGATTCCCATTTTAGGCAGTATCAAAACAAAGTTGATCCTTTTCTCCTCATTTGTTTGACCTTGCCTCTCCTTGTATGCTTCATCTTGCCGTTTGAAAAAAAAATCGTTCCTTTTCTTATTCCTTCTCCTCTTTCGTCAATAATAAAACATGACACAGAAACAACTTAACATGAATCCTCAAATCCCAGCTATTCTTAACGCTATCAAAAACAATAACGATTCAATGCTTGCACTTGCACGGTCGGTCGGCTCCTTGGCAAGGGAAGTTGATGTCACAGTAAGGCGTTGGATGATCTTTCCACATCAGTAACTCTTATAGTTGGGGATGTACAGTGCTGTCCTTTCATGTCCATCTGTAGAATCTTCCAGCTCCGTATCAAGAGCGTTTTCTTCTGGGCTGTTCGACGGCATGCTCTTGACACGGTCTTACAAACGCAAAGTCGACTCACAGACGAAGTTTGTAATGGAGGAGCTGACCAGTCTGTGCCACGACGTTGTCAGGGAGCACCAATTGGATATCGCGCGCAGCGACGAAGTCAATATCAGGGACAACATATGGGGACGATCTGGGATAATGGTCGATGGTATTCTCAGCAAACCTGATATTGATTTGCTTAGAACAAGCTGGTCAGCGATACCAGAGACGACCTTGAAGGCGCAACAAGATTTATAGAGCGCATGCTAAAGATCTGCACCCTTGGCTGCGTGCGTGAACAGTTGGGCTACAAACAAAATCCTGCAACTTCGGGGGATCGCGCAATAACTTACAAGAAACGCGTTGCCTAGGGCGGCTTCTACCAAAAATCAGTAAGTACATACTAGGAGTATTAGCGTTTCCGATATATATGTATATAATGCTTACCTTCAAAATATTACAATTTTTAAACGCTATCAGACATTATCAAGCGCTCCACAAGAGGAAACATGTGTTTTTTCAGAATAAAGGTATATATACTCTACCAATGCTGATGTATTTGACGTACTTCATAGCACACACACTGGTTGTACTCAATCAGCGTTCGTCAACACCATGAGGTTGCGTTGCCGTCGACATCAAACACAGACGACTGTTCAAGGCTCCTAGTGTAATAGTCGGAAGACGAAGACGCGTCGCAACTGCCCAGTGTGTTGCTCTCTTTAAGCCAAGGTAAACAGTAGATCAAAAATCCATATTGCATGGCATAGAATGAGCATCCATGATATACCAACCTAATCAAAAGAGAGACACATCACGCAAACGCGCCCGTTCATGCGATGGATCTGCTAATGACTTCACTGACAGCACCAGTGTTGCTCGCGTCGGTGCTCGTAATGCTCGTGGTGTTCGCTGTTGCGGTCGTGTTGGCAACTAAATAGAATTGAACACTTATTTGCTTGTATACTACACAATGCAAAAATGATTTGTTAAAGATTTAATATAGAAAGCAAAATTTAATAATAAACATATTGTCATCCAATCGAAATCAGTTTTTTGCATACATAATATGAAAGAGGATCAATGAGGAAATGTGAATAGCTGATGAAATATCCAATGATGCTCCCAAACGGATCAGCTATACGTACAACGACCAATAAGACACGATGTATGTACCCAATCATAAACACAGTTGAACGCATTCCACACTTCAGCCGACCAATAAAACGAATCAGAGAAACCAGATAATATTAAGGTATATTCGAGTTTTCTCAGGTTTTTTCAGGTTTAAAAAAAACCTGAATATACCTTAATTTGCCCGTTTCAGGTTTTTTCAGGTTTTAGGTTTTTTTAGGTTTTTTAAGGTATATTAAGGTTTTTTCTTTCCTATAGTGTGATAGGGGGTTCTTGCATCAACAAATCTTCCGAGATTTTCCTTCTTGACTGCATAGAGAAATGGTATGTAACTTGACACGGATTTAAAGTTGGAGCGAAAAGAAAATGTAAGCTTTCACGGGAAAAAAAGTTTAGTATTTATGGCAAACTGGTAATACATACAGATATGACGAGTCGCCCATAACAGTAATGGTACAGTTTAAGAACACAACATGATCAACTTGCTCCACCAAGTCTAAGAGAGCTCCTGCTGTTTCTAGACAACTTTCTCTACATCAATTTCTGATGTGCCCAGTACTGACACTGCCACGCAACGGGTCTCACAAGAATTTGACATTGTGTTACGTGGTCCATGTTTATGCTTGTGTCAAACATTTGCCCAGGTATTGTATGCAAAACAGAAAGACGAGATCTGTAAATTTGATCAAGGCATCGCAAAGCAAAAGTAATCGCGAATCTAGTGTAAGCCTTTCTTAAATGGCAACTTACCTTGAATAAAAACTGGGACATTGCACGCCAAACTGTCAAATGAAGGGGCGAAGATATTAAAACACGATCCGCGAATACCTTCACAAGGAAAGAAATTGTAAATGAGTTTGAGCAGGATATAGAGTAAAAGAGCAGGGGTTTAATCATTGTAATAATAGAGTAAAGAAACATTTTATAAAAGACGGAAGTTATCGTTATGAATATCAATTGTCGAAGAGTACAAATTTTATTAAATGAACACAATCAGTGGACGATAAAGACAAATAATAAGAACGCGATTTTACAAAGTGCCCTCAACAAGCTGTTCGCACAACCTGCAGGCTATACAAAAAGCATGAAGAAAGCAAGAAGAAGCAGAAGGAGTATGTAAAGGGGGAAGGGAGGGAAAACCACCAAGTGCCTCTGCCTGGGTGTCCCAGTCTCCCAATCATTTGGCTTTGAGTCAATCAACCACAAACCCAAGCCATCATTGGTACGAACGAGTGGGAGCCATGGCGTACATATAGTTTGAGAGTCAAGTGCAAGCAATCGGTTTGAAGATTGCTTGTGAGTGGAGAAAGTGGAAGGGGGAAGGGGAAGGAAGGGAGGAAGGAAGGGAAGAGGAAAGGGAAGGGGTAGGGGTAGGGGAAGGAATTGACTCTCGAAACACCCAAAAGGACGGCAATTCGCTGCTGTTGTCGAATGCTGGAGGGGCTGCTTACTGGATACTCGGGTGCTGGGAGCCGAACACTGAAGCTGGGAGTTGATTGCCGAGCGTCGATTGCCGAGCGTCGATTGCCGAGCGTCGATTGCCGAGCGTCGAATGCCAGAGAGTTGATTGCCGAGCGTCGATTTCCGAGAGTCGAGTCCTAGGATCGAATGCCGAGAGTCGAATGCCAGAGCGTTGATTGCCTGATATTGTAACAAGAAGCTCACATAAATAGAAGCCATATACACCAAGAAATAATGGCGCAGAAGTTAATGACCGTGCAGTACACGTGCTCCAAGGCAAAGTGTATACCAAGGAGAAGTGGTGAAACTCGGTAACGGTAGAATGAGAGTGTCTTTGAAGCCCTTCTGTTTGTTAATAGCCTTTTACAATTAAAGCTGGGTTAGTGCTGGCTGCCTCATTCTGAATGTCGACTCCATTGTTCCCGAATCTCAATACTGTTCAAGACAAAATCAATTTCACTTTGCCGACGATCTCATGGCAACTATTTTGTGGTGACAAGACATCCATTCTGAGTGCATCATCAGCCGTCCTTTTCTCAGTAAATGATCGTATTAGACATTTAAGAGATCACAAATGACATACTATGCATCAGACATGGGTGCTTCCATGACTGCTGTTGTTGTGATGGTGATGACGGTGGCGTTTATAGTTTTTTAGTGTCGTGGACACTTTGTCACACGATTTGAGCGACTGGTTGTCGCCTTAGTGACGACAGGGTTAATGAAAATCTCCAATTATCAATCAGCTTCCAGCCATCGCTAACGATACTTGATGACAACAGTTGCACCATGTTGACAGAGTCCAAGGATAGAGCCACTTGTTCGCTTACTGCGGTCACCCGGTGAAACCTGACTTATTTTAACGACTTGAGATCCGATAAAACAGTTGCCAAAGCTTTATCAGGCACGTTGAAACACTAATATATTTCCAACGTTTTGAGTCCGTTGAAGCACCGCACAGCTCTCGAGACAAGCACAGGTGTCGATGACCACGCGGATTGAAAAGCCATGGGAGTGTGTAGACGACCAATTAGCGAGACTGGCCGCGGTCTATAAGCTTTTTTTTTTTGGTTGTAAGTCTATATATAAGTTTCCCTCCAAGAAACAGAAACAGATTTACGTCTCTTGCTATAGGTAGACAATGGCTTACCCAAAATTGGATGATCCGAGCTCTTTACCCATTTCACAGCGTTGGAATGGACTCTCGCGATATCTTCCCAATTGGCTTTTGCGCGACGTTTTCAAGCGGGATCACTGGTACGCGAGGACAAGATATGGCCATATCCACTGAGGCTTGCCCGTTTGGTGAGCTCCCCCCGCTAGCAGTTGACGCCCGTCTTCTAGAAGATTGACAAAAGAACCAATTTGTTACCCCTCATCATCCATCAAAGGAATGATGTATCGTACTTTGAAGTATACAGACCGCTCAATCAATACTGGCCTGGGTAGCCAATATATTGTAAATTAGGAAAAGTGCAATACAAATGGCGACGGTAAGATGCTGTACAAACTCAATTTGAGCTGAAACAAAATAAACGGGCTTTCCCAATTCTTTTGAAGAAACTTGGTCATTGATATTAAGATTCGTATTGGTATATGTAGTAGTCTTATACGGCAAAACATCGGAAGGTGGTCCGAAGCTTGAGAGCCATCATATCGTACTGTCCCAAGCTTTCGTGGGCCAACTAATTACAGTCATTATTATGTTCCATGTCATATGTGGGTGACAAGTGAAAAATACGACAGGGCAGCTGTTTTTATCGTAACTGTAGGGACAAGCAAAATCACGGATAAAAAGTAATAAAGAAAAGCGTTGCTGTACATGTGTCGAACTGCCTCCACCTGAAAACATACCCGGCGCTCCAAAGGCAGCTCAATCTCAGGCGATCTCCCAAACAGATGGGCACATCCACGTGGATTTAGCATTTGATGGAAAAACGCTGAAACGTGATTTATAAAGATTCTACTAATAATTATACGTATTATAGTAATCGGTATAAAAGGCAACTAGATCTGGCCTGTAGAGTGCATGTCATGCTGATTCTACACGTGAGAAAGACACATGTACGGGACAAACTGGTCGCTTAGCCTCAACCATACTAAAGCAAAATAAAAGTGGTGTATATAAGTATGTAGCTGTTGAAAGAGATATGTAATTAAAGGATTATGTTGATTTATTATAGATGCTAAAGTGTTGTAATATAGGGATATGATGGGAAAAAGCTAGTATACATAACTACTTGGTGTGACAAAAGCACTTAGTGGGGTGGTGCAATACGAAGAAAACTACAAGAAAATAATTATTTGTCGTGCTTGTGCTTGTGCTTCTTTTCATCCTTGGTCGGACGCTGCAAATCCAAAGCTTCGGTGAGGCCATAGAAGACGTTCCAGTTTTCAATAGTCTTCTTGAATGAATCAGAGCCAGGGCCATTGGAGTAGATAAAGACATCAGCCATCGAGTGGACACCTTGGCCCGAAGTGACAGGAAGGTTACCGTTCATGACCAAACCCTCTATTTATGATAATCATTGTCAGGTCATCTTTTCTCTCAGATTTTTTTTGTCCCACTTTAAATAAATAAAAAAGACACGCAAAGAACTTACTGCCATATTTTCCTGCAGAATCCTCCTTGTTGCCAACGTAAGCGCCATGAGGATCGCGGGAAGCAGGTGAACGAGGGGTGGTAGCCAGTGTAAAGGCTTCATAGTGGTCTGGGAAGTTGTTGGTACCGGCAGCCAAAGTGATAGCTGGGGTCCAGCTGTCGGGGAAACCATCATTGTCATTATCGAAATAGCCTGGCCAGCCAGAAGCAGCATAAAGACCAATGGAGTCGCGCATGTCCTTGTTTGAAAAGTGTTCCGCCATGTACTTTTGATCGACGGAGCCATAGACATCGAAGGCGTGCGAGTGATCACTGGTGAATAATATTAAAGTGTCTTCGTATTCGCCGTTTTTCTAATAGAGCAAAATTAACAAAATTAGCATACTATCAAATTAAGAAGCGTTATGTAATAAAAGCCGATGTATTATATACCTTGAGCCATTCAACAGTCTTGCCAATGGTAACATCCATTTCAATCAAATCAGCCCAGGCACGCGAGAAATCCAAAGGATGGAGCTGCTTGTCAACAGAGGCAGCTTCCGACATCAAGAAGAAACCATCCTTGCCACCACGCTTCTTCAAGACCTCCAGGGCCTTGATAGTCATGTCCTCCAAGCCAGGTTGGTCCGAGCCCAAAGCATCGTTACCGCTCAAGTCAGGAGCAGCACCATTGCCAACAGTGTTGTTAACAAAGATGTTACGTTCCATCCAGCTATAGCAGAAAAAGAGTATAAATCAGTACCCACAAACTCACTCATATCTTAATAGTACAGCATTCAACTTACACATCAAGGTTACCGGTGCGGAAAGCACCCAAGAGCTTGTCGTCGCCATTATACTTGTTCAGATCCTTCTTGTTCATAACCACCTGGTAGCCAAACTTGTCTTCCATCAAGGAATAGTAATCAGTGCCATTCATAGCGTCTTCACCTTTGAAGTATTCAGCGCCACCAGCAAGCCAGACATCAGGAGCAACGGCATCAACCCAGTCAGGAACGCCGTGAACAATCTGGTCGACGATATGGGCCATTTGGCCACGCTCACGGGTATGTGTGTAAAAGGCAGCAGGGGTGGCATCTTGACCAGCAGCAGTAGAAACAACACCGACGGCCTTACCAGGTTGGCGACGACGGATAAGCTCTGTGATCAGTTCAACCTTGGGATCATCGAATGGATCGGCGCTTGAGTCAGCGTACACTCCAAGAGCGCTTACACTACCCTTGTGGCCCGTCGCATACGAGGAAGCAGAGTTGGCAGAGTCGGTGACCAAGCCATCCACCGAGTGGGTGATGACGTGACCCAAGTTGTCAAACTTTTCGAAAGAAAGAAGATCGTGGTATTTACCGCTAGTGTGTTTGCGAGCCAGCGCACGAGCAGCAGTAATCATCTAGATAGATAGTAATGTGTCACCGAGATTTAGTTTAGGCTCATGTTAATGACGCAGTATATAAACATATATATTCAAAATACTCACACCAACGTTACAACCATCGGCAATAAAAAGAATGGCGTTCTTTGCCTTCTTCTTGGGCTTCTTGGGCTATACGCAATATCAAAAATGTTAGCATAGATTCATAAGAAGAGCTATTGCTAAACAAGGACAAGGCCAGAAGATGTTGAGCTGAAATTACCTCAATAACTGTGTAGCGAACAGTGTAGCCTTCCTTAGGCCCATATTGGACTGAGACATCATAGGTACCAGGCTTATCGAACTTAAGCTTGCGCCAAATACGCGAGGTCACTGCGACATCCACGGGCTTAGCATCCTCAGAAAGCGAAGTCTCAATCGAGTCAACCCATTCAAAGTTCCAGTTATCCAAAGCAGGTGTTTCTTCATAGTCAAAGAAATCATCAACATCGCGCCATTTGCCACCATCCTTGCGCACAGTTGTCTTGAAATTGGAATAAGCCTCAGGAGCAGGGTTGGATGTGTTCTTGTCATAAGCGTGCAATTCGACACGCAAGTCGAAGTATGAGCCGGGCAAGAATTGGGATCTAATTCATTATATAAAGTTGAAGGACGGTTAGATACATACAGAACGTCTACTTTAATGTAGGATAGCCGCTGTTTTCTGCAAATTAAACTTACAAATCAGGCGGGAAAATGCAGCTGTGATCATCAGGGCAGGCACCAAGACGCGGGTACTGGCCTTCAGGATCAGGGAATAACCGGTAAGATTCAGGACGGAGAGCAGATGCCAAAGCAGAAGAGCAAATTAATGCCAACGAGGCAATCTTGTAAAGACCTGCCGACTTCATGATTGAGAAAGAAGATAAAGAAGAAGGAGAGATTGAGCAGTGAACGGCTGGTTTGGTGGTAGTGATTCCCGGTAACAACACTAATCAAAATAAGAAAACGAAGCTCGATCTTTTATATAACAGTTTGAACAAGTGCGATGCGTTACACAAGATCTATTGACGGGATACGTCCCTACTGACGGTCGTTGTCTTGTCCACGTTGTCGTTGACTGTCGTTACCGGGGTTGCACTTGCCTGTCCATGCGCCGCAGAGGGAAAATTTCGTTGGCTCGGACAATATTTCTCCGCTGTGAGATAATTGTAAACCATTAATACAGCCTATCTGCGCATCATAGAATGATGATTCAACCCGCGCCATCAGACGTCGGATAAGTACGGTATCGACGAACGATCAATTTCTCCTCGGCACAGCAGAAAATAATAGTTTAATGCTTTATTATAGTCCAGCAAATTGTATTATGTCAGTAAATATACTATAACGCTGCGCAAATACAGCATATTGTTACAAAGGCTTTAATCCCGCTGCATTGCACTGAGAATTTGCAGGATGCGCAAGAACAAGTTGATAATATCCATATACAAACTGACGGAGGCCATTATATAATCCTCAGCAGAGTAGCGGTTGAAGATAAGGTATGTGTCAAACACAATATAGCCCGAGAATATGACCACGCCGGCAACGGCGAGTGCCAGTTGGAATCCTTCTGAGAATGGCAAGAAGATCTGAACGATCGAGACAAGTAGCAGAATCGAGATCCCGGCAAACAAGCTAGCATTTGATTTTCGAAGACGTAAGCTTTTACTCTCTTTCTTTCCTCCACCTTAACCATCCACACACATTCGCTCCGCATACTTACAATGGTCCCATTCCCGAAAAATCCCATTTCGATTGCAATGTGAACAGCGTCAACCCAACAAACACGCCGAATGTGATGATTAGCGCCTGGAGTACAATCGTTTGATCATAAAATGTAACTGCATAATGATGATAAAGCATAATAAAAAATAAGCACCAGCACTATCATACACACATCATCCTCCATTCTGAAAAAAGCAACCTCTCCCTCAAAAGATTAATTACCAACTGTGCCAACCAACTGGCCTTCCAGCAACGTAAATATAGCCAAGAGACCATAGTTCAGAGGTGTTGAGCGTGCTTTCCACATCAATGCAAACAGAACACCCAAGGATCCAAACATAGATATGTATAGCATCCAGGCACTGGATGATAAATATAAAGTTTAGCTTCTGTGTTCGTAACACAAGAGCTTTCAAATGGTAAGAAAAAAAAGGAGCCTTACTTTGTTTGAACAAATAGTTTGGCAGATTCGTTATACATGTAGATGGCCGACATAATCACTGTGCTTAGAATTTGTACAGACAGGATTGAATAGACCTTGCGTACGAACTCTATAGTTTTTCAAATATGAAAACGGAGAAGGAGGAGAAAAATAAAATGGTGAACAAATAGGGAAGAATGTATATGATTCAATAAAACACATAAAAGTTATAAGGCTGCTTACGCATTCGCACTTCAACTGGACTGTTGGCAATCGTTTCTTTGTACATATCGTCATCATCGGCATGTCCACCGTCAAATAGTGGCTGTCGTGCTTCTTCTTCATAAGCAGGTGGAGGAGCTGAATATTGCTGCTGATGCTGAGCACCGTAAGACATAACTGCTTGTTTTCTAGTTGTGTTGAGAGTGGTTTCTAGTAAAGAAAGCTTGGCTTTGCAGCTGCGGAGAAAAGGGTCTTCTCATGCCCGCCCGCATGACCGAGCTGTCGACACAAAATTTTTCGTGATCCTCCCGTCTTTTATCAATTAGATCCGCATTTAAGAGAAAATGCCAAAAGCACAAAAGAGCAGAGGCTTGAAAAAGACGACAACGCCGATCGCAAAAAAAGACGACACCACTGTAAAATCCTCATTTATTCAATCCCTAAATCAACGATGATCTTATCTCACTTTTGTTTTTCAATTAGTCGGCACCTGCAGCGTCAGTTGACACAAAAGACCAAAAACGAAAACAACGCCACGACGCCTGGCTTGAAAGTAAGATAAATTAAAAAGCTAGGGCAGAAAGCTGCTGCAATCAAGTGGATTCAAGTAATTAAATTGCACCTGCAAAATAACAGAATTGGATCGAGCGCATGCACAACGAAAGCGTGCAGCAAAGAAAAGCAAAAACCTTCAAACCGACCTGACCGAGTTTCACGATATTCTCGATACGATCGAAACCAAAGATACGAAAAAGGACAGACCAGCTGCGATACCCACCAATAAGTTTCAAACCAACAAGTCCAAGCGGAAAGCAGAGTAATGGCATTTTTTTTTCTTTCATGCGGGAGACGGTGCTCACAAGGACATCATCTCTAATGTGTAATGTCTACTACAATAGGATGCAGGAAATTGTACGGTTCCAAAAGGTGATGCAGCTGCCAGCATTCCAGCAAAACCCTCTTGCAGCAATTCGACAGCATGTACAGAACACATATGGCAGCAGCAACAACGCATAATTTGTCCTTTTGCCATTCCTGGAGTGGCAAACCCTAATTTGGTATTCATTTGTTTACACCACCCATTTTGTATTATAGTGAATTTTGTCTTTTTTTTTAATAATTACAATAACAACAAAAGGTATCCCAGCCTATTCTTCTTCTTCTTCTTTTTTCCCTTTCCTCTGTTTTTTTTCTCATCAACCGTCTATCAAGTACCTGCATAATTATAAATTGAGATGGACTTCACACATGGATACGAAGATTTCGCCACACGGTACTATTGGACTCGGTTATTGTCGCCGCTCAAGTGCTGTGGTTGCTTCAGTAATCGTTTTGGAAGCGGGGTCGCGTGCTTAACATGGGCGGTAAGGACACCGGCCACTCAGTCTATAATCTCTCCATCTGCTAAAGATAATGACTGACCGTTGTATGCCTGGGTGATATTAGGGATTCAGCTTTTACTTTGCCATCCTTGCATTCATGCAAAAAAGCCGTAAGTCGAGAAGAATACTCAATGATGTACAGGTCGATAATACATATTGCGTACTAAAGCAATACACTGCTATAGCATTCTATTCACATCTACATGAGGTACCATTGATCATATTTGGTGTTGTGAATCTTATCTTCGGATGTATCTCTATTGCTGGCTTTGTGGTCGTCTATTTCCGGGTATGCATTTCTTATTCTCTAAGAAAACATGTAGTAACATAGAGATAACTTACATAATGTATTCAACTTACCATAGCCTATATATGTGAGAGTTCAAATCATGGTCTATGTGATTGCTGCCGGTGCCAGCCTGGTGCTTATATCGATGCTAGTTAACTACATATTATTCGTCGTTAACCGAGGTGCTTTTGAAACATGGTGCATCGACCACTCCCGCTCGGTTGCCCAAGACGACATCCGAAGCCAAACTGGAGGCAACACGACCATTACAATCGGGTCAGAAATGGACTACTACAACTGTGATCGTCTGTTCGCCAATCAAGTCAAATGGTCACTTTTATGTGTTGTCGCCATGTATATCATCTATGTAAGGGGAAAAAAGGACTCGAGCAACATATGGATTAGCAAATGGTAAAGAAAAACGTACTAACTGAGAAACACACATAGGTTCATTGGATGCTGGTATTTGCAGTATTTGCAGGCACATCTTTCTTCCTTATTCCCCCGCGTGCTGCTCCTATACCGCCTCCTGTCGTGCCGCCACTCTCTGAAATCGGTGAGCCAATGCCACCGCCACCACCTACAACGATCATGCCGCCCACTGGATTCTCCAACTTACCGCCATCATCCTCGGAAAAGAAACAAAACACGACATATTACACTCTGAAACCTGCCAAAAAGAGTATTACTGCTACGTTGAAAAAGAAACGCGTCGACCCAAACTTGCTGTCGGTTCTGGGGCTCAAAGTTAATGAATCCGGCCATGTGATTCATATAGCAGACGACGACAGCCTACCACGATATAGTACGGATCATTACAACTACAGCAGTAGCAGAAACAAGCGTTGGCCGTCATCTTCAAGCAAGACATTTGTGCCTTCATCTAATGAGGAAGATCTGCGTTAAATTAACCTTCATCCTCGCTCTGATATACCCCTCCACCGTATCGACCCGCACTCTTTTATCCTCTTTTTTCTTGTAAATCATACTGTACTTTTGTTTTTTAAACTTTTGCTTTTTCCTAGATTTAACTGATTAAGTTCGCTTATCGGCTTTTTTTTTATCAAAACGAGATATACGAGTAATCTTTGAGCCGCGTATAACCGTATTGTATGACTCAATGAGCACTTGGTTGTATACTCTTACCGAGCACTGATGCACAAGTTGCAGAACAGCAGCCTGTGTTTACGCTCACGCATCTGTGATGCACAAGGCAACAGCACGTGCAGCACATGCAGCACATCTTGGAATTATATAGCAGCACCAGTAGATTGCTTATATTTTGTCTATACACCGCTTCACTGTATATAATAACACACAGCACGTGTGTGGTAGTTTGGTTGCTGAACTCTCCTTTCCGCTTGCACAGCTACCAGATCCTCGGATGTATCTAGAAATTCTAATCTGTCTTCCCAGCATGTGGATCATCTGCGCAATTTGTTTGGCACGGAGTTTCGGATCGCACTACTAGCAGTTTGCTCACCAAAAGGGTGTGGTCACTGATGCCGACGCTCCATAATTTAGTTCCCGTTTCTGTGTTTCATGCACAGAATGTCAAGATTTTTTTATGCACAGGTTTTTTCCATAGAAATGGCGGATGATCTTTTCGTAATGGCGCTAAATTTTTTTAGCATGGTGGTGGGAAATATCATGGGCGCGCGATACGTTTTTCACTTGGCGCGACGTTTTTTCAACAGGGCGTGAAGATGTTGTTTCTTTGTAGAATACATATGAGTGGAGCCATGTAATGCCAAGCAATTCATCAGCATTTTGAGGTCAAGCACAGAGCATTAACAACGCCCGGATATAAAGAAAGCAAAGCATCTATTCTGATTCAAGTACACGTCATTTTTAATTACTGTATGATGTACGTAGTCTACACTCCCCAAATATTTACACAAGATAAACTGCAATAGGATAAGTCCTATATGAACAAGAACTTCCATTTGCAAATGGTATGACGGTGATAGTGCCGAAGCAAAGGCGATAATAAATGCAGAGGGAACAATCGAAGCCGAAGATCCTTACCACATTGTCGACATGATGGGAGTGAAATGGTATATGCTGTCTTGTATGTATCAATGGCAAGGGCAGCTAATAACTCGCAAAAGGCACTGTACAAATTTGCCTGAAATCGACCTTGAACATTGCCGGTACGATAAAAAACAGTATGAAATCGAACATGAAACCAATAAAGCTGGGGATAACAACCAAAATCACTCTCTTAATGCTTCCAAACATCCTGTAACAGAAAACGGAACGGAAATAAGAGACGGACTGCGCAGAAAGCCTAAAACAGAAGTTTCTATTTGTTGACCACTATGGCTAAAACTAAACTATCATACAGTGCTAATCGGAGACTGATTTTGTAGGTCCCAACAAGAGATACACCGATGAGAATATCATCTAGTTAATTGATATGTACTAAATTGAAATGTAACTTTGAGCGCTGCTGGGGCTGCTCGCCTGTTACGAAAGCCTGAACGTACGCCAAACGATGCTACGCCCGGTTTCAAAATGGGGTACCGTATGTACCTCCCAAGCCAGCTTGAAAGAAGTGTAGAGCAGTGCCAGTCCGAAATACTGATCATACTCTATTTCTTCAGAATATGTATGACGCGGATTTTACTCCTACAATAAAGCAAGCACAGGAAAAGCTCCATGAGCACTTCCGAGTCTTCATCACCCAAAGCGCATTACAAACGCATCTTGTGCACTGTGGCCTTACGATGAAGAAGCTACAGAGCTCACGGAGCACCGGGTCTCCCTTGAACCATTAAGAAAAGAGTGGGTACTCGAATTCAGGAGAAACAATATCGATTTCGTTCAATGTCGTTTTATCGATGAAGTATGGTTCATTTTGCAATTTGAAGCGAACTTTCGGGCGATTGCGAAGAGGTACTCCTGTCGAAGGCATTAGTCGCTAAAACTCGTGGTGTCAACATATCGACTCTCGACGCTATTGCTAAAGAAGGTGTGACAAATCTCTCATTACGGAGACCACAAGCAGTGGCCGGGGGCTACAAGAAAAGAAAGTTGGAGGACGGTGAACAACGCTTAATTGCCAAAATTGGTACAAGAGCAAAACATTTTTGCCAATTCTTGGGAACGGTGATGGTGTGCTTCAAAAAACGATACCCATGAAAGGTTTTTTATCATGAACAATGCTAGAATCCATCATACTCGATGGGACAAGAAACTGTTACTAAGCGTGGATTCCAGGTGTGCATCTCCCCTCTTATTCACCATTTTGCACTTACACATATCCAACAAAGAATAAAGCTATGATAAAAAGTGAAATAGTAAGCCGTCATATCTCAATACATCATTCGCCACATAATAGCACCTCACGCCATGCTATATCTCGATGCCGAATCGAAAAACGTCGCGCCAAGTAAAAAATGATATTCTCTCCACCGCCATGCTAAAAAAAAACTCAGCGAACATAGAGCTGCATGCCGAAAAAAGACCGATTTTACAGTATTTCTCTAATTTTTTATAGCAGTAATATGCTAGCGCAGATGTGTTGGGTTCTAAATACTAGTACTATATTACAGAGCTGTTTCTAATACTGTACAACGTCGTTGAAAGCGGACTTGATCCGCTAAAGATTATTGTATCAACAAATTGATGCAGCCTCATCAGGGATATCACACTATGTCATGTGTAATAAACACACCGGCTGTGCCTTGACATTACAGATACAGATCTACAAACGTCTGTTCGTATAGTAAGAGACAAGCACACGGGAATGAACACTCTTTCTCCCATTCCTCAGTTCGTGGGTGCAATAAACGAAATTGATCGGCTGAAATTAGGTCGGCTGCGTATTGGCGAGTGAACTGTGGCTTTTAAATAAGGGGAGCCTGTGCGCCTTTCAAAAAGGCGGAGAAATGCAGGAAGAGAAGCACAAGAAAGTTGTAACATTTGAAATTAAGATAATCGTCGAATTATCTAGAACGTGCGCCAGGATCTCGTTACATGATACCCTCACTTTATCCCATTTAGATATCTGTCAAGTATATATGATAGAAAAAGTACAATGATTAATCTAACAGACTGCATTAACATAATATTTACTCTGTGCTTCAATATGGTTTGGCTGTTTGCTATTATTCTGCCAACTCCACGATACACAAATGTTCAGGATACGTGTAGGAAAAGCCAACTGAACTTGCATCACCCCATTGTGCGTGTTGGCTGTTACTGAACTCTATTACAACTCTTATTGCATGGACTTTTACGACTTAATCTCGTTCTATTTCAATAAGGAACCCTTAATAAAGGTCCTAGTTTTGTTCAAACGGGGTGTTCACACATCTTCTTTTATACTTCTATCTTAACACGAAGTCCTACCTTACGATGTTTTGTAGTCCATGTCTGGACGATGAGAACAGTTACAATGAGTTTCCATTTGTTCGTTGTCAAGTCGAACCAATCTTTGGTCCTCACATGTAGCATGTTTTTCTCTGTGGCCTGCCTACTCCAGACGATCAACCAGTGCTCGTGCTACAAAGACTCCAGACGTTAGTAGACATCGGGTGCTAAGCCTATAAAGTACTAAGGAGGGAACCAACGTAGCTTTGTAAAGCAAACATGTTTCGCTTACTCCCGCAATGTACATTTATCGATCAGTGTCGTTTCCTAGCACACCTGACGTATCTACATAGGCAAACATATCCCGTATTATATTTTTCCCATCACACCTCCGATCAACCTTTTCTTGAAAATCATCAAAGCATACCTGAACATTTCAAGATTTGCATAATACATTGACCCTTTTTTTCCCACTACGTTTACTTCTTTCAATCCATTCTATTACTTTATTATCATATACTGCTTCTGCAACTTTTCCCTCACTAGTGTACAATAAATAGCGTCAATGTCACGAATGAGTTATATGCAACTGTACGGCAGTTATGGACTCCTCATAAGATCCTCCATGCCATGTTAACCTCACGAAACTATTCCTGCACATCTGAGCACACAATGTACTACATATTATACACAAACGACTGGTTGAGCCAATTAAATATATACCGTAATAGAGGACAGAGGAGGAGCGTGATCTGCCATCGTGATCTTGGCTTCTATAACCCTGGCTCTGAACATTTTAGAAGGAAAGGAGAAGAAGCTGCTGCTGCTAGACACAACTTTTTTGGAGCTAAATTTGACCACATGAGAAGTGTCATAACAATATGATAAAGACGGTTATAACAACAACAACAACAATGGCAATGCTTCTGCTTCCGTTAATGATAATGTTACAGAACAGGAGCTATATGATGATACTACATGGATGATGAGCTACCAGGATAACAAGTCATGCATTCTTTACTCAAATCGCTGCCACTAGCAACAAGCCCTTAAAATTTTTAAAGATGTGGGCAGCTGACGGAACGTAACCGGATCATGGTATCAGATCCGTGTGACGCCCCGATCGCTGAGAATGTTCGACGGCTCGATCGACCAACGCATCCTGGGGCGGCGTTAAACAAAGGGAATCTATACGGGAAAAAGTTAACATCCCCATCGTCTTCGTTTTTTCCCACTTCTTCCTCCACCTTTTCACCATGACGATAGCGGAAAAGCTAAAGACGATTGCTATCGAACAATGGCTTGTGCTGCCATTATTTGTTGTGGGGTAAAAGAAAATTTTATAGAAAAAGGCTCAAATTCATTTTTTTTTGCATTAATTATGTCATCTTCTTGTATGTAGCGTGTTTGCTAGTGCCTTTCATGCGATTCCGTTGGTGACGGTACTCTATTTCCCACTTTTGCTTTCTTATGCACGCCAGCACTGGTATACTGGTATCATTGCCTCTCTGGTCAATTTGGCTTCGTTCTGGATTTCCATTCTTGGGCTTCAAGACGATATCTATGGCAACGGCCGATTTCAACACCCATGGTGGATGCTTGGTAAGATCACTGTCAGAAAAAAAAACAGACGTCAAAATCTTCCTAGATCTAAACAATGGGGTTTTTTCGCACACAACGCTTTTTATAGTGCTCGCGATTTGTTGTTCTGTCAACGTCCTTATTGCTCTGATTGGCGATTTCCTTGCAAGTCGTCACGAATCCACCGCTCTACGCGTGCTTGTCTTTCCACTCTTATTTGCAGGCTCATGGTTGGTCATTTTCGGACACTTGATTGGTTTTGGCGACAGCCTCGCGTATTCCAACAGCATCTTGACTGGGTTTCCTGATATCGTGCAAGCTGCAACCTGGCTCGGCGGTCGACCTGCCATCGACTTTGTGCTTGCGCTATTTGCCACGATTGTCCTGGAGTTCGGCCGTACCTCTTCTGAAAAACCAGTGTTCAACAGTAATACCGACGATGAAGAAGAACAGCAGCAAGAACACACTGCTCGTCCCAAGAGCTGGCTCTGCCATCCTGCCACTTGGTATGTCGCTTTACTGTCGCTATTATCCTTCTTTGGCGGCTGGCAAATCAACATCCATCCAAAGTCATTCTTCCAAATCGCTTACCCTGACTATGTACCGAAAACCGTCCCTGTCGGCTGTGTGATTGGACCTGGTGGTATTCACTGGCAATTGCAAGCAGATCACGACCGATGGTTGAATCGTTCCGCGACTCTTGCCGATGTAAATTGTTTCTACATAGTGGGTCAAGATGCAATGCATGCTCATGCATATATACATTTCTGATATAGGCTGGTGCGAAATTGATCGCATGGACCGAGGAGACGGCTTCCACCAAATCCTATGACGAAGAGGCTAGTTTGATTGGAAAAGCACAAGCACTCGCCAAAGAAAAACAAGTCTATCTTGCCATCACATACAACCAAATCATCCCACCCGACGTATCTGAAAACAAGCTAGTGTTGGTCACGCCCGAGGGTCACGTCGCCATCAATTATAAAAAGGCTTATCCTGTGCCGTTCATTGTAATATCCTCATGATGCTGCGCCTCGTCGTTGGGATGCGTATACATACACAAAATACTAACTTGAAAAACAGGAACCACGGCCACCAGGAAAGGATGAAATCCAGTATGTGGATACTCCAGAATTTGGACGTATTAGTGCTGGTATTTGCTTTGATTTCAATTTCCCTTGGTTTATTGGTCAAGCCAGCAAGAAGAATGTGGATGTGATGATCGAATCATCATGGACATGGGGTAAATAATAGCTTATTTTTGAGTTTATCAAGATCCGTTTAAACTGTTTACACATATTCATATATACCTACGCTAATGCACGAACGAAAAATAATTTAATGCGCGGTTCATGACATACACTAGGTCCCGAGGGAACGTACCACGGCAGAAGCAATGGTCTACGAGCCGTAGAAAATGGGTTTACTTTACTCCGGTGTGGATCGCAAACCATGTCCGGCATTTACGAACCCACACTCGACGGTATCTTCAGCCAACATGTAGCCACCATTACCGACTCAGAATACTTGTTCCACTTGCCTATCCAGAAACGCAGAAAGACTTTGTATGGTTACACCGGTGATCTGTTTGGATTCGCATGCTTTGGCGTGGGATTATTGGCAACTGTGTATCTTGTCTTCTATACCGTCGTTAAGCATCGCCGTGGTGGTGAGATCCAAGTGTAAATCATGTATTTGTATGTAATAATTATTAACATTTGTTTTGTAACAATGAAAAGAGTGTTATTTCCTCTTTGACTATTATTGGCGAAGTCTCAGTGCGTTCAAGTGGAGAGGAGGCGCAGAATGTACAATTATGCTTTAGTTAATCAACAACAGGAAATTGTTGGAGACGAAAGAAATCGGCTATCATATAGCAATAGAAGTACTGTTATTTGATATATTATTATTGTACATACAAGAAATATTAATTAAATATGCGTGTGTGTGTATGTTTTGCTTAATCCAGATCCAGCTCAGCATCTGCAGCAAGCACGTCCCGCAAATCCTCTGGATTCATGCGGGTATATAATTGATTCATCAAGTCCAGCTCGCTGAGCAAATCCAGCCAATGATCATCCCAAAGGTTACTGCCATCATCCGGTGCGGATGGCATCCGGGCTACGTTGATCGGTCCCGGCAAGTCATCATCGTTGTTGTGGTCAATAGCCACTAGCTCTTCTTTGGCTTGCTGGGATCCATGGGTATTATAGTACATTGTGACATATTCTATCGGTTCAACCGCATAGGCTGTCTTGATCTTTTTGGGTTTTTTCGGAGGTTCAGGAACAGGTTCCTCGGGCGGCGGGAACGGACACAGGAGATCTTTTGGATCGAATGTCCCTGTTGTGCGTGGACACGTTGATATCCGAGTGTGCCACTGCGCTGCTGTTTCGTCGAGTTCGTCGTGTGTTTTTAGATAGCCCCACAGATCGAGTACAGGTAGATCATCGTATTCGGGTAAGCGGTGATTGGGCAGTTGGGCCAGGATCGTGTCACGCTGCATCAGGGGCACCAAGAATGCATTAATAGAATTCAATCGCTTGGCGGTGGTCTTGACGTGTGTGCCCGTCTCCAAGTGGTTGGTTGAAAACGACTCGAATTCTTGGAAATTTGGATAAAGCATCACGTAGGCACGAAGGTATACAAGCTCAATAAAATATTTCTTCCACGATTTTTTCCAGCGTGCAGATCGACTCTGTGGGACTGTGACATTGAGTAGCTTGTCTTGATTCATATCCATCAGTCGTATTGTCAAGTACTCGTGGAACTCGCGCCAATGTTCAGGGAAATAGACCGCACCCCAGCTGCATGGAACTTGGCTAACATACGGCATGCGCGGTGGATAGTGGTTAAGAAGCACATTGTCGGGATGGAACGGTCGACGGCCGGGCGGATGAAGCTCCAGACTCCGAGGCGAATAGAGACTGACACCATACATTGTACGTCGAAGTTGATCGTCCACTGCATGCGTATAGCGATATTGCAAGATGCTGTACTTGCTCCAGACATAAAATAGCGGCGATACTTCAACATCGTCTTCTAATATCACAGCATAGTCGTTAATGTGTTTTGGGTACCAGGATTCGATAATAGCTGGCATCAATCCACCTTTCCTCATCCGATGACGAAGGATCTTCTTGCCATGCCGCCAGGGAAAGTTGTTGACAAGCATCCGCGTCACTGGATCCGACGATTGTTCCAAATGAACCACCAAGTTGACTTTATCGCCCAAGTAGAACGATCGTTCAGCTGATTGGAGTAAGCGAGAAAGTGAATGGGGACGTCGATCCGTAATCACCACTAGATTGATATCTGGGGTGTGCCATTCTAGAGATTTTCCACTCCTGTATTAGTACAATTCATCTACCAAACGTAACGAAACAGCCTGGAGCTTACGTTCTAAAGCTTCAAGCGGTAAATCGGAGATCCACAGTGCATGGACCACATCGTCTGCTGGTAACCCGATGGCTGTAATCTTTTCATTATCGGCCATTGTCTCCAAAGCATGCGACAAAGGCTGGTCGCGCAGTACATGGAAAAGAGCACGCGGTCGAAGAACACGAACCAGCCTTGCAATACCCATTGCCACTTCCGTAGCCGAGGTGCCTTCTTCTGCCGACACCATGACATCCAGATCATGCACTACCACTCGACGACCACACCCCGTATCCTTCAATGTCTTTTCCAAGGTTGACCCTGACAGGCCACGTTCAGCTCCCGATACGACAGCATGCACAGTGTAGCCGAATCTACACATGAGCGGATAGAAAGCTGCTGCTTGCTCCGGCCCGTCCAAGACAAACATAACCGTGTCGAGTTTGTAGCCAATGCTCCGAACCGTTGCTTGCCGATAATCCAACGCCGAGGGACTGGTGCGCAGGGCCCGCATGCGCTTCCATCCATCATTTTTGACATATGCCTGTTGCACGCACTGGCACATGTCGCTACTAGATGTTACCCGGAGATCCAGTCTGGGATGAAAAGGTAGAGCAACCGTCATGATATCACCGTACTTGCTCAACTGGTGTGAGATGGCATAAGCAAGCGGCAGTTGCATTTCATCGGGTGTTGCCTTGCTCAACAAGTGGATCCATTTCTTGTCAAGCACCCATGATCCTTGTACCATATCTGCCGGTTGCGATACGGTCGGTATGTGTTTGTCAGGGAGACATACCACTGCATCATTGTTGTTGTTATTGTCGTCATCCCCGTCATTATGAAAATTTGAGGGTAAGAGTACAGCGTGTGTGCCCAGTAACGCGTTTTGGTAAGGTGGCGAGTGCATGAGGCGGAGCATTGATTCCAGATAGCGGGATGACGTTGGTATGGTATCTTGATCCAGAACCCAGACCCAATCTATGTCCTCGTTGAGAGGGAGCGAGGAAAAGGGTAGCCCCATTGTATTTATAAAAGAGGAGGAGGAGGAGGAGTCGTTGTCGTCGTTGCTGTCTTCATCTGGGGGTATACGAATGGTACGTGCGTTGGGATAGTAGTAGTCCAAAGGATCCGGCAAAGATGTTACCAGCCACACTGTCTTGGGTTTGATTGTTTGGGACACAATAGCTTCTAATTGCGGTTGGATCTCTTTAGCGTCTGTAACACGAATGACCACATCCACTGCTGCTAGCGCATGAATATTCGTCGGTTGATCTAATAGATGCGTCAAACCAGCACGGTCGTGTCCTTGTTCTTTGTACGTTTGAAGGTTGCTTAGAAACGGTTGCTGTAGATCTGCAGATCCCATGACCCATCCATCTAACCCATTTAAATAAAGATCAAAAAGCACGGTGAGACTTGTAAAGCCGATTAACCCAGCAAACTGGAAAAGTTCTGCAAACCTTTTCCCCAAGTGTCCCATTGTGGCCAGTAATCTTCCTCATTAACGGGATCTGACACATTATTTGCAGTTATGGTCGGGATGGGAGCTGGAGGTGTTTTTTTCTGCCAATCTTGAGTTACAGGCGGTGGTGATGGGGGTGTTGAAAACAGGTGGCGGACAAAAAGAGCAAAGGCAGCAAGGACAATCAGATAAGCGAGGAATCGGAAAGGCCGTTTAGGTTTTTGCGCAGACCACGGCATGGAGGTGCGGATTCGAGTGCTGCTGCTTTTGCTGCAAGTTGTCTTTTACTGGTTAGTTTAGTGGCGTTTCAAGGCACCAGCATACAACGAGAGTTCGAGGGTTTAATATTGAGTGGTTTGCAAAACGAGAAAGAAAAGGGGGAGAGGGAGGGAGAGGGAGAGAGAGAGATTGGATTGACCAGAAAATGAAGGCCAGAAGAATGCAGAGTGCGGAGAATGTACACAGAGAGAGTTCTGCTGAAGTACCTGAGTTTCTTTACTTTCCTGATGGTCTTTTTGTTCTCTTACGGGCATTGTTACACGTCGTATCATTCAAATATGGCGAGAAGATCAGTTGTATTTATGTATAGTGTGTATGAGATTAGTAATAGCATATAAAGAGGTTTGCTATGATTATATAGAAGTCTTGTGTGTAAGGGCGCAGAGAGAGAGAGAGAGAGAGAGAGAGATGATGATGATGATGATGATGAACTATCTATGTACAAGGTTTGTTTGCAAGGAAGTGTATACAGAGTAGGGGGTGATATTTGCGGTGAAAAGCGGAAATAGCATGGAGTCGAGATAGGTATCTTTAAGGCTCTTTAAGGAAAAAATAGCCATGTGAGGTTTAGACTGTAGTAACATGATTGCTGTGAAGATGATGATGATGATGACGCTTATTGTTGCCGCGTCTCCAGTACCATAAGAACTGGCAAAAGATGGTAAAGTCAAAACAGAGCGTGCCTGCACTGCCGATCAGATACGGTATCGCTTCCACAAGCGACTCGCTCGTCTGGTTCGGGTTGCTCAAGATACTCGCTGTGTACGTGAGATTGCCGCATGCAGCACAGATAAACAGAGTCGGCGACAGTCCGTCGATGGACTTGCGCTTAAAGTTTTTGTGGATTTGAGGGATGCGTGACAAAAGATAGAGCGTAGTGCAGACCCAGGCAAAGATACGGCCAATCACGAGTGCATTGTCCTGGACTGCAAGTACGCCGTCATTGCTATCTGCTGCTGCTGCTGCTGCTGCTGCTGTAAGTGTTGTTGTTACCAAGTTACTACTGCCACTACTGCTGGTTGTCAAGCGGAAGCCAAGCAACATGATGACCATCAACGTTTTGGTCCTGTTGCTGTTCGTCAGCGTTGTGTCGCTACTGTTAGCAGTATCGTTTAATGTGTACCACTTGCTTGGCGATGACGATGCAGAGCACGGCGCAAGTTCGTCCTCGAGTGATTTGCCGTCAATCAAAAGCGGCGTACGGGCCGACGGGTGTTGAAATACGCGTGACAGTGGGTCATCGGTTGTGTTTTTTCTATTTCTCGATCGGCTTCGCTTGTTGTTCTTGTGGGTGTAGTAGATCCATTGGACCAGCAAGGCAACGTCGATAAATACAAAGTATATTCCAAGATAGCGTTGAAAAGGCAGCTGATGAGTCAAGATGCATCCAATAAGATTAGCCGCGTCGCCTATGAGTGTCCATTTAGATAGTGTTAATACCACGCTGAATGCTGAAATGTACAAAATGAATGGGGGGGGTGGGGGGGTGGGTGACCTGCCTGCTAACCAGATGGTTAAAAAGTTGATGCTCAGCGAGTCAACGGAGGCAATCTTATAGTTTTCTATCACTTGGCTATAGACAAAGAAGGCATGCACGATGTTTTTTTGTATAACAAACAATCAGTTACGACCCCGCAATTTCTCACGTCATTTGCGTAAACAACAACAACAACAACACATACGGGAGCTGTGCATTCAGCCAACAAACGATGGAAAGATAGCCGAGCAGTACACTGATGGCCTCTTGTGTGCTATATACGCAGTCGCCGAAGATCAACTGTGGTTGGTTGTAATTATGCGCAAATCGTCAACTTCAAATGTTTCATTTTCGAAGAATGCCGGGTCAAGTTATGTGAGAGAGAGAGAGAGAGCAGAGCAAAACATACATTTATCCAGTATATGTATCCTTCCGCAGGAACGCATTGAGTCATGATTTTATTGTCTGCGGAAACGATAGAATGAAGAAAAAGAGAGAGAGTGTGTGTGTGTGTACAAGAAAAGACAAACGGGAAGAAGGAAAAACTAAAAGAAATCCTGCGTCAACCTATTTATACGAGCAAAATATTATTTTCTGGGCGATAGAAAAAACGACATGACTTGACCCTTATTGATATCAAAATTTCCTTTTCAGTTTCAGGCACATCGGCGCTTTTAGCGTGTTATCGTTCCGGATCTTCACCAATCATCGTGGTCAGAAAGAAAAGATTTTTAGTTCCGTCCTACCCCCTTTTGCAGTATATTTCCAAGAATCGTATATTCATGCCAGCGATCACGCTAATTAGATCTCTTCAGTTCTTACACTATAGCAGTACGTTAAATAGACAGCTTTTAAATCAAAAGAGATAAAGTAAATGAGAGATAGCAGACTTGTGGTGGTGGTGGTGGTGGCTGTGTGCATTGCGTAATAAGAGATAACATGATGCCCAAGCAGGGTTACATATTGTTTATCATGTGCTGCCCCCTGATGATGATGATGATGATGATGCTGGTGTTGGTTCCTCAACATGATTACTGAACAAGATTGCCTTTTCACGACGCACAGCTTCTAGAGAATCGCTTGCATGCACCGCATTTTCCTGAACCGATAAGCCGATCTGCGCTCGGATGGACCAGGGCGCTTCTTGTCTTGCTATGCTTGGATTTGTGGGGCCCACCAGATGCCTCAACCCTCGGATCGCATCTACGCGCTCCAAGATAACCGCATAGCAAGGTCCCCGTGTCAAATAGCGTTGCAGGCTTGGAAAAAATTCCTTGTTGCGCAGCTCTGGGTACCACAACATCACGTCCTTTGGTGTCATATTAACTGACTTGGCTTTGACCATCCGAAACCCGTGCTCCTGATTCAGTTGCTGCAGCACCATCGTCTTGTGCATGACACCATCGGGTTTCAACATTAACAGTGTTTCTTCAACGGGACACAATAAGCTATTTGCTGGAACTGCACTGCATACTCGGTATTTTAGACCTGGAATGATAGGCACGTAATAGTAAATAATGCCAATCACACAAGTGATCCATGCGATCAACAGTCGCGCCATTCTTCGTGTAAGGTGTAGTGGTGTGCGCCTTGCCGTCCAACAACAAGCTTGAAAGGCATGCGGCATTTTAAAAAAAATATGTTCACTGCTGCTCAGCGTTGCATATGGCGATTATACAAAGGCATTTGCGGGTGCGTATGAAGATACGTGGGGGAGAAGTGTGCATTAAGTCACCGGGTAATCATTCTTATTTCTGCTGCTATGTAAAATATCTGCTGTTGCTATGGAGATGTTAGTGATCACGCGTGGTGTTTCGATGACGCTGTCCGATATACATTTATGCCGTGTCGTATGCCTGTCATTTCGGTGTTCATTCCGACAGTTTACGGCCGTCCAAACAAAGTTTGCCGCAAAATAGGACTTGAAAATGTACGAGAGATCAAGAGAGAAAGAATTGTGCTGCGAGTGTAACTGCATACGACCTTGTAGACCTAGTTTCCAAACAACCTTTATACGTTTGATATTAGCCTTCGGCTTGGCAAAGAAAGGAATCCACTCCGCCCGCATTTTCCAACAGCGTCCGCCATGCTTTTCCGATCATCCCGAGCATTTATCCGATAAATGATAATTATTACGTCCGCAGGCAGGGTTTGTCTTTCATGTATTCTTGTTAATACAGTTTCCTTCGAATATTGTAAACTGTTTTTATAAACAGAACAGAACAGAATTAAACGAAATTGAATGCTATGCATAAGCTAGTGCCTCTTTTGATATCTATTGAGAAAGGGACAAAGGGGGCTGGTGCACTATGTGTGCAAGCAAAAAAGTGTAGCACTCTTGCCAGAAATGGCGTCACGAGTGTATCACCCATTGACTGTAATACCAAGCAGTTTTGCTCCCCGCGCGCGTGTATATTCTTGCTATTTACACACACACGCCATTGTGTACCTCTTTCTCTTTCTCTTTTTCCGTTTTCCTTTGCAGCTTTGTACGTGTGCTCTTCGTTCCCCTTGGCGAACAAAAGACAAAGAACCTGTGTGCGCTATTTCTATAAAGGGCTGCATTGCAACATACACACATAGCCCCTTTAAATGTCGTTGAAGCGCAATTGGTCCACTCAATCGTACACCGACTATATCCTGGACACAGTAGCAGCAACAACAACAACAACGATGGGTGCTAAGCATAGCAACATGACGCAATCGTCGAAGCGGACCAAGCGATCCAACAGTAATTTAAAACTCAATCAACATCGCGCAGCCACAACGACAAAGCCGAATGGGCATCAGCAATCATTAAAGACGACAACAGCAGCAGCACCAGCAGCAGCACCAGCAACTTACCGCCCTATTCCTGCAGAGTAAGAGGCCGGGAATGCCAGACTAACAATTCATTTGCTTTTGATGCAGTGTGTGGCGTGAGAGTTTGTTATTCATGTATTTCTTTATTCTCAACTATCAATTGACACCTTTACGATTGATTTCTGATAGACCACAGGTAACGATTATAGCCGGGGTGGATTAGGAATGGGTTTGAAGGAAGTTGAGGAAGATATCCGTTTATTTTGTTTATTTATATTATTTATTAACTTTGAAGCATCATTAGTTCAATGAACAAGCATGTCAGCGTTGGTTCGAGCAGTATGCTGACCCCGATACCCCGAACATGATATCACCTGAAGGCATGCAGCGATTTTTTGAAGATCTTGGATTATCATTAGAAGATGTAAGGATATATCATAAGCTCACCTAATGTTTATATCAAAGATACGTACTCATCATGTAAATTAATAGGTTCTGGGGATTGTATTTGCATGGAAAATTAAGGCAGAGACGATGGGTAAATATATAAAAAGGCCATAATATTAGTGTGCGGAGAAGAGCATGTGTGGGTGATTGGAGGTATAAAAAAAACTTGGATTTGTGTGACACAACATATGCTTAGTACGAAATTTCTTAAGGTTATATTACCAAGGACGAATGGATGACTGGCATGCGAGCATTAGGGTAAACAAAAAGACATTGACACCATGATCAAAACGATATATACTGTCATTTTTGGTAGGATCTAACTTGGACGTTTCAAAATATTGCTTAGGGCCGATTCGATGGATAAGCTCAAGCAGAAAAGGTCTGATTTAAAAGCGGTAGTACATGATCCCAACGAAATGAAAGATGTGTACCGTTACACGTTCGGCTACGCAAAAAATAAGGACCAGAAATGCATGGATGTAGACGTACGTACTCAAATTCACGACAACAATAACAAAGGATGCAACAGGATGGTAACATTAATGAGGGGCTTCTTGATAATAGGTGGCATGCGTGCTATGGACAATGATGATGGGACAGCAATTTCCGATCGTATCGGATTTCGTCCAGTTTTTGCAGGTACGTATATCAGTTGACGAGTCATCGCAATATGCTGAAAATGGCCACTTAGGAAAAGAAGCCTGTCAAAGTGATCAATCGCGACCAATGGCACAGCTTTTTAGAGTTTATTTTGACGGTGTCGAGCGACCTGTCAGATTATGATGAAATGTCCGCATGTAAGGCTGGGGTTTGCTGTTGTTATAAAGACGGTGAAATTGAAGAAGAAACTGACTGGAGCTTGTTGTTGTTGTTGTTGGGGATGCTTCCTTCCAGGGCCGGTGCTTTTGGATGAGTTTGTAGAATGGAAACGACAAGGGCAGTGCTAAAACGACCGGTTTCACATCTTTCCTCCAATATATATGACCTTGATGCTCCCTTATTTTTACCTCCTCTCCTCTCCTCTCCTCTCACCACTTCAACTAATCACAACATTTTGTTCTGTCTTGTTTTGTCTATTGTGTACATAAACTTATGCCGCAAGTTTCTTAACGCTTCTTTCTTTGGCTGTATTTTCCTTGTGCTACCACTATCTAAATTAGTGTTTGTTTGACTGCAAGAAATCAGCATCTCACTGTGCTTATCTACGCAGTGAAGTGTACAAATATTAACCATTCTTTATGATAAACTGTTCATTATGCACTTGATGAAAAGGTGCCCCCGAGCGAATGCTTGCGATGTTGTTGATTATGGATGGATATCAAGGTACGCGCTGTACCGTTTCATATACACCTCTTCCCTTAGTATGTACTCCTTACAAAAAAATGAATGTTTGAATTAACAATAAGTATTCTAAACCACAACAAACATTGTGGCATCGAAGGATAACATAAAACAAGAACAAACTACCATAGCCACTCCAGTCGTGACAACTTTATGACACGTTAGTTCGAATCCCATTGTACTGGCTCTTCATGAGAATGTGAACTGCGACCTTACTAAGTGAGAGCTGGATTGGCTCCAAAGAAGCTGCAAAACTGAGGGTCTCCTACTATATACCACTGCTTTTTATGTATAATTGTCAATGAAAGGGAGGTATAAATGATACGCAGTTAAAAAGTACATGCTCGTTATCATTGTTTTTAACTCCAGTGTGTTGGGCAATAGCCGAGGATATTTAACAATGGCAGGGTGCCCTCTCGTTATGAGTCGCATCCTGCCGTTTGTAGCCGCTAGCAGCCTTTCGGACACCTGAAACAACCTTCCAAGACCCTGCAAGGCTTAGAAAGGTCCAAACGGTAAACTGATATTTGGGTTGCGATTATTTTTACTGTTAGAAAGTATCATGACCTAAATTTCATATCGTGGTTATAGCTCCGCACCAGCTGCCTCCATTACAACTTGGAGAGGGAATGTTTAGGTCGTGCACGGTTTCTCTACACTACTGTTTGTTTTTTTTAAAAAGACAAACATAAGGGTGCTCAACGCCCAACTGGCGGCGGGCGCTGGAAGAATGGGTCCCGTGGCGTGATCCATTTTTCGCTGTTGTGACTTGCTGGGTCAGCAGTCAGTTTCTGCTGTTCGCAGTAATATATGCGTTTATTCATTCTGTTGCTAAATGCAAGCTTTTTTTGTGCTGACTACTGGAAGCTGATAAGCATCAAGATGATAAAAGGTAATTGTTCATACAAAACTTTTACAAAGCGCACACATGAAGAGAAAATGTATGGCACATCTTACCCTTAGAAGTTGAGCGTGTGACTCGCTACAAAAACCCGGAATCCCTGCCGATCGATACACTCCAAGAATAAGTGAATCGTGAAACGATTGTATAACTTGAACCATCGGCATTGTATCCGAGAAAGCAAGTGTAGAGATACATACGCCACCAACAGTAACAACATTGGAAAAAAAAAAGATATATATAAGGACTGAGAGACGACAAGGAGCGAAATAAGAAAAGGCATTTCTATTGTTCTTTCTATACATTCTACTACTGCTTTTTTATCCACCGGTATCAAGTGATATCTATCCAACCCAACCAATCTCGTACATTTACAAATGCTTTTACAGCCGTGCGACAACAACTCTTTTCTTTTCTTCCACTACACCACCATGGACGAGCGATTTGGCTCGACCCACTTTGTCCAAAATATCATGCCAAGGAATGACCATCATATGCAAAGAGTAGACAAGCTCTCGCGTCATATCAGCAAGATGGTAGGTCAAATCTTTGTTCAAGCACTTGAGCAATAGGATACAGCCGCACCAAGCATCGGCATATACAGCGCAGAAAATGTTAAGGATAACACTAGTGGAATGCCTTCTCCTCTGTTGTTTAGCAGCAGTGTCGATACCAGCCCCGTAACATTGCTGGCTGCTATGACCATCTCATCATAACCAGTAGCAGCACTCCAGAGCGACAGTTGAACGGCAACGCAAGCAACAGCAGTGGTAAGTAAGGGTTATCATGTACTGACCGACACTACTCAAGTCAACAACAGCATGAAATGCACAAAGAAAACAGTATTCTCACGGTTCGCTTTAAAATTTTATTGTTGGGGTCGTCTGTCTGGTACCACTACACGCAAAATACACAATGCACGCGTAATACCAAGTAGATCACCACCATCGCTATTGTCATGACAAGCAGCGCGAGCAGTCATCTTCATACTCCACTTGAAGGCCTTTTTGGGTGACACATAATGTATGCGACAGTGACGGTGGATCTTATTGTTGTCGTCATACTCTTGTTTTATGTACCCCTTCAGGCAATCACAAGGCGACATGAAACAAACTAACTAGTTCGCATACCCCCAGTTACTATTCCCTCTTCTAGCAGCCAGCATCAAACCTGATCGTGCTGCTAGTCTTTCTTTCTTTCTTAAACGGCAAAAACGAATTAAATAAAATGTGGCTACTATACATTCAGGCGGCTGTAGCTTTGTTAAAATAGTTGTTGTGTGCAGAGTGTTGGACAGTAGGGCTGAGAGACTTGCATGTACAAAGTACTGTAGTATTCAGCATATCCAATGGTAGCAAAGGAAGCATACAACAAGGAAACGCACACTTTAGATCTTGCCTCAGTCGAGTGCAGTATATACGAGCTGCACCAAAGCATACTGGATGTATCGCGAGAAGCACAAAGAAGACTAAAAATGGCCCACGCGTCTTTGTTTTGGTTGCACGGCGGTCGCGTACGCTCGGAAACGTTTCAGACCAGCACAAACAATTCGTGATGTCTCCGTTTTTTATATAAAGGCCCTGTCCTTGAATTGGATGCAACCTGAAAATCACTGTTTCTCTTTCTTTTTCCCCACCAACCCCCCCCCCCCCACTCTTGAAAAACCACAACAACCATGGTTGAAGCTTCGATTGCCAAGCAGAACTATTCGACTGAATCGGAAAACGCACTAAACCAGCAGATCCAAATCGACCAGATTGCCCAACAGCAATACCTTTCGACTGCCGCGTATTTCGATCGCGATGATGTTGCTTTGCCTGTATGCGTTATGTAGTTTTACGAGAAGAGAGAGAAAGAGAGTGAGAGGATATTTCCTCTCAGAACCACATATCTTACCTATACAATATACAGGGCCTCGTGAAGCATTTTTTGGAAGAAGCGGAACACGAAGGGGAACGCGTTCAAATGCTGATTGACTACCAAAACACGCGTGGCGGTATAGCTTTCATTAAGGACGTTCCACAACCCAGCGTAAGTTTTCACTGCTTGCTATCACCCATTTTTTTTCATGTATCAGATGTGATGCTAACAGACAAGAGAAATGGGGCGGGGAAAGTAGTCCGAGTATGCGTCTGCTCGCAGTGCGGTGGGTATGTTTTTTATTTATTTATTTATTCCCAGAAACATCAATGGAGATTGTTGTGATCAAAGATATATTAAAACCTTATTGTTTTTTCTTGATCTTTTCTTGTGTAGAGGCGAGCCTTGCCCTCGAAAAGGACGTCAACAAGTCTCTATTAAACCTTTCCTCGATTGCCATCAACTCGACTGATCCCGAGTTCAAACACTGGCTCAAGTATGTTGCTAAGTACTGAAAAAATGAAGGAGCTGATACTTACCGCGTGGTAATACTACTGCTACGATGTACTAGAAAAAACCAGCTTCGTAGCCGCGTCAAGTCTATTGAAGCAGTCGCTAAGGGTATCACTCAACTTGAACGTACACACGGTGAAGGATTGGGTCTTTACATGTACGACCAGGCCATCTTGAATAACGATGGCGAGTTTACTATCTAAGCGCTGTTAACTCTTTAACATTTACCAAATAAACGCGCGGAAAGAATGCAGATGGTAATGGTGGAAGTGAAGTGGTCAGCTGGAGATCAATGTAGTAAAGCTACTTTACTTCCACTGCTACTATTGCTATTTCTGTAAATCGCTGTTACCATGATACTTTGATCACTTATCATCTAACACATACAAATATGCAAGAACATAGAGCTTTGATGTGCGATCATGCATATATGTGGTATAGACGAGATCAGTGATATAGCTGGCCACCGTAGTTTCATTGCTTGCTCAGGAGATCTTCTTTTGGAATAAACGTAACATCGATCTGCATTCCCCTGAGCAAAATTTTTCGTCTCCTTCACATCAGTATGTAATCTCTACGAAAGTTTGTTGACGACAAGATGATGGCGAGACATTGTTGTCGAATTCCCACATGTCCCTCACGAACATCCTGCGAGCGGGGCTTTACAAGACTGATCTTTGTTTCCATAAAAGGGGAATGGTTGTTCAATCGGGTGATAGCTTTCCAAGCACCAATCCATCGACAACTTCCGAGCAATATTATTATGTAATAGATACTAAATGTTTTTCTTCTCCATTTGATGAAAAAGTATGTTGTACTTAGTAAGCAAAGTAAAATGGATAGGCTATGAACACCAGTATTGTTTCTTGGATATAGTTTGCATAGGCACTACTTCAGTACATACATATTACTTGTAGATACTCTTTTAGTGCAAACGAATGAGTCACCATTAAACAGAAGGAACGCTAGAGTTCATCTTCCTTTAAAGTATACCATCTTCTACTTGCCCATTATGATGGTGGCATTGCAGTACGATGCCCTGATCATGTCAGGCGCCCGAAAACACTTGAAACGATTCAAATACCTCGTAAACTATGCTCAGCAATGGCTGCATTCAGCAGGTATGGCTGCAGACATTGGTGCACGAGGATGACTTAACAACGTTTTCAAGCACTCTTGAGCCAAAGATATGTATCCATTCCACAACAGGGCACATTCTGCCACAAGCTGCTCATTAGCAAGAGCACACAAGTACCCGAAATTATATATGGTACTCTTGTGGCTGTGATACTAATGATCGCGGGAACAAATGTGAGCCATCATGCTGTGTTGTGCTTCATCGAACATTCTTATTACACAGTCTGATACATTGTACATATTTATCGGCCCTATTTTTGCTTTGCTAATTATATAGATGAACGCTTACAACTTGTATACAGTTTTCAAACGCTGCTTGTTCGGCGTGAACTCCAACATCTTGGGTCTGTTACGTATGTTGAGCGTTAACCTGGTCGAACTGGCATTCTTGCAGCACCGGGCAAATATGCCATTTATTACAACCATCGCTGCATGTCCAAAACTAGTTCAATTCTCTTACTCTGTCGACAATGGCTTTCGCGGTATTCACTATGCCGACATATGCACTAACGAGCCCGCAACTGGAAGTGACGGCAGCAACAGTAATAATGGAATCGTCTTCCCAGCAATGACATGTTTAAGCATTGACGCTACACTTGCACACCGTCAACGACTCGGATCAATATTGAGCAAATGCCCGAACCTAGCTGTCTTGCGACTCAACAACTCTTATGTCAGTCCACCATTCGATCTTTTGCTCTCTGGGCAACTTGACTTGAACATGCGTGATATATTTGTTAGGTGCCCCAAGCTGGAGTATTTGGCATACAACAGTTCTCCAAGCAGCCCAAGACCGGATGTGGAAGGGTGGATGGCAGGATACAGAAAGAACAAAAAGACAAAACAAGTGATGGCATCATCAAGCTGTCAAAAAAAAATAATCAAGGGGGCTGCGCACCCTTATATATTGCGAAGGAAGACAGGAGGGATATCAAACTGTCCTTGAACAGATCAAGAATCATGAAATATCCCTGGAAGCCCTGACGATCAGTGCTGGTGTATCTGATGCTCGAATGAATTGGGACGCCTTGGAAACAGTCCATGCGCTACAGCTGCGAACAGTAAAACTGGATGGAATCTCGTGCAGCGAGCAATCAATCGCATCATTTCTTACCGAGTGTCAGGCCCTGGAAGTGGTGTCTTCACGCACTCGGTGTACGGCAAATTAGACATACCAGCCTGTGTTCCATGCACTCCATATCATACCCAAGCTAAAGCGTTTGACTATCGATTATCGATTTATTGATCAATTACGTCGCCAAGAGCTTCGAGATGACGATGTCATGAGTCCTTTATGCGACTGGTTGGAGGCCTCGGCAGCCTGTCACGATACTACTACTGATGGCTTTATCGCCTTACAGGAACTTCATGTTATTGGTCCTGTTGCGCTTAACATTCTTCATAACCGGCTTCTCGACGCGTTATGTTCTGTGACAACTCTAAAGACACTAGAGTTAAACAACGTAAACAACGTAAATCATCCAGACGAGAGGTTTCAGGGCGTGACCAACAACGAGAACCTGTCAACCGAGGAATCATTGCATGTTCTTCAAAAACTGGCTTACTTGTCGGTGGAAAAGCTTTTTCTTGTAAAGGTCACCGCATTTTGCAAAGAGTTGTTTGACATACTCTCAAGTATGAAGCATCTGCGCATCCTTGAAATCGTAAGCTCGAGTGGACTATATCACATTGATGACCTTGTGAACTTTATCAAAATTCCGTTTGACTCTCTCATAATGCGCGACCGTCATGAACGATGAACTCAATGGAAACACCTTGTGGATTATATCGAGCATGATTGCAATGATCAATATACTATAAAAATAGATAAAATTTTCCCCATGTGGTGTTATTTTGAAGTACGTCGACACACGTATGTAAATCAATCACATAGTGCTTGAGCATGTCCCATAAACATCACATAAATAATATAAGAATTGCCTATGTTCAATATGTTGCGAATGTGGATACTATATTACGCTTCTGTTTGATGTAATACAATAATATCTATTGGCTCTATGTCACATATTATTATTGTCTTACAGTAAAAGTATCGCCACTTACTGCTTTACACAGCCCTTTCTTACTATATCGTGCTATTCTCATCATGTCAACAGCTATTTTACATGCAAGGATGAAGCAGTTTTCAGAAATCCAGGGTTAGTATCTGAAACCCGTACCTGTAATTCACATCTTAATTGACTTTTCAAACTTCCAAGTGGATCAAAAAAGTTGGCACGGTCATGACGCACAAGAAATACGACATTATGTGATTAAAAGCAATAAATAAAAACCTTCAAGAGCGACTGCTCGCTCTGTTCAGGAAGCGCACAAATAAACGCACAATGTCCTTGAAAAGAGGTATTCTGCAACAGAGTACTCCATGAAGATGTGCCAACGTCACTAATGACGGCAATCAAGCGTTTACTGAAGTTTTTAAAAATTAGCTCAAAGTGTTACAAACGCTTCAAAGTACGTTATTCAAGAGATTTGAAATGAGTTATTTTACACAAAAGTAGAAAAAGGACAACTTTATTTATTATTGCTTGCAAATGACCGGCTTGTATATGAATCCTTCGTTCCTCAAAGGAGAGGTTGCTCTCCCTTGGTCTCCACAAGCCTCAGTTCCAAAGGAACCTACACCTCCCAATAACAGATCACTACAAATAGAAGATGGGTGAGAATAATTTGTCAAGGGCGAAATTACGTGTATATTTCCTTTGTGAGTGCACTGCGGTAAAGATAACTTTACGGCTTGTAGTGCGCTCACGGGTAGGGCTCGCTGCATTAGCGATTCGTGTACTGCGTCACAAAGATCCTAATGAAAGTCGCAAATGTACGCCGAAAACAATAACGAATACTGATTCTGCACGTACACCCACTCATACCCAAGTAGCAGAATACAACCCTCAAATAAAGAAGCTGAAATGTGGTTTTTATAGGTATCGTTCATTGAAGTGGAAAAGGTGGAAAAGATCTTTCGACAGTGAGGAAGAAGAAAAGAAAAGAGAAAGGAAAATGCGCAGTCGAGTCCTGTTCTTTTGTAGGCGTCACAGTTTGACGTGTTTGACCATCCGATGTTGCACAAGGATCGCGAACAATGGATGGCAATCTCTCAAGGGCCATGCTTCACACCGATAACACCTGCACATTGTAGACGCTCCAGGCTCCATGCACACACTCGTCCCATCCCGCTACTTGGCGATCACGATGAGTTTCGTTTCTTTTCTGTTCATTTAAGCTTGCCTCTTATCGGTGTACCATATGCACAAGGGGCAAGAGTCGAGTGGGAACTTTCCAAAAGTGTGTGTAACACCAAAATTTTCTGATGTTTTCATGCATGAACGGTGCCTTCGGAAAGTTTTTCCAGGGCACCAATTCAGATACATGGAAATCGCTACAAGGGCACTCCAAGTAAGTCAAAATATGCCACAACGGCCGATTCAAGAAAAGAAGTAGCAGTGACGGCCAAGGGGCACAGCCGCAACAACCAGGATGTTGATGAGCCGAAGAAGTAGAAAGGAGAGCAGCAGCACCGCCAGGAGCGACAACCTGTCAATGTGACGTTATGAAGAAATTATAGAGCGCGTTGTCTCCTGGTTAGCGAGCCTCTTCGATATTCTATACTTCGATGCCAGCGCGTTGTGCTTTATTCAAAGCAAAATACGTTGTTCAACGACTTACAGTTATAGCTTAGCTTAGGGTTTATTGTTTAAGCCGTCACACGGCAGTTGAAGCTTGCCAATATGATTTACATTTCAATCAGTACAAAATCAGTCATAAAGTAGCGATGTAATTCAGCTAGCGATAATCAAAGAGGTAAACAGCATTAATATCGAAAACAAAGCCCGAAAATAGGTTCTTTCAACCCACTCTATTGTTTATGTCTATCGATCGCGTTTGGCACTGATAATAAAGCCTAGATAGTGATGCACTTTGCATGCAAACGTATATCCCAAAACAAAATTTGAAAAACATCAGCAATAGACTGTTGCAGAATTCTAGTATTATAATGTACTCCGAAGTTGATACAGAAAGTGATAGCGAGGGACGGGGGAAAATGAAAGAGTCAAATGATTTTGGATCTAAGCTTAGTATCTACATGACAAGTGAAAGGGCATGTTAGCAAAACATCGAATAACCTTTACCCTCTAACACTCATTGATTACATACCTGTTGTAAGCCATGTTGCCTCGGGTACGGGTGTAGTCAGTCATGGCTTCTACGGGGCCGAGACCAGCACCAGCAAGTTCCTGATCCCAGATGTATTTGCTGCCAGTAGCATGAATATCCTTGACAGAAATCTTGTTAATAGTATCCTTCAACTCAGCAGGAGACAGACGCTTGCCAGAGGCAAGGACCTGGCTACCAATGTCCTGAGCAACAGCACCAGTCGAGTCCATCTTCAACAACAAGCTAGCAGCGAGCTGTTGCTTGGCGATTTCGACTTCGCTGGGGGTGACGGTGGTAGAAAGACGGTTCCATTCCTTTTGCAAAAAGTGGATAAAGTCATCGAGTTGAGTGCGGTTCTGCGAGACAAAGTAGGTACCGAACAAACCGGTATCCTTGTAGCCCTTGTTGAACGAGACGAACGAATCGGCCAAGTGGTTCTTGCTAACGACAGCGGATAGGCGCGAGGTCAAGTTGTTGGCACCGCTCAAAGTACGATCCCACGAGCCAATGATCTTTTGCATGACCGACAAGTTGAAGTAATCGACGCTCAAGTAAGGGGCGCCCTCGACAGCGTAGGCAATGTGGGCACGGGGCAGAGCGTCATCACGGTAACGGATTTCGGAGCCAGTGAACGAAGGCTTCTCGTAAGCAGCCTCAGCGCCAGTCTCCAAACCACCAAACATCTTTTCAGCATCACGCACCAAGGCATCGTGGTCGACATCACCAGCACCGACAAGAACCATGCGGCGGGCGACATAGTTCTCGTTTTGGAATGCAGACAGGTCCTTGGCAGTCAAGCTCTCAATAGTCTCCTTGTAACCGGCAACGGGACGGCCAAGAGCTTCACCTTGGAAAGCAGTAGCATAGAGGTGTTCGATCAAGGTCATGCCTTCGTTGTTGCTGACGGCATCCTGCTGCTTCAACACGGAAGCACGGGCCTTTTCCAAAACGGCATCGTCGAACTGACTGTTCTGGAGAGCATCACCGAGAATTTCGACGCTCTCGGATACCTTGGATCCCAGGGTGGTTGTGGCGAAGAACGTTTGTTCTTGGGTGGTGGCCGAAGTGGAGACACCGCCGAGCTTCTCAAGCGAAGCGTTCTTGCTCTAGAAGCATAACTCTTATTTAGTTTTTCCCAAATTTCCTTCTCAATTTCTAACGTCATAGTGCCTTCTGATCCGGCCGTTGTTCAGTTTACCTGGACAGTGGCGCGTTCCAAGAAGTTGGCGACACCGTGAGTTTGCGGAGTCTCCAAACGGGAACCAGCCTCAACCCAAACACCAACAGTAGCAGCACCTGCGCTAGGGTTTTCTTCAGTGGCGATAGTGAAGCCGTTGGGAAGAACGGTAGTACGGGTGGCAAAGCCTTGCTTAGCGACGGCCGTTGCCAAGGGACGAGAAAGCTGAGGATGTTTTTTATGTGGGATCGAGGAATCAGTACAATTGCATAATCATAATTCCAGCCTCCTTAATTCATCGTTGTCGCTGTATCTGTCTGTGCGCCAATTATTCGTTGTAATGCTGCTATTATTTCGTCCTGTCGAATTTCAAATGTTTCACGAATCACGCGCGTTGCTTTCGTCGAGTCGACCGAAAATTTGTGTCGTGGAGGCTGGAATTTTTGTTCGATAATTTTACAATTTAGAAAAAATACCTGCTTGCTCAAACCAGCGCGGGTTTGTAGGGTTTGTAGGGTGTTCGACAGGAGTCTGGATGCCATTGTTAAATTTCGTGCAATGTAGAGAGTGAGGGGGTGGGTTGATGGACAAACAGACAACGAAGGGAAACTTCAATATTTTCTTTAGAGTGTTTATCGCCACACGAAATTCGAAGGGGGTTCGCCACCCGCTTTCCCCGGTTCGATGTCATCAAAATGCACGCGTGACTTGCTGCACTGGTTGCCAAACTAAAATCGTACGAGCAAAACAGTATATATTCTGCCTTCACTGATTCCCTTTTTCGCGTTCTACACGAAGTATGAAAAAGCATCTCCTGGAGTAGGGCTATCTCTGTGTCTGCTGTTTGCAGCATCGCTCTTCTTTTTTTGTTTCTTTATAGCCATGGCAACAAAATGAATGCTATACCAACGACTCAACGGTCGCCGCAGAGTACTGAGCTGTGAATATTTCTTCTACTGGCTTTCAGCAATCACTATATAAGCTGTTTCTACGTTGTGTTGTATGCCCGACTCGAATTACCATATACGCAGACATGGCACCACTCAAGATCGATATTCAAGGTATCAATCTTATTATAATAAGCAAGTAATATAAATCTTGGCATCGTATCGCACTAGACACGTCAAAAAGAGGCCCGATTCGGGAAGGAAGTGTCGATCAGGGAAGAAGATTAAAACCAGGAACTGCCATTCATACGGAAAGCTTATGGCGGTTCGTCGCCAGATTAAGAGAATTGAATCCACAGTCGCCACGAAACGCGCGTCTGCGATTCGAATGTACCTACTGGAAATGGCCTCTTTGGGAATAGTCGTCGACAACGAGGAACAGTGCAGTGAAGCAGCTGGTGCGAATGAAAAAGCATCATTAGTGATACGCTGTTTTGCCGCTGTGCACTTACACCTACACTCATATCAATCTTTTACGCGTCTTCAACTCTAACTCAAGGATTAGCAACACCCGCAATACCAACAGCCACGATTCCTCGACCGCCGAAGCACAAATGTGCACAAACATTATAAAAGGCGGTAACATCAGATTAGAAGCACCATGCACACCGGTTAGCAGCTTTTAATCAAGAACGAGGTAATAGGGCGGCACTGCAAAAGCAAGCGTGCACACTATCGATATCGTGTCTACCACCAAAAGCTGTCCAGCAGCTGGCGCGTTGCAAAGTTCAAACAGACCTTCGCTTTTTTATAGCCTTTCTTTCGTTTAACTCCAAACTAAAGGGCACGAGCGCGGAGTTAAAGAACGACTCAAGGGCTTGTTAGCAGCTCCTCCAAATGATGAGGTGATTATTACGAACGGATATAGGAGCAGTTGTACTTATCCCGCATGTCACCACCTGACAAAACTACACAAGTACAGACGAGGAGGTCTTCAAAAGTCAACTGTGCTATACGATGCACAAACCCAGACTGCTCTTTACACGAAAACAACACTTGACACTATTGGATTTATCAAAGCTGATTTCCCATAACAACAATGCCATGCACCCCTTTTCACGTACTTGTCGTCCTTTTTCCATTTCACCTTCGCTGGAGTACTACTCGAATTAGCATTTATTCTGTGCACCCTACATCTCCCGCGTGATTTGGATGAAGATCTCCATAATCGTTTGTATGAAATATAACTCACAATAGCAGGAAATTGTCACCCGAAGAAATGGTGTACGTGGAGCGAAGCAACTTCCAAATAATCTCAAAAACAAGGATGATAATTTTTTTATTTATTAGGCGTTATATTACTTGCACCATAGCAATAGTTTTTACGAGCTAAGACTTCACGGAATTTACTCTATTTTTATCAAACAATATGAAAGCTTTAGATTGAACCGGATCAAAGGAATGTAACTCGCTGTATATCGGATAAGCAGCAGACATTTGTTTGTAGTTTCTATAAAGAGGACATACACTGCTATAAGTCGAGTAGCTGCATACCATATTGCAAGTCTTTGCGAGCAATTATCACGGAATATCTAGCGGCTATTGGATGCTTGGATAGCGGCTGCTCCATAGTGGTAGTGGCAGTGGTGGGCTAATCTTGATTTATGTGTCCTTGTCAATCAATGCTATATCTACTTCTATAATTAGCCTTTACGTAACAGGTTAACAGCGATACATGAATCAGCAGCTTAGTTTTCCTAGTATTTAAAAGCTGCTAGACGTCTCTCCATTTGCATAAACGATCAAAGTGTTTGTTAAACCTATTGCAATAGAAAACAGAGATTCTATACTACGTATGTAGTAAATAAATAATAGAAAGTACATTCTGAATACTAGGAATATTAGTCAAGTTGGAAAAAGACCCACCATATATCTCAGGATTAAGCTCTTTAAAAAATCTGCTTGATAAGAGACTATTTCGATGACACTGTGCTCGATTCGTGGCCCACACCAGCAACAATTTTGATGATCTCCACTGCTATAGAGGTATATTTATGCAGAACAACATGAAAGCTAACAAATAGATAGTACAGGATAACAGAACATGTATGTGATGGCCACACTTAAAAAAGAAAAGGTTTCCCCGATTGATCGGACTTACTTCCAGCTTACTTAAGGCTTTTCAAGAAGTTTGTTTTGTTTCAAAAAGATCAAGGAAATCCCTACAAATTTTTACGTTGTCGTTGATGTTATCTCTGCCATTATCTAGCTTAATTCATATGAGCAAGCTATTCTAAAAAGAGTTTAACAGCAATTGCAAAAGCTACAAAAGTACATGACAGTGCACGATGCTTCGACGCCACAGTTCATGGAATGAGGCGCGGTTTTCCTAATTTTTAACTTTTTCCCAGTAAATGGGAAAAAATAAAGAAAAGACGCAACCCTTTTTCAATACCCGAGGTCCGCACGCCCATCCCCCCAAAAAGCACCCCTTAACCGTCTTCAAGACTTAGCATGTTTGTACACAACAACATATCGAGTGATTCAGGGTGTAGCCGGATACAACTTATGGTATCCAGAGAAGAAAGAACTGACGGAAAAGTCGATTGCAATTTCCTTTTCTTTTTCGCTGCAGTACTACAGAGTAATGAGTACTGAGTCTGGTGACTCATTGTTATATATTTTAGGCGTACGTTAAAGAACTGTTTACATCCTGGAATAAGAGCGTGAGAACAAAAGAAGTGTTTTGTATGGTGCCAATTTCAATATGGCAAAATGCCACGGAGGAATCTATTGGACAGATCGGAATCTGATAAGATAGAAAATAAAGCAGAGACAACAAAAGTAGAAAAAGGAAAGAAGATGATGGTCCATGTGTACAAAAGAAACAAGTCGCCATTCTTCCCAGTTACATTTTCCACTACATCATAGCGTCAGATAACTGTGGGAGGTGAGTGATAACGCAATTCTTGAGAATTCTGCCAGCAGCAAACCCGTGCCACTTTGCTGTATCATCAAACCACTATGTACAAGAGGCAAGCTACTGAGTATTTTCTGCAGAAAATAGCAACTGCCTTTCCTCTTATGTCAAGAGTTAACTCTGTTCCTACAGACACTAGTCATACAAAATGCGTAGAAAACAAGCATCATGGATGGCACATGTTTTTGATAATGCGAAAGACGGACACAAATCTCGGTTTAAGCGAATAGCTGTGTAACTCTGGGATTTTTGAAAGATTGAGATGCTTTAGTTTCAGGTGACACTTGAACAAAGCGACAACGGCTTCTCCGCTCCCTTTTTAAAAACCTACCTTGGATGATAAGCTGTCAATACCCAACAGTCTATGCAGTTTCATGCGTAGCTCATGCGGGGGAGGTGGTGGTTGCAGTAGCACGCGAGCCGACAACAACAAAGTCATCTGCCAGAAAGGAGAATCACCGGATTCTAGCATCCATGTTTGAGTCTCACATAAGGGCAATGTGCCCGAGTCTATGGTAAACATGATGTTGAGATGATATGTAGCACCACTACGGGAATCAGAATCTATGAATGTGATGCATGATTGAGCCACACGACAGCGACAACACCCGGCAAAAATAACAGCGTCAAAAACCGTTTTCATTGGACTGTTGCATCAGAGTAGATAAGAAGCAGCACCCACATGCCGACGAGCGTCAGCAAGAATACACCTAGATAGAGAACGAATGATCTATCGTCCAATCGGGCCTCGTTTCCAAGCAATGTTTATCCGTATACATTCCACCTTGCATCCCCACTGATCTTTTGTCGTCGTGTGTGTTTTATCCGGGATCAATAATTGTCGTATATAAGCAAACGGAACGATCTTATCGTAGAACACGTTACTCACCGCGGCTGGCTAAATTTCCAGTGCAAAGAATATGAAAAGGTGTCACACATTCTCTTTATTCTTGTTGACGTGTGACGCGACAACTGGTAAGGTACACTACACTCAGTAGCAGCAGCAACGAAAAACCCATTAATAATCGTTATACTGTTTGACACGCAGGAATAGTCATGGTCAATTCATAGTCTATCGCTTACAAATCCGATTGACCTCATTTGGGGAAAAGTAGAGGCGTTGTACTTCATGTGCTGTCTTGTTATATGGCGGAGGACATGCTGTTTTAAGAAGTCAAATGCTAAGGAAAAACGCCACTTAGCAGTTACACACTACGCTATTAATAATGAGAACATAAGAAAATGCTTGTGTTCAACTCTTCTGTCAGAAATAGTAAAAAGCATGGCATCATAGACTTCTCTTTAGCTTTTTTCATGTTGTTAGTGCTACCTATTATTTGCGAATTTTGCAGAGTCATGCTTAGCAAGTGAATGACTCACGGCTTCCTGTTTCCGCGGAAGCTGTATCCGTAGATCAATTTTTTGCTAGCTCGTCGGTGGTAATTCAATATTAAAGATGCGCTCACTCTCTCGCGCACTTCGTCTCCACCAACGCATCAACCGTCACCATCACCATTTCCCATTTAAAGTGTAATTGAAGATAGATAATGTATAATTACTATACTCAGTCTTCACTGGATACTTTTTCACCACTCTTTAATATTGAGCGTTTCCATATTGGCCCTTTTTGGCGGCTTGAAAATGACTTGCTTTGCGTGCAATGCTGTTACTGCTATTGTTGTCGGATCTGACATTATCGTCATTGAAAATAAGGACCACAAGAAGTGGATTCATGCTTGAAGGCGCTGTATTTGTCAGCAATCGCTGCTGTAACATTGGGATCATCACGGAAACCACTGCCTTTTTCCCCGCTGCTACAAATCTGTATAACATTGAGGCTTTGCACTTATTTTGTCTAGAACCACGGCTTTATTTTGACAGACGTGGTTAATATGTGGTCTTGTGTGTATGTGTGACTCAGATGACTTCCATGACTCACTTGGCCGATTATGATCAAAGTATCAGCAGCAACATAAACAGAGAGACTTCTATTATTTTTGTCAGCAGCCAGATGGCCCGACATAACGGAGATCTTTTTTTTTGCGTGGAGTGTGGCCTCCGCCTCGAACCCTCCGCTATGATACCATCATCGCCACCATCTTCATACCACCCTCCTGCTCTAGGACAGCCACATGCTTGCTGCGGCGGGTGCATTTATAAAGAACCGCTTTCCCCGCGTGTTTTACCCAGGTTTCTTTTCTTTTTCCACGTCCATCTGCATCAACCAGTTCATGACGTTTACAAAGAAGAATTGCTTGCGACTCGTCCTCGATGAGCCAGTCTCCTTCCTTGGTAACACCAATGGGACGATCATAGTACGCGGCGAGGTCATTGTTCATTTCATCAACGACACGGCCATCCAGGGCCCCATTGATCTAGTGTTTGAAGGTCTTCAGCGCTACTACCCATGGAAAGGTATGTGTTGTGGCCCCCATTATACCTAACACAACAAAACAAATACAGTGTTGTATCGTTAGTTGTCTCATATAAGCAAACATGAACAGATATCATGGGCATACGGCCACTGGGCAAGCCAATTGACACAAAGCTGTACGTCATTGAACTGTCGTTATTACCACCCAACGCACAAGGTATCATGCCCAGCGGCATCCAGCGCTTTCCATTCGAATTCACTCTGCCAGGCTCATTACCCACCACCATCAGCATACCCGACCGTCTTGACATTTCCTACAAGTTGACAGCCACCCTTCGCAAGTCCTCGGACGAATCGTCAGTTTCCTTTCTTGACCGATTTAAAAGAACTCAAAAGCTAGTCGCGACGGCAAGTTTACGACTTGTGCGCGCTATAGAGCCCATCCCTAGTTTAGTACCATCGTCACAACAGCAACAGCATTCTTTAATACGACCATTACCTCCACCAGCAGCAACAACAACAACAACCGTTACTACTAACACCATAGCACATCGCCAACCATCATCTTCAGATCGACCACCATTAAGCGCACCCTCAGCCGACGAAGAAATCGAATTAGGCCCTCACCGTCGAACAAGCTTGGATCGATACTTTGATTTGGGACACGCACAAGACGACGGCACCCACCCTTCCTATTTTGGACAATTTCATCTTGGCTTGGCGCTCGACGAGCAACACGACCGATTAGCGTATTCGATGGCAGGCAGAACAGTCGACAACTGGGGTCAACCTGCGGATGGATTGGAATATGGATTACGGTATCGCTTGGGTATTGATCGTACGGCGATTGCCATTGGGACTAGTATTGGTATTGAAGTCTTGCTCGAGCCATTGATGGACAATATCAAAATTCGTTCGATCATGACGCGCATTTCTGAGACACGCGAGTATACCATGAAAGTACCTGGCGATCATGCAAGTGCGGGACAAAAAGGTCAGGCAGAAACTCGGAAGGATGAAGAAACGTTAGCCATGATACTCAAGTGGGCGTACGGGTTTCCGACCGAACATGATGAAAGCAGCAGTTGCACAGACTCTTCCGACGAAGCAATCCAAAAGAGAAAACAGAAGCAGAAACAATGCGTGTTGAGCCGTCGATATCGCCACAACCGCAGCCACTGGTCAGACGAATTACACAACAACCGTCGATCGATTGTCGAAAAAGGTAGCGGTGCTTGTCAACAGTCTGTAGGCGCGTTCGATGTTCATCCATATGACAGCTACAGCCAAGAAGTAGAGGAAGAAGAAGAAGAAGCACAAGATCCACAATCCGGCGAATTGCTGAACCTCAAGTCATTAGATCAGCTTGTACAAGTTGGCGAGTATTTTGAAGGCCGGTTCGTTATGCCGGTGCCAACGTGCGCCCACTTTTTGCGACCGAGCATGACACACGAATCAATCTCCATTCGTCACTGGTTGGATCTCATTGTCGCCATTGAATGCAATGGCAAGCTGCTCAAGGTGAAGTTGACCACGCCTGTGCGGTTACTCGATTGTCGCTTGGTTGCCGCAGATGACGAACGACAGACTATTTTGCCGCCTCCTCCAAGCTATGAGACGATACAAGTCAATGCCAGTAGTGGGTCGACAAATGAAACCGAATTCTGGGTCCAGCGCTGGCCGATTACTCAGGACGCCGTGTGGGGCTCTTGTTCGCAATGTCCTTGTCAAGCTAAGCGTCTAAAAAACCGTGCTGACAGCAAGAAGTCGGGGTCCAATAACAACAACAGCAGTAGCAGCACTGGTAAAGCTGCGAGCAGCGGCAGTATTAACAGCAGCAACAGCATGTTGGATGGTGTTAGTGGTAGTAGCAGCAGTGGATCAAGCCCATGGCGAGCAAACATGTTCCCTTCTTCGGCCCCTACGATAACTGCCCCTTCTCCTGCCATCTCCAGCCCACCTCCATGCATGCAACCTGAATGGGGTCCTCCACCTGCTTACACTGAGCATTAGCAAGAAAATATACGCCTTTCCTTCCCGTGTCTTATATGCTCCTTATTATGGTTTTCCCTTCTTCTTATTCTTCCTCTTCTACTACTTCTCCATCCTATTCCCACAGCTTCATTTCTCCTTGTGTATGTATGTATCCTTAATTCTTCTCTGAAGTTCTCTTCCTCGTTCATCCTGATTTTTTCCTTTAGCATTATTCACCATCATAGATAGATATCAGCATATTAATAATAATAGTTCATGTAATTACATAATGATTTATACCATCATCAGTTAATAATAAAGATCTTTTCAAGTCCATTGACCCATTACTGCAGTTTTGCACATGGCTAGTATGCCATCTCCACACCTTTTTACTAATGCATACACGCTTGCTCTAGCACTCCTTTCCCATGATTCCCAGTACCTCTCCTATTTCATCATAGTAAAAGTATATATATATATATACAGAACCTGGATATATGGGGGAACAAAGTTCTTTTTTTCTACCAAAAAGTTTCCATTTCTTAACTTAAACTTTCCTACGGACAACCATAATGCTTGCTACACAAACCTTGATCTCCATCTCGTTGCTTGCGGCGGTGGCAAGTGCATCCGGCTCGTCGTCTTCTCTTCTACAAAGCAAACGCTCTGGAGCACTCTCCAGTACCTTCCAAAAACGTCAAATGGACTGCAATTATGATTGCAACTCTTTGAATATGGGATGGTGCAGCCAAAAATGCGATGACTCGAACGTCCAAAAAGTGATGGTTCCAGCCTGCTTTGATAATAAGTGCCACTGTGGTTTTGATCCTCAGTTGTAAATCATTAAGCCAACTTCCCAGCAGTTTTCTCATCATCGATCTATCCATCATTGCTGTTACCCTTACACACTCTTTATTTTATCCTAAAGTGATCATTCCCCCCACCTTCACGCCCCCGGCCCATTAATAAAACTTGATTTCCTTGAGCCCGTTTGGGTGACAGACCCAGAAACAAACATTGCTTGTGTTACCTGCACAACCGCATGAAAGGCGGACGCTGTAAATGTGAACGAAAAAATTTTTGTTCTTCTCTCTCCCTCTGCCCACCGTGAATCGCCTTTTCCACACCTTCGTTACTCAAATGCCAAAAGTAATTTCAAGGGCTCGATCTGAACCTGTTTACAGAATCGTGGATTACAAGAGTTCTAAACTACTAACCGCGACCTATCTCTTCTCTCTTACGATAGGTTATAGGTACCCATAGTGGGCATTTCCACTGGTAAAAGAAATCATTGCGTTACACGTAGAGAAAATCGACGTGTCAAAGAAAGAAGACTTGAAAGAAAGAAAGAAAGAGAGAGGGACTGTTCAAGCTAAAAATAAACAACTGTCTTTTTTTCTAGCGACGAAGCCTTGGCTGTCTGGATGCTCAAGCAAACCAAGGAATTCAATGGCGCAAGTCTTGTCCGAACACGCGATTCCGAAAAGTTGGCTGAATGCAATGTCGTAGTCGACGTGGGTGGCGTTTACGATCCTGCTGAACACAAATATGATCACCACCAGGTAAAGATAAATCACACTACGCCACATTTTTGTGCTCTCTCTCTCTCATTCCCTCCCTCACACCAACACATTCGAATCAAAATTACAGCGTGGATTCGCAGAAACATTCGATGACAAACACGCGACAAAGTTGAGCTCAGCTGGTCTCGTCTATAAGCACTTTGGACGCGAAGTGATTGCCAATTTGCTGCACAAAGCTGAAACTGCAGAAGATGTAGAAACGATCTATCAAAAGACTTACAATGTAAGTGCAAGTATGATGGTAGGAAACAGAAAAAGATAGTAATTGAAAGGAACCATATTTAAAGGATTTCGTCGAGTCTTTGGATGCCAACGACAATGGTATTAGCGCCTACCCCAATACCTTGACTCCACTGTTCAAGGAAAGCCCTACCAGTCTTGCCAACCGCGTTGCACAAAAGAATCCTTCATGGAACCAAAAGCTTACTGACCCTGAAGTCGATGTAAGTTTTCGCATTATGTTGCAATATGGAAGCGCCATTGGAAAAACTGACGTCATTGTTACTGTATTTCAGGAACAATTCGTTTCTGCGTCTGATATGGCAGGCAGCGAATTAGCCGCGTTTGTTGCCGGCATGGCCAATGCCTGGTTACCTGCGCGCTCGCTCGTTGTGGACGCCTTGGAGAAACGCGACCAGGTCCATTCTTCGGGTCGTGTGATTGCGTTGGAACGCGCGTGCCCATGGAAAGAACATTTGATGGACTTGGAAAAGGAACGTGGATTAGAAGGTGACAAGAGCATTCTGTACGTGCTGTACCCTGAATCTGCGCCTGAGGGTAACTGGCGTATCCAATGTGTGCCTACGCGTCCCCAAGGTTTCGAGAACAGAAAGAGTCTTCCTGAAAGGTAAGATTATGTCGAGGTCTGTCAAGTTAACTCTTTAAACTCATCTTTGTGTTTGGTGTTTAGCTGGAGAGGTTACCGTGACCAAGAGTTGAGCCAGATCTCAGCGATCAATGACTGTATCTTTGTGCATGCTGGAGGGTAAGCGGATCCCCGTTGGCTGCTAGTTAGAAAAAGAATGTTCCTGAGGGATTCTCTTTTCTGACTCATGGTTTATTATTAGATTCATCGGTGGTAACAAGTCGCGTCATGGTGCCTATGAAATGGCCCGTTTGGCTGTGGAAATGTAAAAAAGAGCACTGCATAGTATAATTTTATTTTCTGGTTTTTCTGTTCCTTGCATATATTTCATTATCAACATAAAAACAAATAAAAGTTTCCTTAAAAACAAGCACGAGTATAAGAGTTTGAACCATAAAGAGAGTAAAAGAGCTGTGAAGGGTTTTTGTTCTATGTACACTTTAAAAGTCATCCATGTTTGATGCGTTTACTGAATAGGTCGGGATTATTACTGCTGCTGCTGCTGCTGCTATTGTTGCTGCTGCCTGTGCTTTCGAGCGATCGTTTTAGCCTGGGAAAAAAAGTTTTTTTTTTGGCGATCCGGTCAGTTTCGGTCTGCAGTTTATCTCTCCGACTTATGACACTTTTTTTTTCTGTTCGCGCCGGGGCCCCTTTTCTTACCCTAGATCGACCACCGATGATGATGCTGCTAGTGGCGACGGCTTATATTCCCGATGCTGTTGCTGGTTTTGCGGCGGCGGCGGTAGTGGTGGTGGCGTGGGCGCCGCTGGCGGCCAATGAAACATGCCATTTGAGGTCGTGGGTGTTGCGGAAAAGTGCAAAGGACTTGGCAACTCGCTCTGTTGGTAGAATTCTGGATAAAACACGGACGGCGATGGTAAGTTCTGGGCAAACTGCGATGGCGGTAGCGCAGAAGCAGGTGCCTGCTGTTGCTGTTCGTGTGGAATTTGAACTCGCAGTCCCGGAGGTTGTTGTTTTCGTGTCATTGTTGCTGCTGCTACCGCCGCCGCCGCCGCCCCTGACGGTGACACCGATGCGGTCGTCGCAGTTGTTGTAGATGTCGGCAGAGGTGCCGTAGCTGGCATTGCATAGGATGGAGTCGTCGGCTGTGGTGAGCTCATATTGGTGGTAGTAGTCGTTGTCGATGATGATGCGGAAGATGGATATATTGGCTGTTGCTGCTCCGGGATGACAATTTTAAAGATACTTAATTTCCACATGAAAAGGAGTGATTCTACAAAAGTAGTGGCAATTTACCTGATGATGAGAGTGTAGCATATAGTTCGATCGTTCGCGATTCATTGGGTCATAGTGATGTTGCTGTTGATGTGGATACGTTGTTGCAGTTGCTGTCGTTGTTATAGACGGTGTTTGATGTGTACCACGGTACATCGGTTGCGGCGACTGAGCAGGCTGTGGCTGATAAAACAATGATGATTGTGGCTGCCTGGCTACAGAAGAATAGTACGGCGATTGGTGAAGCATCGGTGGAGGTGCATGGTACGTCGACGAATGGTGACTCGCTGTTGACGACAATGCGGGTGAAGATGCAGCCGATGGCATGGTCTTGACATCCTCGGTTGTTGTATCTTCCAGAGGATTCATGAGGCCTGCAGCTTCTCCTGTTGCTGCTGCTGCGATAGAAGCTGCTGGCGATGGCGATGTTCCTTCTTCAACTTCATTTTGAGCCGTAGCAAACTACAAGTTGTTGAATAAGTTGTATTAGCACTATTTTAGAAAGCAGGAAACGTTCTTTGAATGGCGTATAAAACACTCACATCCTTGTTTGATTTGGTTTCAAAGGGCTTGTTATACTATCAATGATGTGATGTAATAGTAAGCACGACGTTGAGCCATCGGTATATTCTTTGTGCGTTGTTGTCCAGCCCCTGCCCCTCCTTGTTCCCATCTTCCAGCTGATCTATTACCTCTGTATACTTCATCAAAATCCTGTCAATATCAGTACTCGAGTACTGCACTAGCTTGCCATGGGTATTGAATATGATCAGAGCAACTTGACAATCGCACAAGACGCTCAATTCATACGCCTTTTTCATTAACCCATTCTTTCGTTTCAAAAATGTCACCTAATATTGTCATATCAGAGATAGTTTATTTAAATAAGATTGACAACTGCTATTAATAACTGTATGTAGTAGGCAACGATCAAATTTCCGTGAAAAGTTTCGAAAACTATGTACCTGACGATTGCGTTCATCTTGGATCGTCTGAATCTTGATCTTCTTGCGACCCATAATAACTGATTGCTTTTCTCGGCTTTACAAATCTCAAACACTACAGGAGGAGCGTGCGTTTTTTAAAGTGAGCGGCGTGCCTAACTTGGTAAATTTTTTTGATTTGGGTGCGTTGTTCTTCTTCTCGCAACCAAGCTCTTTCAATTGGCGTTTTGCTGCGGCACTATGCCTACCTAGTAAATGGCTTTTCAATCAATTGTATGCCCAAAACAACGCATAGAACAAAGGCTGGCAAAAGAAGGCGAGAGAGAGAGAGGAAAAAGAGAGAGAGAAGGAAAGAAAGAAAGGGAGAGAAAAGGGTTGGATGAAATCTCGGGAAATGCATGTTGGAGAGCGGTGTATATTTATAACCCATCATAGCGGCACAACTAAACTGTATGCAAAGCAACTTTAAACGCAGCCTTAAAAAACGAAAGTGCGGATATTTCACAAGACGGGTGTTTCTGCTATTACGTACTGGAACACTGGAGCTCGCTGTCATAGCAGTCTCTGATGATTGAACACGATCTTTTTTGTTTTCTGCGTAAGGCACGGGCACACACACCGCCAGTAGTCAGCTATCCAACCAGTGGACCAGATTGTACAATATGAGGGAGAAACAGCACAAAGAGCACGGCATATCAAAGGAGGGAGAAGAAGAAGGGTCAAGTTGCACAAAGAATTGCTGCCAAATATAAACAAGTATCAAGGGTCAACAGCATAATTACCAGGTTATTCCAGGGTGTGATATGTTACAATTTGTGAGAAAACAATAAAAGCAATATTAGCCCTAGTGTTATGATGACGAACAGAGAGAACACGGAGCTATATTACACGCGGCGTGTGTGCCGTGTCGGCGTCCCTGTCGGGCACATGGTCCATGTGTCAATGTGAGAAAGAGACAAAAAAAATTTTTACACGCTTGGAATATCCGATACGACACCAGCACTCGCCCACACCAAGCATAGGCGTCAGTAGCGACATTGATGTTGTTGTTGTTGTTGTGTAAGAGCGAGTGTTTTTCACGCTACATAGATGCTGCAATCGAGTTGGAAAAGTGTATGCACCACTAAAGCAGAGCGTGTGTGCGTCTGTGCACCCGCACCGAAAAGGGATAAGCATTGCTATGTCGTACATGTAAGCTACGTTGACGGTTCATGTCGCTGCTGAAAATATAAATTTAGCATCAATTTACATCTCTCGCTCACATACAAAACATATATAATTAGAATGGACAATAAACTGGTGGCCCTTTAATTTGCATATTGGGCGACGACGTGGCAATCTACGTGCTTGAGCCACACTTGACACGTTTTCGATTGACTTTTTTAATTAATCACTTTTATTTTAAGGTCGCATTTGTGTGGCGGGTCAAAAAATGAGGATGATCTTTTAATGAACCAACTGCACCTTTCTTGTTTGCACAAAGTTGATAATTATAGCAACATTTCTGCAAGAAAGCAAGGAGGAGCAAGGCTGAGCCATACATATGCCATGATAATTAAAGCGGGCGAACACATCATGTCATTACGTACGCACTATATATAAACACAGTGTATATGATAAACTGAGAGGAAAACATAGAGCTCACAACAGCAACATTTGGTTTTTAGAGAGACAAGCAAAATTATATTAAAAAAAAGCATGCTCAAACGCTTAATTAGTTAATCAAGTAAAGAAAAGAAGAAAAAAAAACAGCCATAGAATAACTTAGAGATGATCCTTTCCCGTGTATACAAAAAGGTTGGAATTGGAAATGAAGAGAAAAAAAGGGAATAAGTAGAAAAAAAAAGAAGTGGGGGATAGGGTGAGAGAGGGTTTTGACGAAAATGATAGATGAGAAAAGGAAATCAGAGAAAAGGTTGTGGGGAATCTTGGAGGTTTGTCGTTTAGTGTGCTTTGATATGAACTCAAGGAGGTGGGGTACTCAGTTTGTGGTTTATATAAATAGTAGTAGTAGTAGAAATAGTGATAGGTGGGCATGAGAGTCAAAAACATTTACATGGGAGCCATTTGGTACATTCTGTCAAGTGCTTGTTTGTGAAGCACGGATTCTTGGAATCTGCAGCAAATTATCACAATCAGATCTTGTTCTTTCTTCTTTGCATAAATTCTCACTACTACAAACAAAACTTACTTGCGCAATTGCTCGTTTTCATTTGCTAGTCTTTCAAGTTCTGCAAGAAGGGCACCTTGCGTACTCTTGAGATGTTGCAAGTGTTGAACAGCTACATAAAAATATATAAAGGTCAGCCTCTCGACATCGTATGGATCATGAACTGTTATCGCACTCTATTCATAGAATACATACTTCGATGGAGCAAGGCTGCTTTGCTCATCTTTTTGTTGACACATCCAGGTAAATGCTGGCGCAATTCGTCGAACCCATCCTTGATCTGGGCTCGTCGTTTTTGCTCTGACTGGATATGAATCTGGCGACGCATTTCTGCGGCCGAGACGCTGTCCATATCGTCCTCCTGATCAGAGCTGGCACTATTGTCAATGTTATCCCCATCCTCCTTGTGGTTGCGTCGTCGCTTTTTGCTGTTGGACGAGCCATTCTCGTACGTCTCCTTGGAGTACTGATGGAACTCTGGCAAAAATGACTCGGGCAACTTGTTGACTTGAGCAATCTTTTCAGAAATAACGTGGTGGGCTGTTGTTCCTGCTGTTGATGTTGTTGATGCTGCTGCAACTGGTGTTACTGTATGACCTGAAGTTGACGTCGGAGAACACGACAGGAGCGGAGGTGTCGTCGCTGGAGGCGAAAGCTGTCGAGAGTGAACAGACTCGTTCTCGGGACTCGAGGGCAGTAACGGCTGTTGTTGATGATCCAACGTTAACACTGGCGCATGATGGTGATGATGCTGATGCTGATGCTGATGTTGCGGAATCGCGACAGGCATACTGGTATGCGTCATTACGTTGGGATCACACATGTAGCCCATGCCTTCTAATTAATATTGTTATAATAGTTTGGTTAAGCCCAAAGAAGTGACGTCACATTATAGTTGTACGGTTTAAACGGGCACCCAACCTTTCCATCTCCCCCGCCCCCATCCCTTAACTACATTTTTTTTGCCTCTTTCCCGTTCTTCCCTTTCTTCATACAGACTGTCTCGACATTCCTCTACCCCCAAAAAAAGTATTTCCCCCTGAGAAAGGGGAAAAAAAAGAGAGAAAGAAAACACTCTTGACAGCAGAGGTTGTTTCTATTTCAAAACTTACCAGAAGGATACAGTTGAGCATCGTACGACTCGAGTTTAGGCATGTCGGCGTACGTGGTGGGCATGATGTATTCGTCAAAACCGAAGTCTGTTTCCATTTTATCGAAATCGTTGGGTTGTAGTCGTTGTTGAGAGGAAGAGAAGAGAGTTGTCGTTGGTTGTTGTTGTTTTTAGAGAAGGTTTGGAGGGACTAAGAGGAAAAGAGCGAGTTGGGTTATTCAGTTGAGGGAGTGTGTGTGGGGAAGAGCTTTCAGTTGCGGTATGTGTGTGATGGGGTAGAGGTGAAGTGTAGCGAGAGTGAAGAGGGAAGAAGGATTAAAAGGCTCTTTGTGGTTTTGTTAAAGGATAGTAGAAGGCGAGTAGAAATGAGAGGGAGAAGGGAAAAGAGAGTGGGTTTTTTCTTTTACGAGAAAAAAAAGGACGGATTAGAAGAAGAGTAAAGAGGGAAAAGATGGACAAGAGAAGTTTGAAAACTAATAGCAGGGTCGACATGTAATTTTTTTTTACTCTGGGTCGTACAAACACTCTCCAAAGATTAGTGGCCCTGCAACTCGAATAAATTAGGGCCAGGTTACCTACTTGCCTTGTTAATGGACAGCGGTTACATACCTGCTGTGTAATAACTAAATTATATGAACACTGGATTCTATCTCTGGAAGCGAACTTCTCTCATTTCGCCATAATATCACTAATAGCTGCCGCTAGAGTTTGTTAATATGCATCGTCAGCTTTTTCTTCTGCGGGTTGCTACTCCACTGTGTGTCTCTGTCGTATTGATACCCACCCTCTCACTCTTCTATTATCGTTCATGTCTAATTCTCCTGCGTTCCTATTTTTTCTCCTATTGACACGACACATAATTTCGGAGAGCCTTGTCTCCCGCTCGCCTCCAAGTCCGCCCTTGCTTTTGGTAGTGTATATTTTCACAACGATCGATCGCAGTTTTCGTTGCATAGCAACAGCATTATCAGTAATCAATCATACTACATAGTAACGAGGTGAAGGTGGCCATGGCAACAACAATAACATTAACAACAAACAACAGGCCTAACATTGAATAGACTCTAATGTTTATGTCGTGGTGTGCTGGTGCAGCATCATCAAATGGAAACATTTTTTTTCTGTGTTCAACCTGATTATGCACGGCATTGTAGGACAAAAAAAAACTTTCCACAGTCTCGCTCGACGAGGTCCGCGCTCCGAGACATTTCGTTTAAACAAGACTATATATAACATCTCTTCTCTTCTCTTCTTTTGTTCTACCCACTTATTACTGTATCAAAATCTTTCAGAACTCTGAGATCAAAAGTTTATCTTTCCTTCGTATAATTTCTTTGACAAAAGGAGGTGTATATGTGAGAGGGGTATCAATACTGACTAATTATACAATTGAATATATGGACGGAGAAAACAACAGCCACCCTTGCCATCAGAATGCAGCATCTCCCCTTTTCTATATTCTTACTCTTACTATAAATTACATGTTGAACGAAAAAAAAAGTTGCTTTCCATTACCGGGTGATTTCATTAGGAGTGAGCCATTAATACTGTGCGTATAATATAAACCGAATAGCTACTACCAATACACTACTATGTACTGCTATTGTATATGCAAATGCTACACTCCTCTGCGGATAAACTCGATCGTCGCCCCTTTCGTGTCGGTCCGGCCTGTCCAAGACCAAATTCCGCTAGCATGATCGACCACAGAATCAGGATCGCCACCCCTCAATTTGTATTTCTTGACGATTTGCGACAGCATTGCCACCATCACCCGTTGACTTGCACGGCTTCCAAGACAGGCTCTCCTTCCGACACCAAACGCCAGATGGTCCCGAACAGACGACTTTTCTTGTTTCTTATTCTTTTTTGCGCCTTCCTCGTCATTATCACCACGGTCATCCAAAATGGACGGCAGCGATAACACACCTTTTGTTGTTGTTGTTGTCTCAGAAGTGGTTACCAAAAACCGTTCAGGATCAAACTTGTAGGGATTGGAATAGTATTGCGGGTCGAAATGGATCATATCGAGATTCACCACCAAGGGCGTGCCTTCATCCACACGATAACTCTTGCCATTCCATACTAAATCATGATCGGATCGTGCCGTATGTGTGTACAATCGCATAGGCGGTGTATAGCGCATCGTTTCGGCGACAAAGCTTGTCGCAAATGCTGGCGATGCAGCAACATGTGCCTGGATATCATAAGATTGACTGGCCAGACGCTGCAGGAGCGTGAACAGAGAGGAGGCAAGGAACCGGTATCCGTGCATGATAAGGTGCAGCGAGTTCGTCAAAATCTCATCGGGTGCAATGGGCTCTGGTGTAGGATCATTTTTTGAAGGTTCGACATGCTTTAAGCTTTCAGGAACATTGCCTTGTTGCATTCGGAGCAGAATGTCCAGAGCGCTATTTCGGAGCTGAACGACGGGTTGATGGCCACCCAACACGACTCCCAGCGTACGAATGATCGGGACCAATGCACCGTAGCGATAATAAAATCGGCTTGACTGGAGTTGCTCAGTTTCCTTGCATACTTGCATCAATGCGTCCACCCATTCTGCTGGCATCTCGGATTGCTTGCCCATGACCATCTCAATTACTGCCTCCATGGCCATTCGGTTGATTCTTTCCCGTAACAATTCCGGATCGACCTTGCCTTCTTCTTGCACTAATGTGCTCAAGCCCTTGTCTTCCACAACCACATGACGCATGACTCTGTTGATAGCTCGGCGAAGGCGTCCCCAATACGCCGAAAATTGAGCCGTAAACACCGTTTTTCCTTTTAGTCATTAATATCCATGAGTACAGCTCTCTTTCTCTCTCTCACTTTACACGGTCGTTCTCCCCAAAAAAAAAAAAGAAGAAAGAAAGCGAAAGAGAGATGTGATAATACCTTGATCACCCATCACTGTTTCGATCGCATCTGTTGTAATAGAACGAGACGAATTGGACTGTTCCAACTCCACCAAGGCCTTGCGCACCACGTCAGCATGGCTCAACACAATCACACGCTTTTGGATCAATTTAACAGTATATATGCTAGTTTGTAATTGTTTTGACCAATCCGTCAGGGCGAGATAGCTATGCAGACGGAAAGCTTTGTATCCGTTCCAGTAGAACGGCAAATTCGAAGGACTCGGTGCCCATGGTGATTTGGATGTACCGTTCTCGTTCTTGCCGTCCCATAGATAGGCGTGTGCGATTTGGGTGATGAAAAAACCAACAGACACCGTAACTAGTGTGACTATGGCCGATGTTATGGTGTCCCAGCTTAATGACATGGTTAAGTTGTATTATATATACCTAAAAGTAGATTAATATACAAATTGGAGAGCCAAAAAAAATAGAATATCCAAGTGTGAGAGAGAAAGAAAGAGAAAGAATCGTTTATCGTATGATGGTGTGTGAGTATACTTGATGTGCGGCATTTGTGTTGTTGTCCCAGGAACACAAAAAAATATGCTTTTTCAGGTCGTATTTATACAAATATAGACCAAACTGCCAAAATTGGGGCTGGAAAGCCCTTATCATTTTATTGACGGACTTAAATTAAGTGTACTTCCAATCCCAGCATCTTGGAATCTTCATTACTGCCAAGTTTGTCGCTTTAAGCTATATTGCACATCTCTGCTCTTGTCGGCTGAAATTTGATAATATAACACATCAAGTATCAAACAACATATGCTTGTCAGAATGAGGCGTCCACAGTCTCGCACGAAGGTCATGCTATTTCAGTACAACAACAGCACTTATTTATAGTATCGAGCATAATCATGTACTAACGCATATGTATGACATCTGGGTGACCAATGATTGATACAGTACCCGCTCGTTAAACCGATCGCCTCTGTTCTTCGAGAAAGTGATCGGCTTAACGAATGATCGGTTTAAAGATTGAGGGTCCGCCATGTGAGATATAGAACTCGCTGGAAGGATCATCTTCTGATGTTACACTATTACATGTAATGTTTAAATACATTTCAGCTTCGGATGCGAGTTGTTGAGGAAGAAGAAGAAGAACAGGAAGACATCATATAGCGATATGCCGTTCAATGTAGGTTCAATAAAACCGGACAAGCTTTGCGATCCACAGCGGAGCACAGTGATTCCGTTTTCTACTGCTCGTAAGCTGTTGCTCTTTGCGTGATACGTTCCTATAGGGCCTAAAGTTTATATCTAGTGGCGTTGCTCTCAACTATGCTTTTACCGCTTTACGTGTTTTTTTGGAAGAGTATGTAATATATAAATCTCATGTCCATGATGCCTTCAGCAGTACATCAACATTATGTCTACTCGCTTGACGGATATACCACGGAAAGTTGTAATCAAAGCAGATACAGTAGCAGCACCGACACGTCCGAGCTCTGGCGTATCCACGTATTGAATTTCTTCGTTTCCCGGCGGTTGTGGCTCCTATTGTGCAGTGGTAATTTAGAGTCAATAGTAAAGCTATTTGTACCGATAGTAGTAAACCCAATAATATTATGTACACATACAACAAATGGTACGGGATGGGTCTTATTGTAATTAATGGCAATTTCGCTCTTTGGCGTTACTAGAACCAACTTGTTCTCTAAAATGTTGGTTTCGTCGTCCTTGTCATAAGTAAGAGCAAGATACATTTGTTTTTCCAGGGCATGATTTCTCGTCTTTTCAAGTAAATCAGCTTCTTCCTCTGGACTGCTCGCGGATCCCGTTTCCTCGGACCATACGATCAATTTGACTCCTGCCTGTTGTTTAATCAATAAATGAAATTTTGCATGAGTATTCTACGATAGGTTACACTGAGGTGTCATTCCACCCCTACTTCCACAAAAAGAAAAACAAAGACATACATTAGCAAGACTTGTGGATCGATTTAACCATCGAACATGTTCTGCTTGCTGCTGCCGGTTTAGCAAACTTGGACCAATCACGCAGCCGACAGGAACGGTTTCAGGCACAAGTCAGGATACGCGACCTAACGCACACATAGGTCAAACTCTTTTTTAAAGCCTCGACATATGCAATACTCATATGCTCTCTCTTCTTTTTGTTTGCAACGCTAAATTGCGGCTCAACTACTATAGGTTAATCGATTCAAGAATGCTCTTGGTCCTGGGATGGAATGCCACTTCTTCAGGTTCTATTTCATGCCGTTGTATTGAGAGTATGTTGATCTTCGCGCATAGATAGACACTTACAGAGGGAGAAAGGAAGGTATGAAAGAGTTACAAAGAACATCCCACAAGACATTCATCTGTAACGCCTTTTTACTTATACAACAATCCCAAATGATCTAATATCCTCTCTCCCATATCTTTCAGCGCAACTAATGAGGCATTATGCAACCATACTTGTGCTACTTGTAGTATTGACGGCAACGGATTTGGATCAGTTCGGTGGATAGTCCTTAGCGATCGACTGGTTTTTTAAGCACTCAGCGGACATTTCTTGCTAAGATGTATCGTTGACCACAACAGTTGTAATTAATTCAGTATGTTTGATGCTAAAAGCAACAGCTGGATGCCAGTTGTATATGGTCTTTTATAGATGCGAACGACAGGATTCGCGTTATCACTGCGTACGGTAATAGCAGTGTCATCCACCGATCGCGTTTCTTGATGACCGCAATAATTAGCTTGTATTTTCTGGTAAGTACTGCATGTTCTTGAGGATCAGACATCCCTCCTCATTATGTTGTTGCTGCTGTCTCCTTTTATTTTTTTCTCAAAAGTATTGCGTCGCCACTCACAGTGTAGGCGTCGTAGCGGAAAAAACAGCTGTAATTATATGCGATTTTGGCGTCTGATACGGAAAGATCGTATCGTTCCTGCTTTTCGTAAGCAGCAGCACGATGGAGTGCAATGTCTGGCATTAGATCGATTTGCAGTACGATAAGTGCAAGTGTAAACATGATTACTGCGTCAGCGTACTCTTGCAATTTTTAGGCTAGTTTCCCCTGTCAAACAAACGTCTAATATCTGTAATGCCGAGTTTATGCAGTTAGAGTGAGTATTGAGTGAGAATCACTTAACTCCACCAGGGTTGGAAGTTGTAATGACGTCGAAATAGCCATAGTAGGGTTTAGAAGTTTGAGGCAAGATGCGAAACAACAAGTAAGGTTGGCACTCAGGACAGCAACTGCAATTTAAATGTGTGACCACACATTCTGAGTCGCGCTTCTGGTCACCTCGTAATATATAAGCACAGTTCTTCTATAACTTCCTCACTATTTGGTCCTCACCATAGTTGCCAGCACAAATGCAACAGTTTGGAGTAATTAGTGAAGAGATATCATCATGGAATTGCTTACTGTAGCAGGAGTCACGCTTATAATCCGCCTTTGAAGTCGAAACACAGTTAGCGCTGATAGATTCATAATGAATGCATATTACAAAACCAGACAACAGTTGTTCCAGCGTGTATACAAGCTATTTTTAGCTAACAGCTCAAGTTACTTCTCAAATTACTTCAAAATAGTATGCATGACTTTTCACTCGGTGCGACCAAGTAAACTTTTAGGCTAAGTTATCTGGAGCATCGTAGCAAAATGAGGAATTACTGTTATTTCTTCTCTTAGAACCTAATATGTTCACGACTTTGATACAGTATCTTTCCCTTTCTTTTGATTCTTATGCTATACGTGCGATAAACACGGGTGTGATGAAGAGCGACTACCAGTAAAGCAAAATATAATCGATGGGTATTGTGCGCGTAATAATTTTGCAACTATATAATTTCGACATCGACTTCTGCAAAAAATGATATACATCAATCTCCGTTTTGTCGTTGAACTGGTCAAGGCATCATGTAATGTTGGCCTTTGCACGACCACCAGATGAAATGGCTCGACAGGATCATAGACTTATCAGCGAAAGTAAGAACCCTTGAATTGATCGCGTTATCAGCACCAAGCGCAATTGGCGTCTCCTATTATTCACAGAAGATAACTCATAATGCTACTATTATTTCAATAATGTTATCCTACTATCACTTCTTCCTGAGCAGCATGTTGTTGTGCTTATTGGCATTATAGAAGAATGATTGGGACGAGAAGAAGCGCTTCACACTACAACTGTAGGTCGATTGTTGTATGTATTTATGTCACAACAAGAAAGCTTGTAAGAAGCGGGACATGTTTATACGATATAGCTCTTCTAATATTGTATGACAACGTACCAAAGTCGGACGTAAGAAAAGTATTGACATTTTATGTACCATCAATTAAAGACAGTGCTTAGGGCGTGCGCATCAAGCGGTATGCTCCTCTTATAGTCGTATGGACTTACTCTTCTGTTGAATTACAGTTCATGAGTTTGAGCACCGGCCATCACTGCAGTTTGCTCCGCAAATCACACATGCATGTCCAAGAAGCGGCGGCGCTAGGTATTGGGACTCAGAGAGTTGTGTCTCAACGTTGTTTTTTGTGATCCGTCTCATTCAGGGATGTAAAGTATTATACATACAACAGCAGCATCTTTCCTTACCCATGCAAAAGGAAAATAAGAAGGGAGCAAAAAGACTTCCCTTTGCAGTAATAGATGTACTACCTGTTACTCACCGTGTGAATTTTGTCTTTGCAAGGCAACGATAAAGAAGCAGTTCTTGAATTTTTCCATTTTGGGTTGATCCGGTGTTGTTTGCGATTCGATGTTACGATTGACGTTATCATCTTTATAGGCATCCTTCTTTCCACACTCCTGGTAACAGCATCGAACTTTCTTTCGCAAAAAGAAAAAATCACCCAATACTTGTCGTGTAGTACATAACGCACTACTAGATCACACAAACGTAGACACACATGCACATCGAAAGTTTATTGCCATTGGCTCGCTATAACGTCCGCTCGCTTGTAGAACCTCGAGGCGTATACTAAATGGGTCTACCGACAAACAACTTTCTCGCGAATGTTGCCGAAGGAGAAGGGATACAGGGACCAGACCGTTGCCATTCGGGAACCCGGGAATCGTTGTGGTGCGTATATTGTAAACATCTGCTCATTTATCCTCACTGTGTGATACCATCACCCTTATTTCACGTTTCCTCTCTCCGCGCCTCCGCATGCGTGCATGTCTTGCAATAGCAACATCGTTCATCAGAAGTCAAAAACAGCGGACTACACTAACCATATTTCGGCCTAGTCGTTTTTTTAAAGTTTTTTTTCTTCTTCTATATGACAGAATTGAAAAAAACATCATTCTGTTTATATAACACATATGAAAAGATAATGTATTGTTTGGATACTAACTTACGAGTATCATCATTATTATTTTCTACTTTCTGCCTTTCTTCTTTATTTCGCCATATACAGGGTTTTGTAAAAGTTTTCTCACAGTGTACACATTACACCAAAGCAAGAAAAAAAATATACATCCGAATTTTTGAAAGGCAGCCCATCACATTTCGTGTGTAACCTTTACTAAGTACTGAGATTTCCTTGCTAACGCCCCTGGTTTACTTTTCTTTGCACTTCCAACATCTTTCCTCCCTTCTTCTCTTCTCTCTACTATATATAACGCATAATATATATCTAGCAAGAGCTCTACCAAAAGCAAAGTTTCGATAGACCCTTCTTTAATCTCCCTCTACCTCCTGTAATTTCTATATTACCTTATAATGACCGACTCGAAAACCGAGTATGCCCCTGATACAAAGGAGGACGTGCTTGATGTTGCAAGTGTCAAGCACAACGAAGAAGAAGACAACGTCTCCTACAGCAGTGCTGAAAGACGTTTGGTTCGAAAGTTAGATTATATCTATGTCATGCCATGCATTGCCATCCTCAACTTTTTGCAGGTAATTATTAGTAGCGGCCAACACATGTAATTGTATGATCACAATTCAAAGAGAAACAAATTGAATGTTTACTGACATAAGAGCAAAAAAACATATATAGTTCTTTGACAAGTCTGCACTGAACTACGCTAGTGTGCTCGGTATCAAAGAAGATACCAACGTCAGCGACTCGCAGTACAGCTGGCTCGGTTCGATTTTCTACTTGGGCTATTTACTTTACCAGGTAGAGTGTCGAGATTGAAATTACTATCATATCAAGATAAAGAGGCATAGTAGAGCGATACGATCTCTGAAAAAGAAGTGTATTGGCGTACGAAACTAACCTAAACTTGCAAAACACACAAACACACGCTTGATATTTCAGGTTCCAAATGCCGTTCTTATTCAACGTGTACCATTGACGAAATACATTTCCTCGCTGATCATCCTCTGGGGACTTGTTTTAACTGTTACTTCCGAAGGCAAAAACTTTTCACAGATGGTAAGCTGCATAACTCCATCTTTCATATTTTAAAAAAAAACCCTTAGAAGATTAGACTTGTTTTCCAACTAGTCCATATATGAGAAAGAAGAGGCTGATTGTTTCGGGACAAATTTGTCTTAGGCTGCTTTGCGCTTCCTCCTCGGCTTTTTCGAGGCAGGAATTTACCCGTGCTGTATTATGCTAATCAGTACCTTGTACCGCCGCCACGAGCAAGCTGGTCGTCTCGGCATTGTGTACATCTGCAACGGTGTTGCCATGGCCGTTGGCGGTTTGATCGGTTATGGTATTGGCAACATGACAGACGTTGGTAACAAGGCTTCTTGGCAATGGTAAGAACTAGTATTCCTTTCCACCATCAGATGTGCTTCTGCTTTTCTTCTCTGGAGAAACGTCAACTATTGTATATGTACACGTGCTAATAACAAAGAATACGGTTTTTTCGAAAAGGATTATGATTATTCTTGGTGCAGTCACCATCGCTTTCGGTCTCATCTGCTTCTTCTGTTTGATTGATAACCCGCGTTCCCGTTTTCTCCGACTTGATTCTGAGCAGGAGCGCATCGTGGACTATCGTCTGCAGGATAATGCGGTCGTACGTACCAAGCAAATCAAGGTGCACCATATGTGGGAAGCAGTCCGCGAACCTCGGTTCTACTGCTTGGTCTTTGCCTCGCTGCTCGTGAATTTCCAGAATGGTGCAATGAACACGTTCAGCTCCATCATCACAAAGGGTTTTGGCTTTTCGGTAAGTCCCTTTCTTATGCGACTCTCCGCTTGATTTTGCTACTGCTGCTGCATATATTGGCATGTTACAAAAGAAGATGTTTTTTTACTAAATTTATCAATCCATTGCCGCGGTAACCCACGAAAAAATTTATTGGCATGCCACTGCACATTGTTCTTATTATTGTAGAGCTTAAATGCCATTCTGCTCAGTATTCCTTCCGGTGTCGCTGACTGTATCTTCATCGCTGCTGCTGTATGGTACAACAGACGCTATGGCCAGACAATCTACGTTGCCTGCTTTTTCCTTGGTGTCGCCATTATCGGCTTAGTCCTGTTGGTTGCCATTCCTAAGCCGCAAGTCAAGCTCGTGGGCCTTTACTTGTCATGGGCCTACTGTGCCGCCTATACCTTGATGCTTGTTTGCGTCGCCAACAACGTTTCGGGCTATACCAAGAAGATCTTTTATTCTAGTGGTATCATCGCCGGTTATACGGTATGGGAGTCTCTATGAACATTGCGATATATATTCCTACACGCAACACGCTCTGTCAAATGGGAGATTAGTGTTAAATGTCATGTATTACGTAGATCGGCAACTTCATTGGTCCTCTTATCATGGTCTCCTGGCAAGCTCCCTTATACCTCGGAGGAATGATCGGTTGCATGTGTGCAAACCTTGTTTCCATCTTCTTGCTGTTGATTGCCCGTTATAGCATGGCAAAAATCAACCGTGAACGCGCTGCAGCTCTGGAGAAGAACGACGCCCCACCACCTGGTACTGATGATTTGACTGATCGTGAAGATTCTAAGTTCTTGTAAGTAGTAGTAGTAGTAGTAGTAGTAAACAGCAGCAGCGATTGTTTGATGATATTTGATGCACACAAAAAAACTAATCTTTGCTCTTTGCTTCTGTTTTAGCTACCGCTTGTAATTCCACCTTATATTAACTTACTACCTAGAAACATACTACATACCATATATATTCCATGTATTACTATATGATGACTTTTGCACAAAGCTTAAAATAAAATTTCTAATTCTCTTGTAATCCACACAGACACACCTTGACTAATGCTTACATAAATGTAATTATTAGCATTAAGAGCAAGCGTTGGTCAACTGCACGACAGACAGGAACGCGCAGCATCTTTTTTGAATACTATAACCAGATATTTGAGCTACAAAGAGACTTGCATATTTGTTTTTCCTCACGATTTCGGTAGCTTCCTCGAGAGCCTGTTGTGGTAGAACGCACTACAAGACTCATGTTGAGGTGGCGTGTAAAGAAAGGGCGCATCATCCTCTTACGTTGCTGCTGCTGCACACTGAACATATTTTCGGTTTTTGGTTCTCAAACACACTAAAATAGCAAGTAGAATATTCCTTAGCCCTCTTTCCGTCCACCTCCTCTGTGTCCCCCTTCCAAAACGCTATTGTTTATTCTTGAAATTTTTTACTTCTAACCTTATAATATTCTTTCATATTGTTGTGCTGTCATTTCTAGTTAGCGCGAAACAGAGAGAGAAAGCGTATGACACGCTTACGGTATATGATACAAAGGACATAATTTTTATTGTGTCTTAGATCGGACGTTTGATCTTGATCATCAAAATATTGCGCGCTTTTTGTACTACATGCAATACTGTCATTTGGCAGGAACGGAGTTCTTTTTATGTGGTACTCTTTTAACACTTGACATATTGGGTTACTATTGCTCGTATTCCTTTGACCAATAGGGCTCGTCATCCCTACTGTATGTCTGTCACGAAACAAAGGAAGCTCAATTAGAGCTTATGAGCAGCGTACTTCTGAGAAAATCAGACCAATTGTATTTGCTGGGAGAGACATGGGAGGTTGTAACAAGCTCACGCTTGTAGCTATAAATCTTACCGGCTTAAGTATCACGTGGGATGACAGATGAGTAAGGCAAGGAGGGTGTGTCCATGAAAAGCAGGAGTCTTTTTGAGTAGGTGCTCGACGATGACACGATTTCTGTTGTTGTGAGGTGAGGGGTTCCTTGATGACACAAGATCATAATACGGAAGGAGGGTGGTATTATTTTGATAATGTATGTATAAAAACTATTGTTTTCTCTTTCATCAAAATCTACAAAATAAATATGGTAAGACAATATGGACCACGCTAACAACCGGAATGGAGTACTTTTTGCCAATGACTCATTATTCTTATTTTTGGTTAACTAGTCACAGCTCGACATTACTTTGAATTCAACCTTTCATGTCTGTTTGCTACATCATGGCCTAGAGAACTTCCTATCGGCTTGATGCTACAACCGAGCAATTTAAACAGCTATGATAAGTATAACAGCAGATGAATTCTTCTTTTACTTATTGTTGGATGTGCTTGTTGTCAAAACAAGTGAAATGTAGCACTACAAAAACATTCCATATACAATCTTACACATTTGAAAGCCAAAATAACATACGCTTGGTCAATGACATACCAGTTTATATATACTACGGAGCATATGAAAAAGGCAAAATGCGTATAAATCATCAGAAAAAATACTATTCGACAATTCACAGTGTGTAACTGCGTACTGCAGAGTACAATGGATGGTTAGTAATCATCCATGGAAGGGATACGCCATCTGCTATGTAGCACTATGCGTGGACGGAAAGCACAAATAACAGGGCATCATGCTGCGTTTCCCACAACATAAAAGCAATTCTATAGAAAAAACGCAAGTGCTGCATTGGCACGCTCAAAAAGTCTGAAATGACAGGAAGATGCTGCTTCTTTTCCGTGAATACCGTATAGCGTGGTGTTGCGACGCTTGTATAAAAAAGTACAAACTTCTATGAGCTCTTATATCGGGGCCGTGTCTCTGTGTATGTAATCACGGTGTTTGGACTTCTACAAAGTGTGCGATTCAGTTCTTATTTCTACGAGTTTAACACATCCATTGTCGATGTATATGGGTTTAAAGGGAGGGCGATGGAGAGGGGAAATGAGAACATGTTCGTCAACTCTATATTCTGATTGTTCTCATTGAGACGACGCAAACAACCTCACGTGGAGCAACCGGACGAGTGAGCGGTCCATAACACTCTAAAGGAAATGGGGTCATTCTACGTCATATCAAGTGGTAACGAGTGAGCGAATATCGTAAAAAAACGATGAAATGCAAATGCTTGCCATTGTTGTAATTAATTGGAAAATCGAGCGAGTCAATTGTAAAGATGGGTTTTTTCTCGAGGAAGACAAGATTCGCTCGTATGTGCCAGGATGATGAGGAAATGAGATATTCAACATCGTTTCTTTATATTTCTACATACCTTCATTGACCAATGAAGGAGCTGTAGTTTTCAAAGTATCATACATCGATTGTCGTATTGAAATGCCAATTAATTCCGTATTTTTACCCGCTCCAACCCACATACCCAGTACTTATCACGCATCTTTTCGAGAACTGAAACAATCAAGCTGATCGTGCCTTCCAGCAAAGGTATAGTGAGGGGATAATGATTCGATTCAACAAGCTACTTGATTTGCCTTAAAATTGTACGGGGTGGAAATTTTAACAAAAGGATGTAGTAGAAGTGAGGAACTTAACCTGGAAAGGAATAGATTTTAATAGTATGATAGTGTTGGAAGAAATTGATGAGGTGAGTATGGCTGTTATGCGGTGTCGATCATGATAATAATATGCTTTACGATACAGACAAGGTTTCCTTATCATGAATGCCGCACCAGGACAGTCCTCGAGGTCTGCATGTTCTCAAGTCTACTCAGCAAAAGGGTGTACATAGCACTGGAACATGGGCATTAGCAATCTGAACAGACTAGATCGAAGCTACTCAAATTATAAGAAGTTCAAATGGGACAACAAATGCTCGATGAACTGCCATCTAAAATCGCTACCATGGCTAGTAAGTCTAAGTTACTATTTTCCTCTGACTCTATCAACGAGCGGATACACTTATACAGGGTCATAATCTCATATCATACTGCACGATGGGAAGCCGCGTCCAATACTTGCTAGAGCGTTTGCTATATGAATAAAATGGTGGACCCGTCTGAAGACGCTCCACTCATACACCCACAAAATTACTAATTTACGGTGATACTCTACAAGCTAACAGTACTACAATCCACTGCAGGAGCAATCTCACCACACACGATATATACCATTGTATTACTATTGTTGTATTACTATTGGTAATTGATATGCACAAAGCTTAAAATAAATTTTCTAATTCCCTCCACACTTGACCAGTACATAACAGCCATTGCTAAGAAGAGGGAATAATGGTCTGTTGCACAACATACAGGGACCTGCAGCATTTTTATTTTTGAGTAATGGCCGGATTTTTGTTTTGCCACAGTTTCGGCGCCCTCCTTGAGACTCTTATTTGCTTGTGCGCCCGTTGTGATACCGCCCAGTACAGAGTTGTTATTGATGGGTGTGTATAAATGTAATGTTTACGCTGTCGCTGCTGCACACTTACAGCGTTACAGGTATACAGATTTTCGGTTTTCACACACTAAAGGAATAGCAAAAGTAGAATATTCCTTGGCTTTCCTCCCGTCCTACCTACTCGGAAAACCATTTTCCCTCTCTACGCTCCTCTGCAAAACGTTCCTGCAGGACATGGAAGGGTTTTTTCCTTCTAACCTCCTTAATGTTCTATGATTTCATTTCCAGTTAGCGCGATAGAAAGAGAGAGGGCTTATTATACCGCTTGTCGTTTACAATACAGGAGAGGACAAGAATTTTATTGTGTGTGTTCCCAGATCGGACGTTTGATCTTCATCATCGGATTTATTGCGCACTTTTCGTACTACATGGCAATGACTGTCCGTTGCCAGGAACGGAGTTTTTTCTTTTCTATGTAGTTCTCTTTTTACACTTGACATATTGGGTTAATATTGCTTGTATTCCTTTGACCAATGGGGCTCGTTGTATGGTACCATCCCTGCTATCATACGTTCTTCGTTGCGGGATGAAAACAATTGCATTGGCCCGAGGTGGAGGCGAGGACGGGAGACAGAAACAAGAAATGCACTGCAGCTGTTGTTTGTTGCTGGCTCGAGCATCGCGCGGGATGACAAATGAGACAGACAAGGAGCGAGGTGCCCATAAGAAGAAGGAGACTCCTCGGGGTGTGTTGCTCTATGTACTATATACGATGTGCGTAATATGCTATTTGTAAGGCGAGAGAGGGTAGGGGTTGGGGGGGGGGGGCTCCCTTGACGATGCAAGCAAGCACCAGCTGAAGGGCGCCCACATGGCAAGATACAAAACAGTTTATAATTTTATTTCCAACCCCATTGAAACGCCGGCGTCTAAGCACTGGGAATTTTGACGCATTAAAGCAAAAAAGCTAAAGCGCAAAACACAAAAAAGGGTGATTCCTTGATTTTTTACTATCCAGCCGTCTCCCCCACGCTGTCTCTTTCCTTTCTTCTTTCCCTTCCCTTCCCTTCTTTTTCTTTTGCTTCTCTTTTCGTTCCACACCCACTCTTAGCCAAGTGCCATACTCTCGGTCTTCCTTTCTCTTTCGTCTCTCGTCAACAACACAGCGAAGAAAAGAGAACATCCCAACTTCTTTTCCCTTTTTCCACCAAAGGGCTGGGACCGACAACTCACGACGAACGAACGAACGAACGAAAGAACGAACGAACAAACGCACGCACGCACGAACGACGATAAATATAAGCTAGCAGTAGCAGCTGTAGAATGTACAATCCGAGAATATCAAACGAAGCTGCCAATAACGATATGGTCGAAAAGCAATCCAGCCAATCACTCTACGGGCGACACGACTACGGCAACGGCGACTATGCATCGTCGCAGTACGAACACTCGATAGGGTACAGCGAGGACGATCAGCCCATGTCGACTGAAGAGCGCGCACTTGTCCGCAAGATCGACTTCTTTGTGATGCCCATCATTTGCACAATCAACCTGCTACAGGTAAACGACGTCCTCCGCATAGGAGCATCACAAATTTTGATAAGATCGGTTTGTACCACCTGCGCACAATGTATCTCACCGTACAGCGTACACAACATCACGTTCTTCTTTAATTGCCATGGCAATCACGGCTGCAACCTATCTAGTTCATTGACAAATCCACAATCAATTATGCTGCCGTGATGGGCTTCAAAGAAGACCTGCAACTGGTTGACAACCAGTACAGCTTGCTCGGCTCGATCTTCTACCTCGGATACCTCTTGTACCAGGTAAACCCGAGTCGCACAAAACGGAAGTGTGCTGTTTCTCTTCCTGGCTGACATTCAAAACGCACCACCACCCTATTTTTCTTAGTTACCAAACAATTACTTTTTACAACGGTTCCCCATCGGTCGATACATAGGCACAATTGTATTCGTCTGGGGCGCCGTACTCGCATGTACGGCTACCGGCACAAACTTCTCTCAAATGGCTGCACTGCGTTTCTTGTTGGGCTTCTTTGAGGCCGGCATTTATCCGTAAGTTTTTTACAAAGAACCTTGGTGAGAAATTTTTACAGTGACTGAAACATATTCGTCTGTCGTCAATCTCAATTTAGCTGCTTGACACTTTTGGTAAGCACGTTTTACCGCCGTCACGAACAAGCTGCGCGTCTTGGTAAGTATATCACTGCCAGAATAGCGATTTTGCTCAATGAAACCTAAACCTGCACAACAAAATAGGTGCCTTTTGGCTTTGCAACGGTATTGCTCTTGTCGTCGGTGGCCTGATCAGTTACGGTATTGGTCGAATGACCAATACTATGGGACTAACCAACTGGCAATGGTAAAACAAATGTCTATGATGCTCTCACCTAATTGACAGTCTTCCAAACTTCTTTAATGATATAATAAATTATATAGGATTATGATCATTCTTGGCTGTATCACCTCTGCCATGGGTGTATTCAGCTTCTTCTGCCTGATCGACAACCCAAAGGCCAAAGCACTCAACCTCAACGCCGAACAAGAGATCCTCGTCGAAGAACGCACTCGAGACAACGCTGTAGTCCGCACCACAACGATCAAACGTGATCAGATCTTGGAGGCTTGCAAAGAACTTCGATTCTGGTGTTTCTGTGTTGCATGCTTGTTGATCAACTTGCAAAATGGAGCCATGACTATCTATAACGCTCAGATCACCGAAGGTTTCGGCTTCACCGGCCTCGACTCGATTCTCCTCACCATCGGAGCCGGTGGATCGACCGTTTTGTTTATTGTCTTGGGCGTCTGGTGCGTCAACAAGTTCAAGCAAACGCTGTATACAGCATGTGGCCTCATGTTTATTGATATCATTGGGTTGATCCTCTTGATCGTCATCCCCACCCCGCGTGTTAAACTCGTCGGCTTTTACATGGCCTGGTCCTACTGTGCCGCCTATGTCTTGCTCGTCACGTCCATCTCTAACAATGTTAGCGGCTATACCAAAAAGATCTTTTATAACGGCATTTTGATGGTGTTCTACACGCTGGGCAACTTTTGCGGTCCATTGATGATGGTGGAAACTCAAGGTATTATTTTGAAACTTATATGTCTACACTGATCACTCAAAGATGTCTATATGTCACAACTTACCAACCCAACTCTGTTTCCTTGAATAATTGAACAGCTCCAACCTATGTTGGAGGAATGGTCGGTTATTGCTGCGCGAATGTTGTTGTCGTAATTTTGTTGCTTGTCGCTCGCTGGCAAATGAGCGTTATGAACAAGCGACGCCTAGCAAGACCATCGTCTATCTTGACCAACGTGGAAGATGATCTCAGTGACCAGCAAGATTCCAACTTCTTGTATCGACTGTAGCCTTTTTTACTTCCGTTCCTATATCCTTTAAAAACCCACTCTTCCTCGTAGTACTTTGTCGCATTTTCCTTGTACAACAACAGCACCGAAAACGATACACTAAGCCCCTTTTCTCTTAGAGCTATATATTTACATCCAAATAATTCCACGCTCCTCTTCAACATATTTTTATTATATAAACTGGATCATAGATCGATGTGTACATTTTGTTGATATCGATAAAATCAAAAAGATCATGTATTATGGTATTTATTAGTACTATGAAAGGATACATAAATAAATAAGCTGCATTAATTATTACTGTTACATACTAGATGGAGAAGTTTAGCATGGGCTGGTAGAATTGAGCTCGGGGTGTACTTGGCTCGTCTTCTTCACCATCGTTTTCTAGCTGACGATCAATTCTGTTGCTGTTATAGTTATTGCTGTCGTCATCGTCTTGCAATGCAGGGAATTCAAAGTGATGATCGGGTATCGAGCTAGTGGTTGATGTAGGTGAAGGTGGACCCGAGGTAGATGAAAAGTATACAGAAGATTCGCTGTCGTCCACGGTACTAGCTCGTGACTCAGGTCGTACGAAAGTTGGTTGTTGGTGTTGTTCCTCATTCTTCTCTTCCTTTTCGGTTTCGTGTGCCTCGTTGTGTGGATTCTTTTCCTGGGGTTTCTTTTTCTTTTGCTCTTCATCTTTCTTGGATTGTTCCTGCTCTGGTTCGTCTGCGGTGGCCCGTGCGGTCTTGATGCTAGCTGCGTCATCTTCGTCGTCATCAACAGCAGCAGAAGTAGCTGATGGAAAACTAATATGTCGATGACCGTTTGTTCCATTGATGCCGTTGCTGCTACTACTAGCAGGAGTTGCTGCCTCGCTTGCAGAAGTTTCGGTTTTCTCATCTGCTTCCATTGTAGTCTTGGTATCAGTAGTAGTAGAAGTTACTAGTACTCTAGTGCTCGACGTGGTAGTCATACTGGCAGTAGCAGCAGTATTATTTGGTTGCGAGGCTGCTGGAGGCGTAGCTGTCATGTTCGAGCGAACCGACCGAATCGTTGGGACAGATACTGTTGAACTATTCTTTTTGTTGTGCTGTCCTTCTACTGAAGACGATGCTGACGATGATACAGAGTCCGAAGGTCGTGTAGCAGAGCTAGTGTTAGTTATAGGATGTGGAATCATACGGGTGCCTTGTGCTACCGAGGAAACATCACACAATACACGACACCAGGATAAAAGCTCTTCGCGCGAATTGGTGCGGAAATAAAACACACGGTCTCGCTGCAGCACTTGGGTCCCACGCTTGTGAATTTCAAACGTGTATGGTCCGTCAGTCTTGTCGTTCTCGGCAAAGTGACTGATATCGATCGAGGGTACAACTGTGCATTCAGGAATATAGATGGATCGTTCAGGAGACACCTTGTCGCCCATCGTGAATTGATGCAAGTAACCACCTACCAACAGAAATCCATAAATTTTTCAAGCATACATAGCAGAAAGATGGGCAATTACAGCTTACATTGGCTGAGAACAAAATAACGCTCTGTATATTGCTTCAAGACACCAGTACGGCGCTCCATGATGCCCTTTGCAACGGTCATAACCTTTGGATTCAACTTGTTGGGATAGTTGATCTTCAGGTAGTCCTTGAGCGGGTTCTCCTCATTGACCAGGTCCTTCTTCTTGCTTTCGTAGAAGCTCTTCCATTCTGTGGAGGGTGCAATGTGCTCCATCACAAGTCTGAAAGGTGTATCGTTCTCTTCAGAGCCTTCCCACAACCCGGGTGCAAGCTTCTTGTAGCAAAACTCAATGGCTGGTTTGAGTTGCTCGAGCGCACGGGCTTCATATGCCGCCGTTCCTTTTTGGATGGGCATCATCAACTTGCGCATTCGGTTCTCTTCATCCACTTCATGCTTCAGCTGGCGCAACACATCTATTATTTAGTGAACTACGCGTATTAGCATATGTGCCCTATTCCACTCCATACTATATCCCTCTGAAACTTTAACTTACACAAATTGGCAAGCCATGGATCATGTTCCACAGGATAAGTTTCTGCCGCTTTGCAGTGCCGATTAAGCTGGGTCATGCTCTTGCGGGTGGTTTCAGCATATCTGAGCAACTCATCCATGACCAGCTCAGGCTCCTCCTTCAGACCACGGATCATCTCCTTGGCATCCTTGCGTAACTTGATCAGTCCAGGCAGGAAATCCTGCTGGATCCTTTTGCCAAACTCCTTTTCTTCGTTGGCGAGCTGGATGCTAAGCATTTGAAGACCCGCTTGCACTGTAGCCATAGCATTTTTTTCATCATCAGAGGTGTCACCGATATCCTCTTTAAGGACCGGCAAGGCACGTTGTGAGTAACAGCGACTGTTTTGGAAGCTGATCTTGACCAGCTCCTCCATCCAGTTAATGACTGCCTTGAGCAAGTGCTGCCAGTAATCCAGTCGCGAAATAATTACATCCGCACGGTTCAAACTAAATATCGTGGGCACGCGTGGTCCGCTCGTTTTGACGTATTCTTCTTCTTCGTTATTGGTGCTTTTATTAGTCTGTTCATGCGACGTCGTTGGTGTACTCTTGGACAAACTCACGCTAGAGCCGAACAGTTTGCTCTTGCTCTTTTTAGCTTGCTTTTTGTTTGGTGTTGTTGCAGGTTTATTTTTCACGCTGCTGTTATCCTCGGGTTCGGAGAGGTCGCTAAGCTTGTAGCTGCTGAGGTTACGCGCCGAGAATGAGTGCGAGATGGATGACGATGACCAGAATGTTGCATTGGAAATAGGTGGGCGCGACGTTGAATTATTGGGCGATGGCTGCACTTGTTCGATTGTGGTTGTACTGTTGGATGAATACAGGAATGGTCGTAGCGTTTTATGCGTGGTGGACGGTTTGTTGCTTCGCTTGCTGTCATTGTCGACAGTGGAGGAAGAAAGCGCCTCGAGCAGTTCAGGGGGTGGAATCAAGTCAAATTGCTCTGTGTAGCGGCTTTTACTAAGCTGCTGTTGCTCGACATTGGCGCTGTTACCAGCAGTGTTATTTGCGGTTGTGGCTGTGGTCGCTGTCGTGTCAATGGATACTGTCGATTGTTTACGTAGTCTGCTCTTTTCAGGAACTGGAGGAGCCGTCATGATAATCGAAATCAGCCGAGAGAAGGAAGGAAGAAAGGAAAGATGTGGGAGAAACGAGTGGAGAAAAATAAAACTGGAAATAAAAGTGCCTGGAACATCGTCTCTTTTTGGTGCACAAAAAGAGCTGTAACTTTCCACATTGAGAAGACGACTCGTCGGGTTAGAGTCTTGGCTCTCTAGTAAACTACATAGTAACTGGCAAAAAACAAAAGTAGACGGGTTGCTTCTATCACTATGTTCTGAATACCCTTTCCCTCTCCGCATCTTTCTCTGCTAAGTAGGGGCAAACAGACAGAGAGCTATGCTGTGATGTAAGAAATAATGGCAACCGTGCTTTTTCTGTATTAGTCGGTGTTTGTGCTTATTTTTTATTTTCATTTGCATATATGAATGAAATGTAATACGGTCAGCAACAAAGGGCAAACAATGGAAAGGTGAAGAAAACAGGCACATGCTAAAGTGTTTCCATCAAGTTGGTGTAACTTTGCAGTGTACCTTTTAAATAACATGCTTTGAACCCCAGTCTACCGAGTCGCTTTCTCTCTTTCACCTGGATGTTATGTTGCACAGTGCCTTATTGAAGATGACCGCTTTCATATATATAGTATAGCGCCGTATGCATTTGTAATACTATCGAAGAACAAGTACATGTCGAGCGGCTGAACATTTCTAATAGATAGCTACAAGCAGATCGATAATTTGTCTAATAAAGAATCACATGCCAAAACCTTGTTGACAACTCTTCTTCTTCTTTGCGCCGGAACAGCTATTAAACAACATTGCAAATCAAGTTGCCAAAAACGTGCTTGTTGCAGCTGACATCTTGATGGACAACATCAGTCGTTTAGTAGGTCAGCACACGGCCAAACAAGGAGGAGAGTATTGTAATTAATACATCATCATCAGCAGCAGCACCACCAACAACAACGGGCGATGGTCCCGTTTTGTCATCCGATAATAATAGTAGTTCATCACACCTGCAAGTGATTCTTGCGCACAAACCATGAAGCCGAATTTTGTTGGGCTGATTCTATCCGCATTTGTGCTCCACGTTGGGCGGAGAACGAGAGTGTGTCCCCACTTCAGGGTCGATTATAAAAAGGAAAGGGATGCCCTTAGTTCAATCTCAAAGCTTCTTTTTCTTTGTTTGCAGAAAGTTTATAAACGAAAACTCCTCCTTTCTCCATTCGCAAACACTGCAGCAACTACTACCACTAAGCAACAGCACGATGCAATCGATAGATGCGCTTTTTCAAGCCGGAGATACCCGCATTTCACTTGGTATCCCGTTGACCTTTGCCGCCTTTTCGGTGCCGACGGGATTACTCGCACTTATGATCGTCAAAGAGAAAATGCCCACCACTGCCAAGCAACTCTTATCTATCCCACTTCTGACGATCGTCTTTTTGACTCCATTTCTCTTGACATGTGCTAATGGAGGTAAATGAGCGATCCTAACAACAGTCTCCCTCTCCCTATATACTGACACACCACTCTTTTTCTTGCTATTACATACACAGTGTTCGATCTTATTGTATCTGTTGCATGTTACAACCTATTTCTGCGCTTGTTTGAATTTTATTGGATCAGCCCACTGCTGTACGGCAAACCTGCATATGCGCATCCAGACTACTTGTACACCGAGTTCTGGTCCTCTCTCTGCAAGTTCCCCAAGCCAAGCAAGCACAAGAAGAAGGATGACGATGCAAAGCCAAAAGTTTACGTCAAAGACAAGGTATATTATCCCGGTCCCGTCTGTGACCCCTGAATTCCTCCTTCCGATTTGTTGTCAAACATGCTTACTCACATAGCTATATTACAGAAATGGTATCACATCGTCATGTACTTGGCTTATCACGCAGCCCTCTGCGATGTGATCGGTTCTTGGTTTACAACATTCACCGGCAACGATGTGATCACCATGCGCGAAGACCGCCCTCTTCTCTTTTTCGCCTTCTTGTTCATCATTGTGTTTGTCCTCAACAGTGCATTCAACATATTCGGCTACTCGCTACAGCTATTTCACTGTTTGTACTATGACCGTGGCTCGTACTCAAATGGTATATAATAAGTACCTCTTCGCTGCCTTGAAACGCTTAAAACTCAACCGACAGTATCTTAATACTCAATAGATCAATGGCGCTCACTAATGATAAACCCTATCATTTCCACCTCTCTGGAAGAACTCTGGTCCGTCCGCTGGCATCAGCTTCTGCATACTTCTTGGGTTGCATTCGGCTTCCGCCCGGCCCGTTATATCACCCAACGCGCACTTGCCAAGACTGTCAAGAACCCTCTACCTTTTGCCCTGCTTGCGGGTACCTTGGCCGTATTTGCCGTTTCAGGCTCAATGCATGAATACATGGTTTACGCCAACGTCGGCTGGTCCGTCTACTCGCGCTTCTTTGTTGGAAACCAGTTGTTCTTCTTTTTCATCCACGGCGTTGGCATGACCTTTGAGCGCATTGTCGCCCGCTTTTCCAAAAAGCTTTTGCCTCCAGCTCTGCTCGAGTCGTTCTTGGTCAAGCAGATCGTCCAACGCGCTTGGGTGATCGGCTATGCATTTTTGACTTTCCCATTTTTCCTTGATGGATTCGCTTACTGGGCCTTGTGGCATGATAATCCATTTGTCTTCACTCGCCCATATGTTCTGGAATTTTTCCGCTCGATACCCTTTGGTAAAGATGTCTGCGGTAGTTTACTATAGATTGTATAACTCAAGATGCTCCTGCTGCGTCGTCCTGGCACACACCGCTCTTTCCCTCTCATCATTCCTGTATATCTGTTTTTATTGTTTTTCTTCTTCATTACTTGATATTCTCACCATTTCATGATACTTCTTTCTTGTATTGTTATTTTTACTATCATTGTCATTGCTATTTTCTTTTCCACTTATCCTCTTTTCACAACAATCATCAGCGTCACCCACAATATACACATCCGAAGTATGATGTCTTTTTTCTTCGGTATTTATTTAATTATAACTTCTCCTGGCAAAGCTTATATTACAACCATATTAAATCATTTAGCTTAGTTCTTCTCACTGTTCAGTTGATGCACTACTACTGGACGGTAATTAGCTATCTGTATCATAATTAGACCTGACACATATATCAGTTGGTATTCTGCCAGGTGCGCATCTATATACCGAGAAGGGATGGAACTGATGTCTGGTCCTCCAGAACGAGCAGTACTTAGCAACAAATTCAAGCAACTTATGACGGTCAGCAAGAAACGCAATCGGTGGATAACACTGCTATCCTTCATTAAGTGATATCGCGAATTCCGTCATTCGCATCTTTCGAGGACCAGATATCATATAATTGGCATTCACCTGTCATATTATTGGCACAGTTTGATACTGGAACAATTGCAACCAATGTGGTCCACGAGCAAGAAATTTTCGCCGAGTGCTCAACAAGCCAATCGATTTCTAAGGGTTGTTCACCAGACGGTCCCAAATCCGTCCCAGGATGAAGAGCAATTTTGAATTACCAAAAAAGGGTTTTATGAAGTGCGAAAAGCAAGAGCACGGGTTCATCCGTTAAGGACATTGGCTGGTACCGGTACTCGACCGTCAACGATGAAAACAGGATGTTGGAGGTCTGACGCACCTTCATTAGAGTGAAAAAGATGACGAGTTTGGAAATCATCGTATGATACATAGAACGTGATACATCCCCGTTTTCACCAATATTGTTATTTCCCAAAATAATGGTTGAAAGTCCCTTAGAGAGTGTGCGTACGATGATATTTTCTAATCTGCTCGTAGGTGTGAGATTCAAATAAAAGACAAAAATTTGATGAATCCACTACATGTAGCTACATTCGAATCAGTATAAGCACTCTCCTAACAATTTACAAAAGATGAGGCAGAAGCCAGTGTTGTCTCTCGATGGTAATACTGTGGTTCTATCACACATCACTGAAAGCTTAGATTTACTGAGAAACCAAAACATATGTTCGAAAAATGTTTAATTATAAAGCGCTTTTCGGAATTTATCAACCTTGAAATATGTTGGTTAATAAGCTGTGTTGATGACTCGTGAAATATTAACAAAGTCGACGTGCAGTTAGATTCTTTCATAGCCTGAATTTGATATTTATCTAAAAAATGTACTTTCTACTCGTTAGAGGTAAAATGCCTACCCCCATCAAATGCATACTTCATAGAAAGCGTGCGAAGCTCGGTGTTTTCATGCATGTTGCGCGGTCCCTAATATAGTGGGCCATCCCACACGTGACTGGATAGGAAGACAAATGTAGTACAGGCATATTATAGATACTTTATACATAAATTGGGAGCTTTCATAGCATTAAGATATTAAAAGAAGAACAAAAGGTTATACATAATGAACGCTTCGCGTGTTATACCCAATAATGGTATGGTATGTATTGATTACATTTGGCTGTGTTGAGATGCGTGTAGCGGGTAGGTTAATATGTAACCTATAACCGATAGATAAAGTTCTTGTCTTCTTTATCCGTAAGATCTAAGTACACATCTGTCTCCTCTCCTGACTTGTTAGCCAGACGCTGATTATTGACGCGAGCACCTTGGACACGGACCAAGTATACACAAATGAAGGCAACAGCGAAGCCGCCAAGGAAGCCTCCGACACCACCGAGATATCTTGGTGCTAAACAAAGGTAAAAGTAAAAGAAAATCAGCACAAATCATTTTCTTGCGTAGATACCGAGAATTGTGGGTTACTCTTACCTTGGACGTCCGCCATCATCAATGGGCCACAGAAATTGCCGACTGTTGAGTATATACACATGTATGAGTATTAGATATTCGAGCAAAGTTATGCATTAGAATTTTTTGGAACCTCTTTTTTTGACTAATTACCTGTATAGGCAATCATGATAGAACTGTTGTAAAAAATCTTTTTCGTATATCCTTTAACGTTGTTACCGATGATAGTAACAACTAGCGCATACGATCCAGTGCCAGCCCAACTGAGATAAAATCCAAGGAGCTTGATTGCGCCATCGGGAATGGCTAACAGGATAATCAGCCCAATTATACCGATGGAGAGCATAAACATAGAACTGTAAAGCATTTGTTTCGTCTTCTGTGCTAAGAGTACTGCGATAAACACTCCCAGCGCGGATGCCATACCACTCGGGATCTGTAGTAGCAGGGATTGCTCTCCCTAACATCACCAATTTATCATTAGATCGATGCATACATGTAACGGGATGTAGAGTAGCGACGCATAAGATGGTTTCCAGAGGATCAACCAAAGAAAGTAATTATAGTTACTTACGGTAAAGCCTAAACCAAGGACAAAGGTTGTGCTGAAGACAAGCATACCTCCGTTCTGCAGACTGATACATAAACCACCAATCATGATATACCAATACCGAGGTTCTTTCACTGCTTCCCACATCTGATCGTATTTAAAGATCTTGTTTTTGACAACGGCATTATCACGCGTTCGATCCTTGGCAATTTGTTTTTCCGTTTCCGTCAGTCGTAGGAGGGGATGATCTGGCTTATCCACCAAACAAAACCAAGAAACAACGCCCAAGGCGACAGTGAGGGACCCAAAGCAAATATGACCCCTGTTTTTTGGTAATCGTTCAAAGTATTAATATTATAATGGGATGACGAGATATCGTTGAAACAAGCAGTAGTTACAGTAACAGCATACGTACCATCTCCAATTCTCAATGCCACGAGCATTGTTCATATGCGCGAAGCCGTATGAAATCGAAGCGCCAATAGCGGCGCCTACACCATTGCACAGGGTGATATAACCAAATAGCACTGGTTGCTCCGTTCGACGATAAAGCGTGGCAGTGATCATATATAATGTTGGCATAGCAGCAGCTTCGAATAAACCAAGGAGAAAACGCATGGCTGCGACTTGGCCGAAAGTTTGACATGCTCCTGTAAGGGCCATTACCTATGATTTTTTGCTGTTTGCATCAGCACGTACGGTGACACTATTACAGGTACTATTTCTACTAAAATAGCCTTAAAATAGAACGAATATAAAATTTTATACTTACCACACCCCAGAATAAGAGTAATACTGAAAGATATTTGGCATGAGGTACGCGTTGGAGAATGAATTGATTGGGTATCTAATAAAACTCAAACTTCTGTCAACAACATTTTTATGCTATATAGCAGTATCCACGCCATTTAAATCAAAGAAGATAACAGGCACTGAAATATACCTGGTAGATCAAATGCCCTATACAACATTACAAAATAATATCATATTAATAACCATACAATACATGACGTAGATTCAACAACATCAATCCGTGACTATATTTACCCAAATAAAACATAGAGCCCAGAACCGAAAATTGTGTTCCTGTGAGCTGCAAATCTGCATTCAGTCCCAATACAGGTGCGACACTGAGGGCTGCTTTATCACAAAACTGTTTAATAAACGAGACAAGTGTCGTCAAGTAAGCTATAATCGACGGTTTTTTTTTTGCTAAGTATATGTCTATCAGTATTTCAGTATCTACCTGTACGAAAATGATTCCACCGACCAGCGGCATGATAAAGTAGTTCAGTTTTCGGACATAGGCCCGTTCCTCCGGTGTTCCTTCAAACGACCGAACCGAGAGATCGCCTCCTGCTTTCTCTGTGTCATCCGTGGTGGTTATTTTACTAGCTTGATGTACATCCTCTGTATACTGGACTTCTTCTTTTTCTGAAGTCTCGAACGTTTGTTGGTTGTTGCTGTTCATAGGCTGATCACTCGTGCTCAAGAATTTCCGCAAAGAAGTTAATTGATAGAACTAGTTGCGAGGAGAAAAAAAATCCCGGTGTACATCAGTCCCTTTTTATATGAGCGATACCAGTAATGCGCGTGAGCACACGTTAAAAGTTCACACACAATACAGTAGAGCAAGGAGCAGAGAAAGTAATAAGTAACATATGTGTGGGGGTGTTGTCGCGGCTGCTGATCATCAGAGTAGTGCTTAGTACAGTCAAGTATCACTAGTGCACCAGAGCGACGTGACGTTGAATACAATTATGACGCTGTGTGCTACTTTACACAGCACCAAAATGTAGTTTGATGTAGAGGCACAAAGTTCACAGAGTACAAAAGCGAAAGCATCTTGGGAAGCGATTGTTAGAGAAAGAATATAAACTTACAATGTGGAAATGTGCTGTGTCTTTCTGTCTCTACATTCCCGCGGCATAGTGGGTAATGTGGTACAAACTGTGGTTCAGGTTTAATAACAATGCGCTCGACCAAAACCTTGACGCTTTGTATTTTTGCAGAATGTGCAGGTATAAAACCACCATATTAAGTATGGTATACGATCGAATACACAAGCCATTTGTCTTGGAGAAGCTTCTTTAAGAGATGGCGTGATTACTAAGGCCTGTACCTTTAATATATATCTTTGTATTGTAATGTCTGTTTGTAACATACAAATCGCACAACCAAAAGGGTGGGAACGTTTTCACGTTAGTGCTTAGGAGCGAGCGCACGAGTCGAGATTAATAACGCTACTTCGCGCCCAATTTACTATCGTTTTCGATCATGTCAGCTGGTTTTGAACAAAAAAGCATAACTATGCTCGGTTCATTTGTTTACCACGCTTTTCCCGTTCTTTCCAAATGTGGATTTATGAGAATCGACAGTGTGATTTTCACTTGCTGGATACTATACTGCTGCTCTTACGATTCACTCACGAAAGACTTATATATCTCTTGATAATATGCTTTAATAACATATCGTATCTTGTAAAGGGTAATGTACCATATATCAGGGGTTCGCTGGCAATATTCGAATGTGCCAATGGAATGTGTTAGTTTTTCGGCTCTGACCATTTGAATTACCACATCCTTCTCTGGCTGCAAAACGTATAATCTAATCGCATGTACACTCAGCAAATGACATTTTCTCCTTGATGTTTTCTTAAGCTGTGTTCGGTTTTAAAGGGGCTATTGAGGTCGTTCAATGTGGGACAAACAACCCTCTAAGAAGCCTCCAACAGGATGTTCATGTCGTTCTATGATGACTTATACGTCATTACAGTATGATGGGTGTTCAACACCGATAACCTTTTTGACAACCCAACAACCGATATATGTACCATATTTACAGCTCTTGATAGATTCCAGCGAAGAAAAGAAGCGTACATCCTTCTTTGTCAGCCTTGGTGACTGTACGAGAAGCTAGTAAAGAAAACCGATTTTGCATGAATTTGGTTTCTGCAGGCGTAATGGGAGGCTTGTGGCGATTTCCGAAAATGGGCAACCAGCAGTTCAACTTTTGAAACCGACGCACAATTTACACGCTTTGTCGTCTTACATTTTGCCATGCCTGTGATTTCTACGGAATATATAGCGATTGGCTGTAATCGTACGACTCATGCCGCTGCCTGGGGTATGAATGGTCTTGTTGCCTTTGGTGCAAGCCAACTGATCGCCCTTTATAACCCTTTGGTATAAAGAAAAAGTTTTTATTACATAAGTAGTAGGTCGTATAAGCAAAACGGTCGAAAACTGACATTATAATGTTTTTTATAGGATAAAACGAGTCAGGGAATTCTAGAAACGTTACCAGGACATACCGATCGCGTAATTTGCGTTGATTTCATTGAACGAGGTCTGTAAAGCTTTTGAAAATAAAAAGGAGGAACAAGAGAAGGAAGAGGTTTAACCAGTAGTTTACAACAGGTCATGAAGGGGATCTACACGACGTCGCACTCGTCTCGGGTTCTGCAGATAAAACAGCCAAAATATGGAAAAAGCATAACGATATGTGGGTGAACTCGGCAACGCTGGAAGGTCACCAAGGTGCAGTCGAGGCTATTGGCTGTATGCGTGCACGATCAATTGCAGCGGATCAAGGCGATATTATTGCTACAGGCGCAACAGACGGAACGATTCGTATTTGGAAACGACATATCAAAAGCGATACTGAGGGTAAACCAATACATGGCATTGGAAGAAGAAAGTTCCTGAAACGTCAAGATCAAAAAACTTAATGAATTAATTACAGATCAATTGACACTACTGCAAGTCCTTGATTCTGGCAACAAATATCCAACAGCACTTGCTTTATCATATCTTCCAGAAACCACAAGTAAGACCATATCTATAAATACGCGGCTTATCGATCTGACATAATAAATGAATGTTCATAACTTTATGTTTCATAATGTAAAGTTCCAATCCTTGCATGTGCACATACCGACAAAAAGATCACTATTTATATCTATCAACACGACAAGTTCGAAAAGGGACACGTCTTACAAGGCCACGACAACTGGGTCCGCTCGCTTGCCTTTGCTACATACACCGGATCTCAGGTCAACGCAACAGCTACCAACCATACTTTGAGAGAAGGTGATCTTATGCTCGCAAGTGGTTCGCAAGATCGGTACATACGTCTTTGGAAAGTCTCACCACATACACCTGCCGCGCCAGCAAAGTCGGCGCCATTCAAACAAGACCAACAAAATGATGGTTTGACGGATGATTTACTTCAAGCTTTGCAAGAAAGTGCTTTGTGAGTTGTTAATACTATCACCCACCATTTTGGGCCAAGATCTCGAGAACTCATTTGCGAGACAATTAGCATGCTCATATCTTTGCTTGTTATTATTTTTCTAGAACAGGCGAAGCAGTCGAATTGAGCACCAAAGCGCACCTTGTGGAGGTTAAGGATTCATCCGATCCTTCCAAAAAACGGCAATATTCGCTCATGTTTGAAGCTCTTCTGATGGGTCACGACGATTGGGTTTATAGCGTATGCTGGGAACGGCCACGGATGGAAAAAGGTAACTATGCGCTTAGTGATTACTGAATTGGGACAAGAAAATTATTGATAAGAGAGACTCACATGTGTAAAAGATGCCAATGGTGCTGCCCGCTATATACAGCCTATGCGCCTATTGTCGGCATCGAGTGATAAGTCCATGATGATTTGGAGCCCTGATCCAGCAACAGGTGTTTGGGTGAATGAGGTAAAAAAAAAGTTGTTGCGTGTTTAAATGGGCCCGCTATTTTCTTTTCTCGCTCACACGTATCTTCTATGAAAATAGGTACGAATGGGTGATATTGGTGGTAACAATTACCTCGGCTTTTGTGGTGCTTTGTTCAGTCCTGAAGGGCATCACGTTTTATCACATGGTGCCAACGGCTCGTTCCATTTGTGGAAAGATATTTCATCAGATCCCGGTACGCGATAGTTATGAAAAGAAAGAAATCTACGGCGTTTTCGGAAGAGAACTGACTAGCGAATTCTATAAAACAACACAGATGATAACCGATGGGCTCCTGAAGTTTCCATCAGCGGTCACTTTAAGGCTGTAGAAAGCGTAAAATGGGACCCCAAGTCTCGTTTCCTTTTATCTGCTAGGTAAGTATTTGGAATAAGTAAACACAGAAAGAGGATAGGGATGCTAACTTGATCAATAATACTACATAGTTTGGATCAAAGCACTCGGCTCTTTGCTCCTTGGTGTAGAGAAGTGGATGGCCAAAAAGTGACTACGTGGCATGAAATGGGACGCCCCCAAATTCATGGATACGATCTTAAATGTCTATCGTTCATTCATGACTGGCAATATGTCAGTGGCGCTGACGAAAAGGTTTTGCGTGTGTTTGATGCACCAAAATCCTGCGTCGCCAGTTTGGCTGAGCTGACAGGAGAGAAGAACATGGCTGTTGAAACGGTAAACAAGAAATTTACATTCAAGTGTTGTCATGGATGAAAGAAAGGGAGCTTATGTATGCATATGTTGGAGATAAGACGCTTACTGCTGTGTACAGGAAAGTCGCCCTGTAGGTGCCAATCTACCTGCACTTGGTTTATCAAACAAGGCCGTGTTCGAGGGCGACATCAGCGAAATGACCGACGCTGCGGACGAAGATCATACAGCCATCCAAAGCTACGCGCACTCATCTTCCACGCCAACATCCTTAATGGAGGTCATGAATCATCCACCTTTCGAAGAGCATCTTTTACAACACACATTATGGCCAGAAGTCGAAAAACTGTACGGTCACGGCTACGAAATCATTTGTGTCGAAGCAACCCACGACGGGAAGTACATTGCATCTGGATGCAAGGCTGCCACACCTGAGCACGCTGTCGTTCGTCTCTTTGACACATCCAACTGGAAGGAAAGCAAGACAAAGATTGCCGCACATACATTGACAGTGACGCGGGCTCGTTTCTCACACAATGATGATTGGCTATTGACGGTTTCTCGAGACCGTTTCTGGTCACTTTCAAAGCGAGTTCAAGGCGACCCAGAGACGCCGTATCAGCTGGTAGCAAAGAACAAGGCACATGCTCGTATTATCTGGGATTGCTCATGGAGTCATGACGATACTATGTTTGCGACCGGCTCCCGCGACAAGTCAATCAAGATCTGGACACAACAAGGAGAGACATGGGGTTGTGTTGCTACCATCAAATGCGTCGAAGCTGTGACAGCAATCGAATTTGCACCAGCACAAGTCGATGGACAGTAAGTATACTCCATTTTGTTGTATATTGTTGCTTTCGTAAAGATGAGGATATACATATTTATTTTGCTGTATTGTTTGTATGACGGTGGGTGTAGATATCTGCTTGCAGTCGGTCTAGAGGATGGCCAGCTTCAATTGTTGGGCGCAGCCACTGCTGGCGAATGGGGATCATGGCACAATGTCGATAAACGGTAAGCGTCCGTTTCCACTATCTGCCCCATCCATTGTAGCGCTAACATATTCTTTGCTCTTTGCACCGTAGATCATGCCATGTTGGTGTGGTCCGTTCGCTGTCATGGCGAACCCATGATGGAGCATTCCAACTGGCTTCCGCTGGTGAAGATCACTCTGTACGAATCCTAAACGTGAAAGCTTAACATCTTTCCCCTTGTAATATCATATGTATTTTCCTTGCACATATACAACCGTCCTTCTATTCTTTTTTTGCTTTTCCTTTCTACATACTCAATCACTTAGAAAACTATTGAAAGTTTACTTACCAATCAATCGGTGGATGTAACGACCTTATACACCTGTTTATACAGCTTGATCCGTTCAGACATTTCTTCGACCAGCTCACGTCGTACATGCGTTTGTTGATCCCACTGTTGAATTAAATCCTCCAATTGCTCAGGTCGCGATGAGTGGAGAGGTAACTCATCAATCCATGTCTGCTTATTTTCAAAATCTTTGCGTAGCATATGGAGGACATCAGCGATATAACGGTGCACGTCGTGAGGCTGAATAGCAGCGACCTGGATCAATGTCTCTGTCGAAAGTGGTGCAGGTTCTCTTGACTTGATAGTAGTGGCTGTTTCTTTAGTGACCCATTTGGCGGCGTCTGATTCTAACTTTTGCAGATCAAACAGTATCGATTCCAAACCGTCTACAACTCTATTGAGATTGTCAATTATGCTTTCAAACGCGAGCGATTGTTTATAGACGAGTCGGGACGTGTCAATGGATTCGAACGCGTCGTTATTGCTATTGGCAGTTGCTGCAGTACGCTGGGCAACAACGTTGGATAACGTAATCAATAAGGAGACAGATCTTGCATGCTGTTGCGACCATATTTTATAACACGATTCGGCGCGTGTCAAGAGTTGTGCCAAGGGACGGTGTTGCATTTTAGGGAAAAGGGAGGAGGAAGGTAAAAATGAAACGACGTTTAATATGTCGGCGTTTGAATCCAGTACAGGGAGCCGTTGTTCGATGAATAGGTTCCCGAAGTGCATAGAGTTGCTCGGCCTTTTTGAACAAGGGGGTAAGCAGACAGAGAGCGATGGATCTAGCAAAGAGATGGATAGATTATCGAAAGACTCATCGAAACGGACGGATGGATGAATGGATGATTTAGATATATAAAAATGGGTCGCGTTATTCGTGCTCAAAGAAAAGGTGCTGGAAGCGTCTTCAAGGCCCACACTGTCGGTCGTAAGGGTGCTGCCCAATTCCGTGTCCAGGATTACTCTGAACGTCACGGCTACATCCGTGGTCTTGTCAAGGAAATTGTTCACGATCCCGGACGTGGTGCTCCCCTTGCCA